TGATGCCTTCGTGCTTAGTTAAGGGACAAACAAGCATGGGGAAAGTGAAGCAAGGGCGGTGGATGGATTTATGGTTCTCTTTCGCATAATCCTAAGATTGAGGCGTTTTTTGCGCCGCGTGGACACAATTGTACACCAGAACTTATCGCACCATGACTTACCCTTACCCGGCAACAATCCCAAAGCGCGAATATATCTCTGCATCATTTGTGAAATGCCCGAAATCCCCAAAGAGAAGAGGAGGTGCCCGCCCCCATCCTCACGCACAGGACATGTACTCCTCGTCATCGTCGGGCAGCACCAAGCAGCCAGCCGGCAGCGCGGGCCCAGCCCTCTGACCCGTCTCGCCCGGGGCCTCGGCGCCGCGGCGGCTTAGCGTACCGCTGCCGGGGCACACGGTTAGCCACCCGACCGTGGCGGCCAGCCAGGTCCAGGGACGGAGGGCGGCGCCCAGCGCCAGCGTCGTCGTCACCGCGGTACCGCCGCCGCCGCCGCCGCTCCGCGCGGACGGTCTGGGCGCGGGCGCGGGCGGCGGCTCGGGCCTGAAGGGCTGGACCCTCGTGCGCGTGCACGGCCGCCCCGGCGCGGTGCAGTCCCCTTCGAACCGCTTGTACCTGCAGGCGGGGATATCGCCGAAGCCGCGGTAGCAGGGCCGCCGGTGGAGGCTGCCCTTGGCCTTGTCGCACAGCTCCCAGTACACCTCGGTGTCGTACGCCTCGATCACCGCGTAGACCCTCCCGCAGCCCCGGCACTTGAACGTCGCGCCGAACCGGACGCACATTGCTCGGCCCGGCTCCGGGGAAGTGTGTTGGCTGTGGGATCTTGTCTGGGCTACCAGGGGGCACCTAGAGAGTAGGGGTCCGATGATGGTAACATCAGGCTTGGCCAAGCGGTTGAGCTGGAAGCGGGGACCCGGGGAAACCCAGACAAAATATTTGCCAGACCTTATAGATTAGTGTGGAAATGGGAGACAAAGACCCAGTCAAAGGCTGCAACATCACAATGGTTTGTCATTGGGGTGGAACAGCTCATGCGCATTCACCCTGAGCACAAAGGGATCGCGTTGTTGTGAATGAGTGCGGCATTGTCCAACTGCTGCAGAATACGACTGGCTACTCGTTCTGGAGAAGTCAAGATAGGTGTCAGAGCTATCAATCCAGACACCTTGGTCATATGTGCAGATATGAACTGCATTGCCTCTTGGGCGAGGAAGTTTTCTGATGGGGTGCCCCTCCCTTCCGAATGGGAAAACCATCTGTTCAGCTCTGGTTCAGCGTGATAGCCAGCCCAGAGACGGGCGCCGGCTGATGGATGGTGCGGCCAGCAACCCATTTCAGCCTCAGCCCAGCTTTCCACTCGTCCAGCTTCATGACTGCTCCGTCCACCAGGATCTCTCCCGCCCGCAGGCGCAGCTTCAGGGTAGGGATCGTTAGCCACTGGTGCGCGGGATTGCACGCCGACGCAGCATGACCTGGTGACGGCGGCTGGCCTGCCCGCGCCTTCAACGCGGCCAGGCATGCTAAGCACGCCTTGGAATCTATGCATAGCTTGCACACCACAAACTCGATCTCCGGTGTCAGGCGGCGTAGGCAGTGGTCGCAGACAAGCAGCCCAGCGGTGCCATGGGCGCCTAGCAGGCCGCCTAGGTCTTCCCCACCAGAGTAGTAACTGGAGCTCCAGCCAGGCTCGAAAACTTCGGACAGCATCAGGTCGCGCCCGCGACGGCGGGGTGAGGGCGAGAAAGAAGGGCTTGAGCGGCCGGATGAGTCGCTAGGACGCCTCTCGGACGACTTCCTTGTCGCTAGATGGGCAACTGGTATTGTGGGGCTGCCATCGACGTGTCTCGTGCTGCGGCTACCAGCTCCAGGAGTCGACCCCAGCGAAGGACTGCCTCTGCCTTTAACATTGCCAGACAAAGGCGTTGAGCTGCCGGGAGATGAACCGTCGGACTTTCTGCTCCGGCCGGTCGCCGAATGTGGCGACGGGCTGGCCTTGCCCTTGGGCTTGTCGCGTCTGCTACCAGGCTCGGGACTGACTACCCCGGGCGGGTCAACCATGTCGGTATCCTCGCTTGCTCCAACGGGCCGCCGTATCGACTGCCACAGCGCCGTTGTGTTGATGTCGTCGCCGGCAGCGAGCAATGTGCGCTGCAGATTTTGCACCGCGACCACATCGTTCTGCGGTTCATCGTCTTCGAGTAGCTCTAGACACTCGACAAGCCTCGCAGACACCAGACGCTTGGACTCTGCCGCCTTTCCATCCTGTCCCTTTTTCTGGGCCTGAAGCCGGTAGAGAAGAATGAGGTAGATGGCGGCCTCGTTGAACTCTAGTCCTGCGGCGCGCAGCCTAGATCCGTCGTTGGAATCTTTGAACAGAACCTGCCTTTTTGCCTTCAGTGTCTCTAGCCTAGATAGCCAAGGGGCGACCTTAATTTCGTCAAGCAGGACGGGGTCGGCAGCCAGTGCCCCGACAAAGTACGCGCGAGAAAGCTGCGCAAATGAAGAAACGTGTTCGGCGCGCACGGCCAAGGTGCCCTTCTGTGGTTTGAACAGGGGAGAAAATAAGAGACCTTCATGCAAGGAAATTGCGCGGTCATGGTGCGGCTGAGAGCAAAGGTAGACGCTGCCGAGGCAGTTGCGCAAGTACAGCTCCTTCCAGTAGTCCTGCGCCTCGGTGGCGGCGGAGATGGCACTGGCATAGCGACGTGCCAAGATCTCAGTCTGCTCTGTCCGGGCGGCTGCTTCGGGAAGCCATAGGCTGATGGTCAAGTCGGGTAGCTGCGAGAGAAGGAAAGAGATGAAACGGCTCTGTCCACCTCCGTGTCGCGCCGTTTGCCGAGTGTCTAGCTCGTGGAAGAGCGTCATAAGCTCCGCGATGCGGCTGTTCTCGGCAAGGAGACGGGCATAGGCAGCCTCAGGCTCGAAATCAGAGTGCTGGTATCGAAAGATGTCGGAAGTTGCGCGTCTCGCGTAGGCCAACGCCTGCGAAATGTTGCCCAGCTTGTTGTAGCAACCAGCGATGCGACATAGGTTTTGGTACAGCCGCCATTTGGCTGCCTCGATCTCCTGGTGCCGCTCTCTATTCTCTCTCGATGACGTGGTGGACGAGAAGGACTCGGACACAGTCAATGCTGCGACAACCGACTCAGCATTTGAGTTGAACGAATTGGTCGGTGTCAGCTTCTTGGGGTCGAAGAGGTCTATGTTGAGCGATATCGACAGCTCATGGATTTCGACCGTCTCGGCAATAAGATGTAGGCGCAACGCCTTCTCGTAGTTGCCGTTCAGAGCGTGGCAGAGGCCGATGCGACCGCAGTTCTGGAGAATGCTGCCGTCCGTGGCTAAAGCGGTCTGGAAGTATTGCAAGGCTTGGTGGTGCAAGCCAAAGTTGAGGAAGGTTGAGCCGATACGCCTGTACCAGTGCCCATCCAGAGCAGGCTCCCCTGTGCTTGTGGTCGGCGTCGGCGGTACGTTTCGTTTCCAGCTGGCATCCAGGTGGCTGGCCGCCCATTTTGTCGCCATGATGATCCTGCTTTCAAGCGTGATATCTTCCCAGTGTTGCTCTGAAGACGACCACAGCCCCGAAGAGCCCTCGGCCATCAAAGCCAGTGTCTGCACAACACCGAAACAGAACAGGGTAGGCATGTAAGTGACGAACCCGTCTTGTAGCCAAGCCCGAGCATAGATGCGCCCCATGGGTTCGAGGAGGGCCACCTGACTCTTGGAGGCAATCTCCGCCCACGACTTCTCACTTGCGGAATAGTATGCGACCGCTTCTGGGTCACCAAGCCACTCGCGTACGCAGTCAATATTTCCGTCGGTCCATATGTCCAGAGACTCCTCGAACAAGTTCGTCCAGGCCAGAACCACCAGTTCTTCGTTGAGCATGGCGTAGACCATCCGCCCGATCTCTGCTTTTTGCGACGCGGGCAACGATGCCCTGTCTACCTCCATAAGGTGCTCTTGCCAGTACCAGGCTGCGTACCGCTGTAGAGAGAGGCCATCTTGGCCCACAATGGTGAAGAAGTCCGGGTCTGTGAAGATGCGAAGGCAGGTTTCGAGGACGTGGAGGCGTGCCGAAGGCAGATGGAAGCCGATGGCCTGCGAGCCCTCGCCGGCGCGGAGATTGGTAGAGTCATCGCTAAGAAAAAACTCGCGGACCGATGCGTGACAGAAAGTCACTAAAGTAGTCTGTTTGTTTGACACATACTCTACCTCATGCTCCGCGCTGAGGATCCTCCCGGCGAGCGTGGCCCCATCGCCATCCAGGCTTGGAGACTTTTGCAACGCGCTTTGGGCCTGCCGACGGACCTCGTCATTTGTCCTCTCAGCAAGGTCGGCTGTGGACAGGCCATCTGCGCGCTCCAAAGTGAAAAAGCATGACTGCTGGCCTCGGAGGGTCTCCTCAAGACGGTAGGGGGGGTCCCCAACCTTGAGTGTCAGAAGAGACTCTATCTGCTCCAGTGTGAGTGCCATTTGTGCAACAGACACCCAGCAGAGTATCTCGTTGAGATCGGCCGCGTCGTCGGCGGTCAGGGTCTCGGAAAAATTGAGGACCGTTTTCTTGAGCATTCCCGTGATCTCCTTTGGATACGACCGCAGGCCGTCGATGATGCGGCGAGGGTGCCGAGCCCGATTGAGTTCGGCAAGCATAAACTTGGCCAGAATAAAGAGCCCGTCGACCTGGTTCTTCATTACTTCGATGACCTGATTCTTGAAGCCATCGGGTGTTCCGCGGAGTATGCGGGCTGAGTAGACACCTTCGGATATGTACGAAGCGATGTCTGTAGCGTTTCGTTCTGGGGTGATATGAATCGTTCGATACCCGCGCCCAGCTGTAGAATCGTTCTCGAGACGCTCCGTGACTGCTTCCGAGAGAGACGTACGTCCGACCATGGCGACCTGAACGCGAGTGTTGTTTGGCGTTTGCTTGTTGAGATCGTCGAGGAGAGATAGGAACTCGGCAAGTTCCTGAGGATCAGCTTCGTCGACACCATCAAGCAAGATGTAAATCTGTCGTCTCCATCGGTCCGGCACTATCGGCTCGACGAGAAGGCGACGGAAGGCGCTCGAGACCGTTTTGATGTCATCGTTGCTCGAGACCCCTTGAAGAACCTGTTTCCCGTAGAACACATCCTGCTCGCAAATCTGGAAAGCCATGTCGCGCAGAGCTTGAATGAAGGATCGGGTTTCAGGGTTGTTTTGCTTGAAGAAGAAATAGCCCAGCATGTGTGTCTCATCCTGCTCCTCCAGCATGTTCAGTCCCCACGACACCAGCCTTGATGTCAGGTAGGATTTTCCACTGCCGGGATTGCCGCATATCCATAGGAACCGGATGTCGCCTGCAATCCAGGCCGTGAAAGACGCATCCTCCAGGAGCCAGTCGCCGGTGCCCTGTGTTCGCGTGCGGCTGAGCCCGAGATAGATGTCTTGGGCATAGGCAGATGGCCGAAGAATGCCCTTGAGCTTGGCTCGGTTAGTCGAGAGCGCCTGTTCACGGGTCTGGGGCTCGTGGCGTGTTTCCGCCCGGATAGTCTGGATGCTGACGTCAACACGCGAGATAATCTCAAGCAATTTGTCCTGATTAGATAGGGACCGTTTGACGCCCGCGTTTGTCTCGGCCATGACCAGCTTCTCCTCGGCTTCTGTCAGCTTCGCAAGGCGCTGCATAACATCGGGGATTGGACTTTCGCCCCCGAAAAGCCGCTTGAAGTACGCCTTTACCCGACCGCGGTGAACCTCGCTGGCGGCCAGGACGAGAGCCTCAAAGACAGTCGCCAGGATTTCCGAGACCTTGTTGTATAGCTCCGGGGAGAGCCTCTCCGACATGTAAAATTTGAGTCGGTTGGTGAAGTCGGAGAGCTGGACGAACAGTTCGATAATGGAGTCGTAGATCTGAGAGATATCCTTGGCGGCATTGATGAGGTACATGACAGCTGCAAAGACGTTTTGCGCAGGAGGAAAGGCTTCCGAGGCAGCGCCGGCCAGAACCTCGCCAACTTTTTCGAGAGGCGTGCATGCAGCCAAGACCGCGTCAAACAGTGGTTTGCGCTTCTCCCTGAAGCTAGTGAACTTTTCGTTCTGACTGTCGACGACGTTTAGCAGGTCTTGCACGCTGCTGAGAGGTGGCTTCATGAAGTCTTCCAGACGCTTTGCTTTGGACTCGCCCACCCGGAGTTGCGCCGAGGCCAGCGCAGCCGCGAACAGTGCCTCGACATTGTTCCTGTCTAACTGGCCTGGTGACTTTGGCGACTTCTCCTTCTCACTGCCAGACGGGCCACCATTGACGGCATCTTTGTGAGCCGAGGCCTTCGAGTCGCCGTCAAACGGCTTCGCGGGTGTGCGATGTTCAGAATAGGGCGGCGGGTTGGGCGGCAGTGCAGATCCGTTCTGTGGTGTTGGTGGGAGCGGAACTGGGAGAAGGTTGGAGTCGGAAGCGGTCGTGGAAATGAAGCTCCAGGCTGGATGCGGTCCCAGCAGTGCCCACAGCCATGTAGGCATGGACACGATGCCGGTTGCTGGGTTCCCCTCGACGAGACAGTGGAGACGCACCGAAGCCAGCAGCTGCTTGTCCACCGTCAGGTTTCCAGCCGCCACCGTCCTGGAGCTCTCGGCGACCCAGCACTGCCATTGCTGCAGCACCGAGGATTCTGTCGGGTTCGCAAGTCTAACGCCCAAAATGACGCGCGAGTAGCCGTCGGTGGCGGCTTGGGTGGTCGTTTTAGGGAAGGCTGCGGGGGCGGCGCCCAGTGCGCTAAGCACGATGGCAGGCGGGGCGGTTGCGCCTGCCGCCAGAGCACTCCAGACGCGTCGAGGGCGGGGACCAAAGTCGCCAAAGCTCGGGCCGAGTGAAAGCCTCGAAGCAAGCTGTGTCGTGGCGATGGGCGTTCCCAGCGACGCCTTGAGAATCGACGCCAGTTCTTTGGTGAAGCCTCCAGTAGCCTGTCCTTCCAGGGTGCCAAGCACCTCACACCGACACTTCCACTCGACATCCCGCCGCACCACCGAATGCGCGAAGCCGCAGTCCAGGACAAGCAGCACATCGCAGCTGGCCAGGCGGACGACCTCGGTGACCTCCTGCCACGACACGGCCGAGTGTCCTGCCGCGAGCCTGTCCACCCATACACCCTTTTTGTCCGATCGTCGGTAGGCTGAGTCGCCAATGTAGTGCAGTACAAGCAGGCAGCTTTCTGTCTGCTTGCCTATGCTCTGCTTCTGCAGTTCGCGCACTTGCTCATAGACGCCATGCTCGAGCTCGCGAGCGGCGACGTCGGAGCTGGGCAATCTGATGTCGTGCACGGCGTACTTGTAGCCGTTCTTGAACACGCCCTTGAGCTCATCCCTGGCTGCGATCCGGGCCTTGCTGTCCGAGTTGGCACTGCTTTCGGCCTGCCAGCTGACAAAGCACACGCTGATTTTGGCATAGGGCTGAGGCCGAGCCGCGGCATTCGCTTGGTGCTGTTCCACGCCGCCTCGCAAAAGGTTGATGAGGTCCCCGATGTGCAGGAGCTGTGTCTGTGTGGGGTTCACCTGCGAGATCAATCCGGTTTCGGCGCTGTTCAGCCTGTCCTCGTGCCCAAAGTATCCCCCAGGAAGACTGATGATGCTGTTGTCACGCCCCTGAGAGGGCTTTTCACTCCCCGCAGCGCTGCTGTTCAGCGCCATGTTATTTCAGCGATGTAGTCGCAGCAATCCTCGCGACGAGCAACACGCCTCGCCGCCCTTGGGTTTTGCCTGAACAGAACATGGCAAGAGAAAAGTCGGGGCAACAGCACGCCTTTAGACAGGCAAACACGCGGCTCCCATGCAGGGGCTGGAGATCAAAGCCCCCTTGTGGATAGTGGGGGAACATCTCCTGCGGGACGGAGGCCAAATTCCTGGCCTCGATTGGTTTTCGGGGGCTGCCTTTTGGGTCTGGCCCCTGAACCGGCCAATAGTCATGCGCCACAAGCACACAGTCCCGGCACCTGTCTAGGGCTGTTGGTACCAAAGTGACACTGCGGGTGCCCGCGGGGGGTTCCGCGGGGCGAATCACCTTGTAGCATCCATAGGACACTTTGGCGTCCGCGATTCGGAATGTCTGAGATCGGCGCGGTCAGGGTCACATTACGCTTGATGGTGGCTAATAATATTTGTTCAATATGTAGATAGATAAAGGCAGATAGAAAAATGGGAAAAAAGGACAGGACAAATGGAAGAAACAACGCAAGGAACCAAATCCGATCAACCTAACTTGTATATTTCAACGTGCAAACCCTCCGCTTGATCAGCTATCGCAGCCGGGGGATGACCACTAATACTCTTCAAATCCGCTCCAAGCCCGGCTTCCATGGGTGCCTCGACCGACTGCTTACTGGGCCTGCTTGTCCGCGCAGATCTGCTGGGTACAGAACCCACCAGGCTTGACGCAGATGCCGCAGCTAGGGTTGCAGCACACAGTGCCGGCCTCGCAGGTGACGGACCCACACTTCCCCTTCTCCCGGCAGATTTGCTGGGTGCAGACGCCGCCGGGCTTGACGCAGATGCCGCAGCTCGCGTTGCAGCACACAGTGCCGGTCTCGCAGAGGACGTGCCCGCACTTCTGCGCGGTCTGGCGGGTCTCCAAGTCCTCGGAAACAGCCCGGGGGCAGGCACTGCCGGGCTTGATGCAGATGCCCAGAAAGGGGTTGCAGCACTCCGTACCGGGAGGGCAGGCGATGGTGCCGCACAGGCCCTCGGGCGGGACATCGACGCAACGGGCCTTTGTCCCATCCACCGAAGGCTGGCAGACCTGCCCCCAGCCGCACTTGATAGTATCGCAGCTAGGGGCGCGGGTGCTGAGGGCGTTCTCCGCGCGGAAGCCAGCTGGCGGGCGGGCGGCGGCGGCAAGAGGCAGGGAGCCAGCCAGGTAGGCAACAAGGCCAGCCAGAAGGCCTGCTTTGAGCGAGCGAGGAGCCATGATGACGGATGATGGGTGGCGGCAGATGAGCCAGGTTAAACTAACGTGGAAAATGGTTGCGTATGCACACAAGGGCGTTTGGAGGGAAATAATAGCGTTTGTATGAGAATGAAGGGGGCTTGGGTGGCTTCAGACAAAGAGAAGTTGAACAATGAACCAGGAGCCGGCCTTCTTATACGTGGGGAGACAAGCGCCATCTGTCGCTCTTTGTTCGGGCTTGTCACCAACGACAAGCATACGCGAGTAGGTCACACACATCTGCGCTGAGGAGCATGGATCGCTTCTTTCGGGAAATAATCCCGCGAGACAGTACAGGTCCTGTTCGGCGTGTAAGCTTTTGGCTTGCCAAGATCGGGAGACCATATCAACGCCGTGAAACTCGGCGAAATCGTGGCAAAGATGTCACCGCAATGAGGTTGGCGCCCCAATACCGGTCAAGAAAGTATGGGATAGGACCGGGTCTCGGGGTGATTACCGGGGCTGAGCTGGGGGACTAATATCTCACTCAACGGTCGGCGCCATCCCAACCACTGCAAGATCGACACCCCGATTCAGCTCCCCTAGACTTCCTACTTGGCATTACCACAGCGATTTTGCGAAATCTTGCCGCACCTACCGTCGTTAAAACAGATACTCGTCGTAGCTTCTGGCGTTCGCGCGGAGGTGTCCGGCAAAATCAGGCGAGTATTCAGAAGCCACCACCTGCGCCGAGTGCCAGCTCCGCCCCGATCCGACTTCCCACTGGTCAGCCAAGCTCATCGGGACGGGAAGAGCTAGGCGTGTGCGACCATCGCGATAATAAACCCGATTTCACAGCCGTTTCCCTGATAATTATTAGCAGCCTCAGGCTGTCCGGAACACGTGCCGGTAAGCCGTCTAGACTCGATTTGGCGCTTCCCCGGGCCTGAAGCGGCTGACAGCTGAGCTCCTGTCAGCTGTAGTTACGGTGGTACAGAAAGCTTATGGCTAGACTTTGTGCTACGTGAGAAGGAATACGAGGATACGGTTCTTATCCAGTTTCCTGCTGATTGGTAAACGAAGGAATTTGAGTGGGAGCTGAACCAAGGGCAGGACATATACAGAATGCCCATCTCGGAGGTAATTGTTGGGTAAGCTGAGGTCACAGGATATGAAGTTGGCGGGAGTGGACTTTGCGGCCCCAGAAATTTCCGAGGCGTGGTGGTTGATTGGCAAGGTATCAAACTGCCTCTCGAACCTTGCTGGATGGCCAGAATAGCAGCCTAAACCATCTTCGTCTTTTTTAACTTCGTATGTTCTTTTGGATGCCACAGGAAAGGATACTCTTCTATCGCGCTGACCTCCAAGGGAAACTCCTTTCAGCCTGGTTCCCGGAAATTCTCACATTTACCATATCTGGGCTGTCATGTGCGCAGACCCAAACTCGAAATCTTCCATGTTCCTTCCTTCCAGGATCCCCATTCAGCTACAATATTCGAAAGTCTCACAAAGGTGCCAAAAGTGCTGGTAAAATATTGTCGGAGCTAGGCCGTTAAGATGTATAATTTTCAAGATAAGCAGGGCATGTTGTCCCCTTATCTACGTTGGATGCCAACATCACCTGAGACAAAAGGCTGAAATTCTTTCCCTGTTTGGTTTCAATCGAAGATCTTCGGGTTACACAAGAAGCAGCACCATATCTCTCGGAAATCCTTGTTCGTAAAGGGGGTTCTGCGAGGGCAAGTACTATACTTGCGTGTTACTCCATGGAATGTCATTTTTCTGAAAGATACTGTATTTTACGATAATCCACCAATGCAGTCGATACGTCTCCGCGCGGGATGCAGATATGAGTCATGTCTCTGTCCAGATACCCGGGCTTGCGTTGTCTCAGGTCGTGGGTACTTCGCTAATTAAGCTCACGCTGAGCCTCAGAGAAGACTTCCTCCGCGGAGCTCCGGACGAGTTCGTCCGCGCACTGGCGAATCTCGCCCACGCCGGCCTCGTAACCGCCCAGCTCCTCGGGCGTGGTGAGTCGCTCCCATGCCTCCAACCGCCGCCACAGGCCTCTCAGCTCCCTCTCATACAGGTCATATTCAACTTGAGTTTCGTCCAGCATGTTATCAAGCGACTTGGCGATCTCCTCGTAGCGAGCCTTCTGCTCCATCTCGACCCTGCACAGGTGCGAGAGGCGTGCCCGCCTCCGGAATAGGGCCTGCTTGGCAATCTTGTGATGTTCTTGTGCGACGTTGAAGTGCCGCTGCGACAGCGTCTTCCTCACTAGAGTTTGGCGGCCGTCCCTCAAGGCCTCGTCACGCTTGGACTCGGCGAGTTGGAGCTGGACGTCCGCCTCGTCAAATTCCTTTGACAGCGAGATTATCTCATCGCCGATACTCCGCTCCTCCTGCTCGGTCGCGGAGAGAGTGTCTGAGACAGCATCCAAGTTCTCTACTGCTTCTCGGATGCTTTTCCGGCTGACATGAACCAAGGCGTGGATGGTTTCGATCTGAGACTTGCAGTCGCTTAACTTCGCTTGCGCTAGTTCCACCATTCGCTTCTCAATGGCCGTGAGGCTAGACATGGCTGTCGTGTTGCGACTGCGATTGCGAGGTAGAGTTGTGGCGAAGAAGTTGAGATCGACGGGCGTTTGTGGGCGATTTCTCAGCTGCTGTTTCCAAGAACCTAGGGTTGGCCGTGATTGCGTTGAAAGGTGACGAGGTAGAGGATGGTGAGTTGGTTCTAGACCAGGACATAAGTATGTGCCCGGGGTACTCTTGATCGGATGCTGAGCACTTTCTGAGCTGTTCTTTTTACTTCTTTGTTTTTCTCCCACTTAAAGGAGTCTCTCTGTTAACAAAATCTATAGGACCCGTCTTCCCACCTTTGTAGCCGCGTACATTACATTTTCAAACATTTTGTTTCCAGAGTTGTAGGCCAAGGAATACATGCCAAACATTTATCGGCAAAACTACTCCGCTGTCGAATCCTGGTGTTTGTTGGTGACAGCTAATCAACACGATGTAGGTTATAAAGTCCATGCGGTTGAGTGACAGCTTCGGATGAAGCTAAATTATCAACGGGATCTCGCGTTAACGATTACAGATTTACATATCTAAAGAAACGCTTTTCAGTGCAAAATAGGCATTTCCAAGCCAAGCTGCGTGATAATTAGCTGGTTAGTTATTTATGCTGTGTATGTCAGCACCCTCCCTCTCCAGAAAACGGACCTCCATATGATCTCATATTGCAAAGAGGTGATACGTGCAGTAGATTGGTTGCTTGATAGACCTCCAGAATCCACAGTAGAGAACGTGCTGATGGTGGGAGACCCTGAGGCTTCATCATCTTCCCGAGCACCGGCCGGCCCTGGAGGAGGCCTCGTCAGGCACACCCGTCCCCACCTGGGACCACAAATCGCTCGCGGCCTATCGATAGCGGCTGCGCGCGAGATTCGCGAGCGCTATCCCGGGACAATCACCCCTTTGCGGGCTCGGGCGCAGTTTCTGTGAAGAAGCTCGACGATGGGACGGAGTTCAGCCTCGTGGACGACGGGGGACGTGCATGGGTCGGCAAGAAGATCATCTTGGCTAGCGGGGTGAGAGACAAGCTGCCTGGAATCCAAGGCTGCGCCTAAGCTTGGGGTAAAACAATGTGAGAGTCCCAATGCTTGCTTATCGTATGCACGTTTTTAGCACATGGTGTGCTAGCCGTGACTTCATCTCAACTTACCAGCAAAATCACCCTCGGGATGTCACTGCCTGTTCTGTCACGGCTACAAACAAAGAAGCTTCGAGAGGGTCGGCATGCTCGTCGCCAAGAGCGCTCTCGACACCGAGGTGGATGTTGATGTCAACTTTGGTCACCTTGCCAAGCAATTCGCTGGGCGCATTTCCATCTTCCATCTTCCTTGATGGCAGTATAAACCCCCTTCAGGATCCGCGCATCATGAAGTTGAGAGACCAGGGGTTCGAGATCCTACCCCAAGCTGTCATTAATCTTGAACAAGAGGGAGAAAACGAGCCGGCTTGGATCGATGTGCATCTCGCTGATGGCAGCACGGAGCGACTGAGCTTTCTTGCGCATAAACCCCAAACCGTCTAGACATCTGATCTGCACGCCTAGCTGAGTATGGAGCTGGCTGAAAGCGGTGATATCAAGGTCAAGCCCCCATCTTACGGTTGAGTGAATCTTCGCTGCAGGGACTTCGCCGTGCCTCTCAAACAGGTCGCCTGGGCTGTCGCCACTGGTGCCACAGTGGGTTCGGGAGTTAACTTCCAGCTGCTCGAGGCTGACATCAAACAGGGCACAGGTGTGCTCAACGTGGTCGACATGGACAAAAATTCCTCTCGGGATGGGGAGTTTTCCCCCACTTCTGTCATGCAGTAAAAATAGGCGGTGCGATTCGCGCAATGCCCGCAATCCTTTGTTAAAAATTTATCGGGTGGCTTCTGGCGGCAGAAACCGGTGGAATGTTATCTGTCTTTGTTCTCCAAATAGGGTCATCAGGAAAAAGAGCGGAGCCATCGACGGATGCGTCACGGCAGATGTAGCACCACCACGAAACAGCCATTTGTTTCCCTCTCTTCAGTTTGCGCATGTCGACTCAGACGACAACGCAATAAATTCTACGATCAAGCTCTCGCCGTTGTTTTCCATGTTGCGTCCAAGGCATTTTCCACCAAATGACGACGCGGCTTGGAGCGATGATGCGCGCGACGATTTCGTGCCCTCAAACAACCCAAACTTTCTCACCAATGTCATCAAGGAGCACGCTCGGAGCATGGTCGGGGGAAAACGTCGCCATTGGGGTCCTCCCAGCGCTCCTCCCAGCGTCGCTATTTGGATGGCTGGATGTTCCCAACATACCGCGTTTGCTAGCTCCGCGCGCGTTGACTACCATTCACGTGGCTCACTCCCTCTACCGTCCGACCCATCGCTTGCACGGCAGCCCCGGCTGTTTTCTCTTTGTGACTCTCTCGGACGTGCGCAGAGGGAGTGTTGCTGGAACAGGCCATGGGACCTCACCGCACCCGGCTCCGCGTCTTTGTTCGGCGACAAAGTCGGACTGGCATGCCATTTCCTTTTTTTGCATCCGGCATCAAAGAACGACTCTGCAACTAATCTCTCCGTGACTTGCAGCCGAGCCAGATAAAGACGTACACGAGACCTTGACGGGCCCTACCACCAGGCTCCAAGAGACATCACCCGAATTTTGTTCCATACCTTCACTGGCCAAAGCACCCTACAACACACACTTACGGGCCTACACACACAACATGAGCCCTACCCAAAACCTCGAGGGGATCTCCCTAGCAAGGTTTTGCGAAGGCATCCGATACCAGTGGGAGACACAGCCGCTTCTCGAACATGCTGAAGATGCCGCGCCAACCACTTCACCACACAAGGTTTTGGTTCTCCTGCCAACAGAGGAGCAGCTCACCCAGTCATTCCTTGTGGGGGATGAAGACAGCGAGACAAGAGACTGGGCCCAGTACAACCCAGCGTTCTCCTCTATGCCGGTGCTGTTCAAGCACGCCCAGTCGCTTGGCGCCTCCGAGCAGGGCATCTTCAAGATCCGCATCCCCCCGAGCCTGACCAACAGACCCGAAGGAGACCTGCGTCTCCCCGCCGCCCTGCGCGGCAAGAAGCACCCCTGTGTGTCTTACACGCGGCAGGCCGTCGGCCCCGGAGACTTCGTCCGGCTCCTGCCCAAGGCCGTCAAGGGCGGCGCCTTCGAGAGGCCGTCGGCGGTAGAGGCCCCGAAGCCCATGGACGTGCTCCGCGCCTGGGAGCGCCTCTCGTCACTCAGCGACCGCAGCGCGCTCCACAAGACGCGCTACATGGTCGGCGTCGACATCATGAACGACGGGGTCCAGGACGGCAGGGAAAGGGCCAGCATGCCAGAGCTGAGCCTGATCCACCCTCTCAACGATAACTTCCTGCGCGAATTCAAGGCCATCCGGGGGATCATGACACCCTACAAGTACGAGGGCAAGCCGCTGGCCCCATTCGCGTGGCACGTCGAGGACGTGGACCTCATCGCGCTGAACCACCTCCTCCTCGGCACAAAGGTCTGGTTCGCCATCCCGCCGGGCTCGCGCGAGGCGGCCGAGCGCGTCTTCCAGGCGCAGGAGCTAGTCCCACAGGCTAGAGTAGACCAGGTGCAGTTCATGCGCCACGACTCTATCGTCGGCGGCCACAGGGCGCTGCGCGCCGCCGGCGCCGCCGTCATCCCCGTCATCCAGGCGGCCGGCGAGATCGTCGTGACGCTGCCCAAGACGTACCACTCCGGCTTCAGCGTCACGTACACGGTCGCCGAGTCGGTTAACTACGCCGACGTCCCCGTCGACCTGGAGAATTACCAGTTCTGCCCGGCCGGGTACAGCTGCGGCTCGTGCAAGATCCAGAAGGTGGACTTTGAGAGGGTTGAGCCATGGTCCGGCGCCGGCACGCCGAAAGCGTTCGAGACTGACAGCACGAGGAGTCGTCTTTCGACGCCCGAGACCGTCAGCGACGTCGAAGGCTACCAATACCAAATCATCTCCCCAATCAAGACCGAATCCCAGCCAGCGGGTTCCCCTAAACTAGCGCCCAACCCAGTTCCTAAGCCGACGGGCGACGGCAGCGAGTCGCCCATTTCCATGCTCGAGGCCACGCCCGACATGGAGATGCGGGTTGAGGTCAAGCAAATAGCTATTGCGGCGGACGGAACCCTTCGGCTGCCCGTATTTGAGGAGGAGATTGAGGTCATAGCCGAGGCCTCGCCAGACATCGCCCCCATGTTGACGCCCAGTCCGGTTCCGGACCCTGCGGGAGGGGGCAGCGAGCCGCCCTCACCCCCGCTCGACGTCGCCCCAGGCATTGAGGTCGAGGCCCAGGTCGAGCAGGAAGAAGTGGCCATGGTTCAAACCCCTGATTCACTCTTTTCTGACTACGACGATATCGAGGTCCAGGTTGGGGAGGTACCTGCGGTCGCGGGCGAAATCCCAGGGCTATCTGTTTACGACAAAAGCGTGGCCGAGGACCAGTTCGAACAGACAGCTGCCCCCGTAAGCAAAGCCCCATTACCAGTTTACGGCGAGGGCGATACTCCCAGGTCACCAATCTACGACGAGGACGGTATTGAGGTCCATGTCGCACGTCCACCCGTGGCTGCGGATAAAACCCCTCACTCCCCCATTTACGACGAGATTGAGCGCATCGTCGACGAGATCAGCATCGGCGCCAGCGGCGCAGGCGGCGTCCAGCGGTCTGACTTTGAGGCCACGCAGCCCGAGGAGTGGACGGACCTGCGCTGGGACCCCTACGACCCCGACGCGGATCTCGACGCATTCCATGACTACGACTCTCAGGAGTCGAGCCCGGACGAGGAGATAGACTACCTGTCGGAGGAGCTGTCCGCCGAGGAAGCTCCCATCTGTATACCCCTGGCCGAGCCCGGAAGCGAGCGGAAACGGAACCGCTCCGCAGACGAGGGGATGTACCCGTGTAAGCCCCCGCGGAAAGTGCGGCGGGTCGAGGGCGACAACGGAATTTCCAGACTGCCGGATCGGAGATGTTCTGTTTGAAGGTTGTTTCTCCATCATCTATCTATCTAGCTAGCTTGGTTTTAACATTCGATTTCAGCGTTGGCGACGGAGGAGTTTTGCGCAAAGCGTCAAGGCGGTGTAGGTCTTTTAGAAACAGTTTCATACCCTTCGATCCCTCCCATTGCTTTGCACCTTGAACTCGAGCCCACAACCCACACACGCTTATCATAGCCTCCCACGACTCCTCCCCGCTCCGACGAGTACATGATGGATGCGCGGTGAGATCCTTGAGATCCGTCAGGGCGTTGTCGGAGGCTTGGATCACGATTCGCTGGGGCGGCTGGGTCGCTGAGCTGAGGGAGGAGGAGGAATCACAAGGAACCATGACAAGGGTGAGTGTGTGTGTGTGTGTGGAAGATCGCGCGGTGAAGCTGCAATCTAAAACGGCAGCAGTCGTATATTGGAGTGAATGTAGGGGTTTTATTTCCCAGAGCCACTGTCCTGGTCCTCTGTAACGTACATCTGACTGTAGAATTGCATATCTCCTCATATGCCTAGATATGCACTTTCAAGTTTCGCGCTGTGCCCCGTTTCACACCCCCCGGACCGTCTCAACAATCACCTCGCAACACCACATCGAACAGCCTGCAACTGAGCCACAACTACATCGATGCCTTCCTCCCATCATCACGAAGGTCAGCCAAACCTTCATTTACAGGTCGCTGTCCCACTCGTCGCCGCTGGCCTCGTCGTCCTCGTCGAGGTAGTCGTCCAGGCGCTCCTTGAGCTCCTCGACGCTGATCTCGCCGCCGTCCTCCTCGGGCTCGATCGAGGAGGACCCCTTCTTGGGCGGGACGAGCACGCGGGCGACGACAAGGATGACGCCCTCCTTGGAGATAACGTCGGACACGGTGATGGGGGCGTAGCCATTGATGGTCAGGCGCCTCCAGCCGCCGAGGTTGTTGATGTCGACCGAGAGGCTCGACCTGCCGAGGAGCGTGGGCAGCGAGACGCGGACGTTGCGGGGCTCGTCGGAGTCGCCGTCGGGGATGGTGAACTGGTGCTGCTGCTGCTGCTCGACCTCGGAGCCCTTTCGCTTCTTGCGGCCGCCGCGGTGGCGGTCCTGGTAGAAGGCGTCGCTGTAGAGCGTGTTGTTGGCGACGACGTGGTACTTGAGCAGCGCCTTGAGGTACCTGCGGTTCTTCTTGCCCGACTTGAACAGGAACGCGTTGGCCTTGGAGCCCATGCGCTCGAAGGCGTGGTTGGTCGGCGCGAAGATGGTGGTGCCGTTGAGGGCCAGGTCCTGGAAGTAGCCGACGAACTCGGTCTGGTTGAGCGCCTTGACGAAGCAGTCGAAGCGCTCGGGGATGAGCGAGATGATCTTGGCCGCCGGCGGGGGCGGGAAGAGCGGCGCGCTGATGACGTGCACGACGCCGTTCTTGGCACGCTACAGGAGGAGGTAGAGTTAGAGGTTAGATTCCTGGTCGTGAGTGGAGCGGGGAACAGTATGCGAAACTTATAATGTTGGCGCCCATGACCTTGCTGAAGAAGTTCATGCGCACTCCACCAAACAGCCCGACGCGGTTGCGCAGCCGCTGGGGGCCAGCTTGTAGAACTTGGTCGTGTACTTGCCGTTGGAGATGAGGTCCCAGATGGTCGAGTTGGTCGAGTTGGGGGGAAGATACGGCTGCTCTGGGCTTCCAGGGTAGCCGGGCTGGCTGCCGTCGCCAGGGTAGCCAGGGTTCTTGCGTCCGCTTCCTCCGTCGCCTCCATCACCACCGCCTCCTCCTCCTCCATCGCCTGGCTTCTTTCCAGGCCTCTTTCCAGGGCCGCCGGGCTTACCCGGACCGGGCTTGTGGGGATCCTCGGGCTTCTTAGGCGGAGGTGGGGGGTGGTGCGGCGGCGGCGGGTGCGGAGGAGGGGGGTGGTCCTTGGAGCCCTCGAGCTGACGCTCCTCGGCTCCGAAGATCTCCTCGAGCGTCTCTTTGCTGTACTCGGCGGCCGTCTGCATGCGGTGCGAGATGTACTCGAAGGTCTCGCGGGTCGACGACACAACCCGCTGGGCATGCAGCTCCGGCTTTCGGAACAGTACCGGGTCGGGGAACACAAAGGCCGACGAGGCCGCGGCCAGGACCGACAGCGCAACGGCGGTCCTCATGTTGGTGGAGCGTGTCTGAACCTGCACAAAAGAATCAAAGCTGCCAAGCCACCTATATATCAGTGTTCGTGAACAGATGAAGAGTAGCGGGGAGGCCACCGAGAGACGTAACAGCAAGTAGGAAGCTGTGTAAAGCCCACAATCACCAGCCCTTACCTGCGGTGCTCCCTGTGAGCTAGAATGTAGTCTACCCGGTCGACGGGTGGTGACAAAGGTAGGAACCCTCTGTGACTTCTGCCGTAGGGGCCAGCGGCTTGGTGAAGGAGTAGAGGGGAAAGGGCAAGATGCTCCTAAGATCGAGAAAGTGTCGCGTTATATGGAGGAAGCGACCAAGCGGCGATGGCGTCGCCAGCGCCTGCGTCTCGGCAAACGGCGGGTTCCCCTCTCCATCCGTAGCGGGAGAACTACGCACAGCCCAGTTCAACCCCGCGCGCGTCGTGAGGGATTCCCGGGCCCCTGGGATGGCTCGCCAGCGCCCGAGCGCGCGCGCATCTTTCGTCCCAATATTTGCCAAACCATTGGCAAACGAGCGCTGGCCGCGCACTCGCCACAACTAGGAAGGCTATAATATAGGGCAGACGCACGCAGCCCCCTCCGGCAGGCAACCCGCGGCGACGTCGCCCACGCCCAGGCCGGGACTGCGCGGTCTCGCGGCGCGTGGGCGGGGGGACAGCGACGGTGTCCGCGTCAGCTCTGCGGAGAGGTGGAAGCACATCGAGGGGATAGGGAAAGAAGGCCGAGAAAACAGCATGTCAGCGCGCTGCATGCAACCCCCGTCTTCGCCCTGCGCCCGAGCGCGCCGAAAGCCGGACCGGCAGCGCGGGCCCCCAATCCGGAGTGCAGGGCGGCAAAACGGGCTGCCATTCTGGGCTGTTGTTGGTAAACGCTATTCTACCACCTTGGCCAAGGCAGCGCCGAAAGGCAAAATATAGATGCAACAGCAGCGAGACGCGACGAACCTGCCTCTGCCCAGCTTGGCGGTTACAAAGCAGCAGACCTTGGCACCCCCATGACAAAATTATTGGCACCGCAAAAAAAGGTAGGGTGGAGGGACGCGTAGGTTCGAGGGTCGATTTAACGGGTTTGGGAGAGGATACGCCAGCCGGATCTCTTGGAGATTCCAGCCCAACGAAAAACAGCATTGTGACTGTAAGGACACTTTTCTGAATCAAGGAAATCGCATACAGATTGCACGCGTGTTTTACTAGGCGTTGAGAGCTTTTTAGACATCGTTGAGGCTTTGTTGTGACGTGGTTTGGAAAAAATCGAATTGCGGTGCCAATAATTTTGTCATGGGGGTGCTTGGCTAGACGGCGATGTGGTCATCTTTAAGCTTTGTTCTGGCTGGGAGTGGTTATCTGCCTCGTCTCTTGTTGTGTTTGTGCTCCTCGTCGCCCAGAAAACTGAACGTAATCGCTCCCAGCCAGAACAAAGCTTACAAAGGTGCCATTCAGTTGGCGTCCAGGTCACATTGATGAGGCAAGTAGAAGAGCTGATCCCAAAAAAAAAGTCACGAAAGAAATACAAGACGAAATCTCAACACAGTTTAATCTAACCTCAACGAGGGGTATCTGATAACAAAGCCCAAAGTCTTCTACGACCCGCTTGCATCCGCCGCGTTTCCTCCAAACAATTCTCAAACCCGACATCGCACATTGCCGCCATCAGCGCCACTACCCCTCACCTTTTGATAGTGTTTCTTAGCCCAGACCCTACGGGGTAATAGCGAGGCTTTCGCCCGGGCTAAACCCTGTCTAATAACAGACGAGACGAGAGGACTAGATACGGTTGGCCGTGTTGCGGCCCCAGATTTTGGGCGGGCAGGGGGCTAGCCGCCGCACCTCGACGGCCGGTATCTCGCCCAGCGTCGAGACCGCCGCCACCGAGTCGAACGAGCGACAGCGGCCCCCCACCTCGGGCGACGATGAGCCGGTTCTCGGCCCGCTTGGCGGGCGAAAGATTGGAGAGAGGGAGAAGCGACGGTGTGAAACCAGGTCACGGATGGGCAATATCAGACGAAAGGTCTTGTGCTCCAAACAGTGAATCTTCTTATCCCGTTGCAGCGCTGCGGGCGTGCGGTTTTTGCGTGACTCGAGATTTCCTATCAACAAGCGTTACTGGGATGGTTTACGAGAAATATCATGGTCGATAACTTTTGGTCCTGCCTGGCTTGTTTGCGATGGCGCGGAGAACCCGTCTGAGTCAAAAAAGAGGAACAACACGATGATCCTTTCACTGCGCCGTCGCCCAGGCGAGACGCTGGTAATGTTGACGGCCCCGGCCCCAGCATCGTGATTACCAGCAATAGCCAGCAATAGGGCTATCGTGTTCCGCCCCTGGGTGTGGCAGCCTCTGTGCCTCGCGAACTCCTGCAAGGGACCTGACATGCTTGTCAGACACGGCGACAGAGCAGCACCATCTTAGGAGGTTGCTCAATCCGGGGGCGCTGATCGCGACGTTGACACATCGAGACTTTGATGGGCGAATCTGCATGTCTGCTAGTGCGATCCTTTGATCAATTAACACGAGATTGCACAGCCGCTGCTCGTCCGGGTGGGCGCACATTGCCGGCTATCGGATCGCTCGACCCTGGCTCGATGGAGACTTGATGGCCAAGCCAAAGTGTGTCCACGAGGCGTCAGCCAGAGGGGCCGACGAACCCTGCTTGCACCATTGCCAGAAGCAAAGATTGAACGAAAGAGTCGACACAGCGATCTGGGTGCCGATCCTCGGAACAACAACAAACAGCAACAGTCCACGGTTCTTTATCTCGGTTCTTGGCGTTTACCCAGGGCCCGCGACGTTTGAAGTTTCCGCCAAACGACGACGCAAGGGAGGACCTAGACCAGTGTGCACCGTCATCAGTCCGGAAATTTTTAATAAACTGGTCGTAAAAGTGGGAAGGAATGCAACCGGGAAAGCGCGAAGGTGTCGTGATTGGGATTTGAAAGTTTTGGTAGAGTGAGAAAAAAAAGGAAAAAAATCATGCTATGGTTGCTTGCGTGTGCCCGGACTCGAACCGGGAGCCCATCGATGGCAACGATGGATTTTACCCTTAAACCACACACGCTTATGATGATTGATGTGATTCAGTACACTTCTCCACCTGATATCCATCATGCCCCTCCCATTAGTCGCCATAAAAAAGTCCTCTACTCTTCCATCGCGGCATGCACCCAACAACTTTTTATCTCGAGCAAACATGAATGATGTGCCGTAAAGATTATTCGTTTACTATTTCTGCGTTATGTCGCAGTATTGAAGTCGCTGGTTATCGTTACAGTGTAATACCAAATGAAGCAGATGGGTATAAAAACGTCGTGTGCAAATCCAGAATTCCCTTAGACACCCCTCAGCACATCACCTCCCCACAATCTTGTTTCCGATCATCAATTACCACCTCCCATTGTTCTTGTTGCTCAAGCCCGTCACCTCGGGTGCCGGGTGCGTCGAGCCGTAGTAGTCGGCGTTCTGGCCCTGGCCGTTGTGGTGCGTCGCCGTGAAGGCCGGCGCCATGGGCGTGGGCCCGCCGGCCTGCTGCTGGGGCGGGGCGTAGGGCGGAGGCGCTGCCGAGCCCGGGTTGTAGTAGCCTCCTCCGTTGGGCTTGTTGGCATTCATGTTGTTGTGGTTGTTGTTGTTGTTTGCGTGCCAGCCTCCTCCCCACTTGTGCGCCGGGCCCGTCCCGCCGGCCACCATGGCTCTCCTGCTGCTGCGCCGTTTCCGCATGACGCAGAAGAGAGCCAGCAGGAGGACGAAAATACCGGCGGCGACGAGGCCAAAGATTCCGCCCGGGTGGAAGTATCGCCTGCGGTCGTTGCCGTAGTTGTACTGCCGCGCCACGAGGCGGACAGCCTCTGACGTTTGTTGTGAACTCGGGATGTACATTTTGCTCGCTGCTGTGGGTGGTTGTTTGGTGGTGTTGATGTTGTTGATGTTGTTGGGCTGTGAGCTTGTCGTTGATTTGCGTAATGGATGTTTTTTGTTTGGCTTTGGCTGAGAGGTCAAGCTGGCGAACCCAAAAATGAGAAAGGCCTCGACAGACAGCCTTCTTTTAAGCAGAGTGCAGGACTGGCCAAAAACCCTTAAACGGCCGGGTTTGGATTCGTCAATCTTTGGTGGTCGCCCTGTAGGCTTCCACAGGCGTCTTTTCTGCCTTTCACACCACTTGAGCCTTTCTTGGCTAGGGCGTATGACTTCATCGTGACCTTGCTGCGGCCGCTTCGTGCGGGGCACATGCAGGGTCTCCATGTGGGCAAAGGTTGTGCTGCGCCTTCCTATGCAAGCAAAGAAAGGGCGTCAGCGCAGACGTCACCCAATCCAAGCCTTGCACAGCCGTGGCGTTGATCCCTTTGGATTCGCCACGCACACCTTATCTTTCTTCTTTTTCCATGTCGGCATTTGGAATCCCTTCCATGACGAAGCCGTGCCCTCTAGAAGCGTCCGCTGTGCCGAAGATCGATGCTTGGCTGACACCGTCGATGCAAACCGGTCAGCACCAGCTGCCGTATTTGACCTTTTGTCGTGGGAGCAGCGCAGCGAATCTGTCACACTCAGGAGGCCAGTTTGCCCAGCATTTGTATTTACGGGCATCGATATTTGACAAATGGCTCCGACGCGACTTCTGACATCATCCAAGCACATTCATTCGGGACCGAGCACAGCCTCAGCCACATTCTTGGATTCCGACAGAGGGGAATGTGCTTCTGTATTCGTCATTGTTTTCGGCCTGAACGGCCGGTCTTCCGTGAATTGAAATTCTACACAATCCAAAGGCCGTTCGCAGGTGAATGCAATGCAAACCCGAAATATCGGCCCTTGCCCTAGGGCCTATCTGGTTATTCTACTATTGGAATCAGTATCCATTGTCATTATTTGACATTTTTTTTTTTGATCCTGGGCGCTTTCTCCCTTTCGCACGGGCTTTATGACCAGAAGTGCCCAATGTAAGACTCCCATTGAGGGTTATCATAAACATCCGAGGGCATCCTTTCCAACGCCCAAAACCCGACGCCAATGAGGATCAGCCGTGGCACTGCCAGTGAAAATAACACAAACTCCCACGCGACCCAAGTCTTCCACGGGAGATATTTGTTATCGATCCGGGTCGCCTGCTGTTCGATTCGCCGCTGCAGGACCGTCAACGGCAACATGGCCATTGAGCTGCCGCGCCAGAGCCAACGAGCCATAGGAGAGTTGAACGGGTAGTTCCAGGCGGCAAGGTAAACACTTGCACAAACACTCCCCATCATAACCCAGAGCATGTGGCTATTCTGGCCATCCAACTCCAAACTCGTGGGCAGGGTGCTTGCCATGCTTGTTGTCCCCAGGGTCCCGCTTGCCGCCACAATGGACGGTTCCTTGACGACCTGCGGACAGGAGAACAACGCGACATACACACTCAAACCGCAGACCACATACGCGATTGTAAGGACCTCGAGGAGGGAGAGGTGGCGCTTGGTTGCAAGGCGCCATGCCACGTTGGCGAGGAACCAGAGGACCTGGAAGACCGTCAGGGTTTTGGCGAGTCGGTCGGACCCGGTTCGATTGTAGATGTCATCCAGAGACGGCGCGTCGGACCGCAAGATCTTGGATGTCTTGACAAGGTCGACGAACGTCGACGGGCTGACCTTGCAGTACTGCTTGTGGGCAACAATCTTGGGCCCGGCAAAGTCATCGTACGTGTAGGTGCTCTGAAACATCCCGGCGGCGAACGCCATCCATGCCATCAGCTTTCGGGGCCGCCGCCGCTCGTACGTCGTCTCCTGCAGCCCTCACCCGCCGATGACTACATGAAACGCCTGGCACAGTTTCCAGTCCCTCCAGCCCGGGCGCACGCGAATGATGTTTCGAAGCTTCAGGGAGCCGATCAGAAGGTCGATGGCGTGAAAGGTCTGGTACTCAGGTAGCATGATTGACCTGACGAACCTGGCGAGCCTGGGCTTGAACCCTGTCTAGCTGACCATCGGGTGGTGTGCTGCCCATGTCGTGAGGAATATCGTGGCCGCACAGGACCAGATAATACTCGCCGTGCCGCGCCCGGTGTTGGGGATCGGAGTCCATCCCTGGAACTTGATGTCGGACATGATGTTGATGACCGGGTTCAACTAGTGGCAGGGCGAGTGGCACATGGGACAGGATCGCCGTGGCGGCGTCAGGGGACGGGAACTAACCTGGGGCCAGTCGGGGCAGAATAGGCGGGTAAAGAGGATCTTTTAACATGGTAGAAGGTATTGTTGTTGAATACAAATGGGCCGCGTTTCAATGCCAGTCAACCAAACCATAAAGAATGCCTTGTGGCTAGCCTGTAGACCTGTGGGCAGAGTCTGGTTCGGCCCACTGCAGAAAGCACGCTAGCTTGGTCTGAAGGCATCGCGGTTCAACTAGCAGTACGCAAAGCTGGGTAAAGCTGGGCATAGCCACCGCCACCGACAGAGAACTGATATCTCCATGCCTATCACTCAATTCTCTTCAACAACAACACCAGGTTGACAGGCGTAGTGTCCCAAACGGACGGATGGTCCAACTTTTGGAGGCAGGAGGTAACGAGTGTCAGTTTCCTTGCTTGCATAAAAGTCTGTCAATGTTCCTCTCGTCTCCCTTAACGCGGGACCGGAAAAACAATGCAAATGAGACACAAGCCTAGGAATATACCGGTATGGGCTGGATACCAACTAACTCGAGATGATTTGCTGTTGGCTCACAGAGTCTTATTGCTACAGTACTTTTTCCACACCGAACCACATCACAAGCTCTGGACCATATCTGTGTTTGATAAGCGCGTTTGCATCTGAGCCAGTTATGAGGCTTCCATAGTCCTGCAGGAATTATATGCTTGGGGTGCATCCATATTCGAGTTGAGTACTTTATAATTATTTATTTTTGGACAGCTGATGCAACTTTTCCCACCGGATTTCATATTTCCAGCCAGCATTTAAGCATATATGGCATAAAAGCAGGAAACTGTCGGTTTACCTGCCGAGGGTCAGTCCCGACCAAGGCCGTATACCTTGTCAACGGGCGGGTAACTACAGAGGACACGTCAGTATCGCAAGAGCACGATATGTGTAAAGGTTTCTAAACGAGTGATTGCGATCGACGCGGTGCAGGCGGCTCACACCCCACACGAAAATATAAACGTAGGCGGCGCGGCCCATCTGACCTGGTCCCACAATCTGCCTTCCTGTTCACGAACACCAGGCAAGGGCAATCCCCCGGATCTGACTCGCGATAGCGCGACGATTTGTCAGGTCGAGCACGATCACCGGTGGACAATAATGGCTCCGAGGACCGCCTGTGTGCCGGCGCCGAGGGGCCGGATCGCCAAGACGCAATTAATGAGGCCCTGGTCGTGCGGGACGGCTCGGTCCCATCTTGATGGAGATCACGAACGATCGGCGCAGAGTGGGGGGTTTGGATTCAGCCGCACGGCACCGTGTTGCGAGGCCGAGCAGGTGACTGACAGATATCATTACGACATCGCATGGTTCTCGCCGCGTCGGTGGATAGAACAAAAAAAGAACAGGTGCTCCACAGACCGACATACGATCCCACCCCCCACCATGCGGACTGCCGTGTCAGTGCGAACGCCAAGGGGGTCCCGTCGACCAAGGCCGGACCTGCCCTCACGAACGCTCCGATCTAAGCCCATGGGGGAAGCATGTTACGGAGGCTGGTTCATGAGTCCTGGGGCGGGAGGGGCCGATGGAAATTATCGTGACCTCCTTCGGACAAGATTCTCGTAAACACCGAGAGGAGGGTGCAGCTAGTGGAGATTTTATGGTAGAAAGTGGTGGGATCGGCATAGAATGGGAAGGTACACGCCGGAAGCCATTTCAGAGGAAGCAAGGATGTTATCATCACCTTGAGGAATAGATGGCGGATCGGTTGAGCTGCTGGATGTATAAGAGACTCGCCATCACAACGAGCAGGCAAGTTAGGATTTTCGTGAGCCACCATCTCCTCCTCATCCAAGTCCAGCATTGTTCAGCATCGATCATGATCCGACACCTCAAGGAGATAGCCCTGGTGGCAGCTTGGCTGCCCCAGCTGGCGCTTTGCAATGTGTGCAGCACTCTCGCCACTTCGTCATCCTCCATCAACATTGTCCGGCCCCTGTCCGCCAAGTACAACATGGAGCAGACCGAGTACTGGTCTACGGGATGTGGCAAGCTCCGGCCTGAGTGCATCATCTACCCCAGCTCGGCGGCCGAGGTCTCCCGGATCGTTTCGGAGCTCCGCGGCAGTAACGAGAGCTTCGCCGTCAAGTCTGGCGGCCACAACCCGAACCTGTACTACTCGAGCATCAGCGGGGGACCGCTCATCTCAACGGGCAAGCTGAACCAAGTTGAGCTCGACAACGTCACGCAGACTGCTCGGATAGGCCCGGGTCTCAGATGGGACGAGGTCGCTGCCAAGCTGGACGGGACGGGCTTCACCGCAGTTGGCGGCCGTATTGGGAACGTGGGCGTCGGAGGGTACATGCTGGGTGGTGTGTTATGCACTTTATTCACTGGCTTTACTGAAAAAGTGCTAACTTCTCTCACCAGGCGGCTTGAGTTTCATGTCGACCGAATACGGCTGGGCAGCCAACAGCGTTGTGGCCTATGAATTGGTCCTGGCGAATGCTTCCGTTGTTACGGTCACTCGGGACGCCCACCCCTCCCTCTTCAAAGCACTCCAAGGAGGCGGCAACAGGTTCGGGATCGTGACCGCCTTCGTGGTGCAGGTCTACCCTCAGGGGCAGGTCTGGGGCGGCAACTACTTCTTCAACTCGACCCCGGCCACCGACGCCGCCCTGCTCCGGGCCGTGCGCGACTTCACCGTCAACTACCCCGACCCCAAGGCCGCCATCATCCTCACCGCCGAGCGCGCGGGGCTGGGCACCATCGACTTCTGGACCATGTTCCTGTACTACAACGGCCCGACGCCGCCGCCGGGCGTGTTCGACAACTTCACCGCCATCCGGCCGTTGGGCAACACGTGCAAGACGCGCACCATGAGCCAGCTGGTCAGCTGGAACAACTGGGCCGTGGTCAAGGGCAGCGTCTACACCATCGGCACCGAGACCATCCCCGTGCCGCCCCCGCCGGCCTCGGGCGCCGACGCCGATACGGGCCTCGCGGCGCTTGAGGACGTGCACGCCAACTGGCGCGCCGCGTCCAAGACGGTCCTTACTGTCCCCGGGCTGATCGCCAGCACGGCCTACCAGCCCATCCCGCGCTCCATGGCGGCGCTAGCCCGGTCCAAGGGCGGGGACCTGCTGGACCTCGACGACGACGCGGACCGCATCGTGCTCGAGTACAACTACAGCTTCCTGAGCGAGTCGGACCGGTCGGCCGTGGACGTGGCGATGCAGGCCACCTACAACGGCGTGCGGGAGCGTACCCAGGCCCTCGTGGCGAACGGGACCCTGCCCGACGTGTACCTCCCCCTGTTCGCCAACGACGGGTACTACCGGCAGGACGTCTTCGGCCGGCTGCGGCCCGAGAGCCAGGCCCTGGCGCGCAAGGTCAGGGATGAGGTGGACCCGGAGGGTTTGTTCCAGGAGAGGATGGCCGGGTTCAAGATTTGATGGGCATCACGACCAACTCGTGCTAATGTTGCAAATCCATATGCATATGGTGAAGGAGAAGGACAGAGTCGACAGCACCCTTTGTTCTGGCGGCTATACATGCTCGCGGAACATCAGCTCAAGTCAAGGGTTAGTGCATAATTGGATAATAAATAGAAAGCCCCTCGGCGAGATCAGCGCCCAAGTGACTCATGGTATCTCAGGGATTCACAGGCCGTACAGTGATGCGCATTTAACCTTGATGGTCAAATTGACGCAGGAACGTAAAAATGATGTCTGGTTTCCATGTCATTTCCTCGGAGGCACACTAGCCAAGGTACTCTTAACCGGCCACCCGGAAGAAGTGAAGTAGCAATCGGGCTGCCCCCACAAGATGGTAGCTCGGAAACCCGATTCGACCGGCAAGATGCAGGCAGATCGTCGCAACTCCTGCACGGCATGCATTTCGCCGCGCCCACTCTTGGCGCTGTGCCTCTCTCTCCCCCGCATGCTCCCCGTCTCGCGAAACTCGATTCTGACCTGCCACTTTTCCCTGTGAGCATACCACAAGATTGTCACTAATACAGAGTTCCGATGGTCACTCAAAGAAAAGAAAACCAGGGAGAAACGGGACGGCACGATGTCTTGGCCGATATACACTACTACGACGACCCCGGAGACGGCTCGGCCCCGCCTCCCGTCATCGCCGGCAGGTGAGCCGACGAGCGAGATGGCCCGAAGCTACAGACGAAAAACCGAGCGCTCACCGGGAACGGACTGTGGTCTCTCCCACTTTGACAGCAACCAGGTGATCAACGAGCGGCCGATGGCCAAGGTCCAGACCGTCATCCGCGACGTGCGGGGCGAGGAGGACAGGTACACGCTCGACAGCCACGGGTTCCAGTTCCACGACCACTCGTCCGGGTACGGCGGCGGCGACACGGCGGCCTGGCGCGACGAGGCGAGGGTCAGGGCCGAGTACTATCCGGAATGCGAGCAGCTGTACAAGGATGTGTAAGCGCGAGGGGTAATCCTCCGTATCAGGTCCGACGTGACGCAACCGGACTTGGCTGACGTCGACGCATCTCTCCCCGCCCCCCTCCCCGACGATCAGGACAGGAGCGTCCCGCGTCCGGGTGTTTGGTCATCGGGTGCGCCGTGGGCCGACCAACTGGCACTCCCTGGGCCCGGGCAACGCCGACCGGCGAGGCCCGGTCCACGGCGCCCACGTCGACCAGTCGTACGACGGCGCCGTGACCGAGCTGCGCTTCTACCTGCCCACCGAGGCGGACGAGCTCCTGAAGCGGCGATTCCAGATCATCAACGTTTGTCCCCCCCCTTTTTGACCTGGCAGTTTCTTTGTCGCGCCCCGCGAGAGGCCTCCCGAAAACTGACATGCATACGCCTGGCCCCGGGCGTCCGTAGATCTGGAGACCGATCACCACGATAGTCAAGGACCCCCTCGCCGTGGCGTCGTCGCAGTCCATCCCGGACGAGGATCTGCTCCCGGCCGAGGTCCGGCTCCCATCGCACACCAAGGAAACGTGGACGGTGCTCTCGCCAAACCGCCCTAACCGTCCGGCGGGGCTGCCGCGCCATGAATGGTTCTTCAAGTACAGGCAGCGGCCGGACGAGGTTCTCCTCATCAAGTGCTTCGACAGCGAAGAGACGGTGGCCAGGCGCGCCATCCACGCCGCTTTCATCAACCCGGAGACGGCCGACATGGATGGTTGCCGGGAGAGCATTGAGCTGCGGGCTCTGATTTTCTATTGACGAGGTCATACTCATTACTACTGAGGCCGCGTGCCAATCATAACGTGGTGTCGGGCACCTGGGTGCCACAGTCATCTGGGCTGCCCAGAGAGCCGGCGGACAGAAAGAAGGCACCCCAAACGGACACCGTCGGTGCCTGAACCAACGTAACGACGGCCGTGGGCGTCAGTGGGGGAAATCTACAAGCAGCAAAGTATACGGGTATGATACAGCGGTATAGTGCGCCCGACGTAGCCAGCATTTTTCCCATGCACGAAAGGAGACTCCGCAAAATTGCCCAAGCCAAACCCAGAACAAAGAAAGTGCAATGCCCGAAACAAGGAAACAAGAATGGAGTTGAGTCTTGCCGTACTTCCCAGGGTCGCGTGGTTTACTGGAATCTTGGGATATGTCGTGTTCGTGATCTCCAGAGCCACGATTTCTGGTGGTGTCGTATATATTATCGAGAACGCGCAAAGGCCAGCTCGGTGGCCCACCGCTGTCCAACAAAATACCAGATCATATTCACCCAGAAACGAGCATTAAACTCGCCCAAATACCGCCCGCGACTTGCGGAAACGGCAACCTAGAAATTAAACAGTGTGCCGGGCACTCTAACTCTTTGCTGGAAGGGCCGAGTCTAGACATGAGAGAAGCTAGATGAGGGAAGGCGTTAGCAAGTCTGCACTGCGAACCGCTGGGAGCTGAAATAACCCCTATGAGGCAGAATAATGCGGATCCTACCTCGGTGCCGACAATTCCTTGGTTGGCAAGATACCTTCCCACACCCTTGATGAGCTCAATCTGCTCGTCAGGGGTAAGGCCGGTGATGGCATCCTCGAGGACACCTCCGAGGCCCAAATGATGAGTGGCGATGAAGGTGTGGTAGTAGATGTAGGAGAAGAAGCCCATGGTGAACTGGCAGTCCATGCGATCAGTCATGCCGCCGTGGCCCGGGATCGAGTCGCCAAAGTCCTTGATCTTGAACGTGCGCTTCAGGCCGGAAGCAAAGAATCCACCAAAGGGCGCGATGAGGGAAGCAAAACTGGCGATGACCAGAGAGTGCAGCTGCATGGTGGACATGGTGATGCTGAGCTTGTGGGCCCAGTCGCGAGGCAGGAAAACAAAGTCGGGCAGCGTGTAGGTCTTGGGGACGAAGACCGGGTTCGGGTCACACGCGAGGCCAGTGAAAATGTTTGCGCCGAGGTCCTGGTACGTTGAAGTTAGCGAAGCACAGATGGCAGGGAAATGGACAAATATCTGGGGCCTCTCACAGTGACGGGGCAGATGAAGTATTTGCTGCGGCTCAGTAGGTGGGTGAGAAGGATGCCGAACAAAACGGTCATGACCCAGGCGCCCACAAAGCCCTCGACTGTCTTCTTGGGCGACAGCTTGATGAGCTGGGTTCGGCCAAAGGTGATTCCGCAGATGTAGGCAAAGATGTCGTTGGTGATGACCAGGGCGGCCGGCATGAAGAACCAGAACATGCCCTCGAAGATGTTGTTCATGACAAAGTGCGCCTGCACAACGATGAGGTAGAGGGCCATGTGCGTCCAGGCGAAGTTGGTGAACTGGAACTTGTAATGACCGGCCTTGAGGGATGCGACAAAGAAGACGAAGCCGATCACGTAGAGTATGAAGCTAATAAAGCGGTGGTGGGTGGCCAGGGGCAGCAGGACCTTGTCGACAAGGACAATGTGTTTGAAGTAGTAGATGACGCTTTCGCCGTAGAGGAAGTACATGGCCGAGGCCAGCCAGTACCAGTTGAGACTCTTGGTCGAGCGCAGCTGCCGCGCGCGGCTGGGCACGTTGGCGATCGCGATGACCTCCTTGAACGAGATGATCTGGATCGTGGTGATGACGAGGATCATGTATATGTGGCCCATGAAGAGCGCGCCGAAGAAGACACCAATCATGACAAACGTCCACAGGGTGCGCGTGAAGAAGTTGGCCTTTTTCTTCTCGTATTCTGCCGTAGCCTGCTCCTGGGGGCTCGCTGGCTTCTACATCGTGTGTTTGTTTCTGTTAGCCTCCTGTGTCTGGTCCCAGTTTACGTCTCGCCGCTCCTGTCCCGCAAGCCATGTGCCCTTGGCCATAGGCGCCAAAGTTGGTATCATTGCGCGCGCACCTCTTGAATGTCGTTCAGGGTGGTAGGCGACCTCGCTAACGTCGGCGAGCCGCCGTCCTCGCTAACGTCGGAGAAGCTAGACCGTCTGCCATCGGAATAGCCATTTGTCCGGTGGGGGAATTTCACCCCTCTGCGAGGTTTCGCCATAGTCGCCAGTTTGACCTGAGAGGTAGAGCTTCGGGTCGGAGGAGGCAGGAGGGCGCAGGGCTATATCGATGTGGTCGCGGGGTGGTACCGGGCGGCGAGGAGGCGAGCGCTCGGTCGACGACGATGACGTGGGGAAGGCTTGAGGTTTCGTGGGAGTGGAGGAGCCCCGAGCGACGGCGCCAGGCTGCAGAAAAAGACGGGCTTTCGCAATCAGGAAACGCCAACAAGAAAGCAGTCGCACAGCGGCCGGGACTCGGCAGGAAAAATGACGGGGTTATGTGCCTGACAGAGGTTGCGCGCAGGTCGCAGTGTGTTGGGATGAAGGTGGAAATCTGTCCAAGAAGGCGGCGCACAATCGCAGAACAAGGCGCAGCCCCAACCAAGACAAGCTCGCTCCGCGTGGAGACGATTTTTGCGAATTTGGCCCCTGTCGACGTCAACGTGTGGCTCGGTACCAATGGACTCTGCATGTGTGTGTGTGTGTAGGCTTAGACTGGGGCGTGGCTGAGACCCACCAGTCCATCAATCCCTTTGGATGCATCTGTCAGAGATCCAGGATGGAAACGGGCCTGTTCCTACGCCATCACGCACCGCATCGCCTTGCGCGAGTCTCCCTCCATGGGCGCCACTGGCCCATCTGATCAGGCACCGAGGCAGGAAGCGCGGTTAGGTTGTAGGCACTCAGCATACATCATCCGACACCAGTGACGAGCCAAAAGCAAGGAGGCACGGGCAACGCTCAAGACATGCTGTCACTGGACGCAGCAGTCATGAGGTATGAGGATGCGTGCGCAGGCGCCTCTGCCCAGGGTGCCAGGCTCTTCCAGAGCTCCATGCATGTCCACGCAGCATGGCCCGTGCGGGTAGATAAAGCCTACAGGATGCGCTAAGTGCCCAAGACTTAGGACGGCCCAGCCGCTGGTGTGCAAAAACATGAGCGTTCCTTGCGTATCCAGGCCCGCCATCCAAAGTTAGCCCCAAATCTACCCGTCACAAGGGCTGCTTCTCCGTGTCAGTCCGCCACGATATCACATGCAAGGACGGATGGATAGATGCCCGGTTAAGTGGCTGCCCAATTGCAACGCCACACTTTAAAACGCCATATTGTGATGAAGCCGGAGCCCGGTATGTTTTCAACCTGCGGGAGAGAAGGCCGACGGAACTGCAGGTTAGTCCGAAATCCCGCATCTTGGCTCACAGAATAAGTCGAATCTGTCGCAAGGGGGCAGTTCGTCCAATGCCGAGCACGGGGCGCTGGATATGATGGCGGAGTGACTCGCTCTGCACCTGTCACTTGCGATTGGTGCCGATTGCTTGTCGATGTGAATCTCACCTGTCCCATCCATGAGAAGGAGCACTTGAGAAGGAGCAACTGAGGCATTGTGAGGCTGCGGTTATAGGCGGGCGCACGGGCCAATCGAGATACATAGGCAGACACAGCGCGTCAAGACCAAGCGCGCGTCCAGTTTTCCTACCAGGTAGCGAGGCGGGGCAGGCCCAACACCAAACGTTCCAAGAGTCTCAATGGCGCTCGCCATGAGGGTGATAAGCGGCGGCAATGGATGATTTCTCGGATGATGGATTCGACGAGCTGAACGACACGGTGCTCCAGGAGCTGGAAAACAATGCCATACAACTCACCCAGGCCCAGACCTTCAAACAAACCCAAGCACCGCCGCAGAGAGCCGGCCATCTGAGTCACCTCGATGCTGAGGACGAGGATCTCGACGATAGTGTCGTCTTCGATGAGCTGGCCCAACAGCCGGCTCACCCGCTCCCGACCCAGCAGAAGACCCTGATAATACATACCGTGCACGGCACGCGGCATTACCGCCCACAATGGAACCAGCCACCGACAAACCAGCAACGTCCTTCACACCCCGCCGCGACACTCTCTAGTCGCCCTCGATATCCTGGCCCTCCGCAGCTTGGCAAACCCCGCGGTACACAGGCCACCAACGGCCAGGCCAAGCCTTTCCAGCGCCCGCCGCCTCCACGTCCAATACCCCCAGCCCGACCAGCTGCCGGACCATCCGTCGCTCCTCCCCGGTTCGCTCCACCCCCATCTACTGGGCGCCCCCTTCTCGGGAACTTTTCCACGGGCATTGCTAGTCAGGCGGTTCCTCACGCGCCACCCGGCTCCCAGAGCGACAACATCATCGCCTCCCTGCAGGCACGACTCAACAGTCTGCAGAATGAGCTCACCACAGCCAAGGGGGAGGCGGCCCTACTACGCAACAAGTTCCAGGGGGCTCAAGAGGCACACGAGGCGGACCTCGACCGGATACGCAAGCAGAATGCGGACCAGCTGGCTCGACAGGAGCGCATCGCGGAGCGGGCTCTTGCTGCCGAGAAGACTGTCACAACCGAACTTCACTTTGCGCGGCAGGATCTGCGAGAGGAGAGAGGCGTGCGGACTCGAAAGGGGAAAAAGAATAAAGATAAGGATGTCGGCGGCGCAACAACACCCAAGAAGGGAGCGTCCGCGAAAGGCGCCGCGGCCGGCGCTTCGCGTTCAAACTGGGCGATCCCAGATGGCTTCGACGATGTCGAACTGATGCCATCCCCAAGCAAAGCCGCCGCCAGGAGAGCGAAAGATCCCGGCTCTCAACCCCCGAGCCTTTTCTTTGGCGAAAGGACACCATCCAAGGGCAAAAGAAAACGACCAGCTGTCGACAGCCCACTGTTGGGGGAACTAGAGATGGAGATGGATGGAAGTTCAGTCAAGGACGAGCTAGGTGCCTCCAGCACTCGCCCTGGATCGCTGCCCTTTGATGTAAGTGACGCCGATATCCACCTCATACATGCCATGGGCAGAGCACTAACCTTCCGATTTCTTGCTGTGCGCAGTTCTTGACACTCGTGCTCGACCATGGAGCGTTACATGACCGCCCCTTGACCTTTGAGCTTTTTTATCGTTACTCGTTCCCCTCGGACCAGGCTCAAACATTCGGCTCGCTTATTTTCTCCAAGGTACCGCTACTAGGGAGCCCTCAGGATCCCATCCGACTGCTCATCGACTTCTGTCTCCTGATCATCGAATTGTGGAGGCGGTGCCTCGAAGAAATGTACTACGAACCCATCTACGACCTGGTAGCTCTTGTTTCCTTCACTCTGCGGCTCCGAACGGTGCAGGTGGCGCCACACATTGTGGCATACCTTTTGCCAATCGCCCAGTCCACGGTCAACCTCGTTGCCGTACCAAGGTTTGATAGCGTGGACGGCGATCTATCGAGCAATCCCGACCCGGGCGTGCAGCGCGTGCTCGCTAGCGTCGACACTACCCCCATTCTCGGGTTGATGTATCTCGCCGCGCTCGGCTGCGCGGGCGCCCCACCCGACCTCGTCGATGGGCAAGATCCAGCCTCGCCACTGTTACAGTACTGGACGATGATCCAACCCGAGTTTATCCTCGCGCTGCTGTCGCCGAAGCAAAAGCCTGACGACTTCCTCGGCGCACTGGCGCTCTTGAGCACCTCGGCCCTGCAAAGCTCTCTGGGACCGGTGGTGCTGGACAACGATCCATCAAAGGATGTACACGTTATAGCCGAGGTGCTCATCAGCCGCATCAGCTACTCCCTCTCCGACCCGCCATGCTGGGTTCCTAAACGGTCCCGGCGCATGTGCGAGGTCAAGCTCGCGGCGCTTCAGACCCTGATAGCTTTCGCTCGAACTTCGTTTGGTCTGGCCAAGCTGACCCAGAGCGACCGCGCCATTCCACGGCTTGTCACCGTTCTCAGTGTGACTCTTGACATGCTCTACGACATGGAGATACCGACATCGGCCTTCCCGCTCGATGACCTCAGGCCTGCTCCCTCTAGGGAGTTGCCGCCACAGGACGAGCCACAAGATCCCAACGTGACCCAGGAAGATCTTCAGGCGGGCGCCAGTGTGCCCAGTAAGGAGTCTCCAGGGGCGGGGGCAGCTATAGACGCCGCGCCGATCCCCGTCAGCACCGAGGATAACCATCCCCCAACGGCACTTTTACACGCCATAATATCTGCCTCGGTCCTCCTCTTGCACACTGTGGTGACAGCCATTCCGTCTGAAGAGGAAGTCAACGATGCAGGAGTTAACAGCTCTAGCAACGTCGCAGCAAAGCTCGCGGCGTGGCAGGGCGGATCCCAAAGGTACTTGTTGACTCTTGCGAGAATCAATTTTGCAGAGGAGGACCTGGTCTTGGAGGCAGGAATCGACTCGGAGACTGCGGAGCTTGCCAACGAGCTGCTGGAGCTTGCCGTTACGCCGGATGAAGGAGAGGGGGTGCGCAACGTGTTTGGGTTCGAGGAGACATACTCTCAAGAGTGAGACTTCTCGGGCGAAGTCATGGAACCCGACGGAGTTGATAGTTTCCCAAACAGCTACTCAACATTACTAGTAACACATTCCCCGTTTTAAAATCGCCTTGTGTGATGGGCGAGGAAGAAATACGGCTGGTTGCCTACATTCTGGAGTGAACAAGCACTGGCCACGTCTTCTTCTCCTTCGGCACGCACTCTATCAGTGTTCGTACCAGTTCTCGGACATTAAATGGCTTTCTTAGCCAAACTCGCGTTATCGCATCGTCCTCAATTGAGCGAGCTTCGACAGCGCGTACGGTCATGTCAACTATTGGAACCCTCAGGAACCCTGCACTGCGGATCTTGCTCGCAGCTTCAAGGCCGTCCATGTCTGGCAGAGTTCGATCCATAAAGATGACGTTGTAACTGAGCGGGTTGGCCAGGAACATATCCACTCCTTCCTGTCCGTTTGTGGCAAAGTCCACGTCGGTGAACCCGAATTTAGAAACCTGCCGCTCGAGGATCTTGCTACAGACGAGGTTGTCCTCGACGACAAGTATTTTCGTTCGGGGGTAGATGGCCTCGATGTGGTTCCTCTGCTCGCCCGTCAGCCACCTGAGGAGCACGAACGGCGCGCGGCCCTGGTGCCCTGGGGGCGGCACCCAGGGCGGGTCCCCCGGGAAGCGGGCGAGCTTCACCCGGGCGCGGAAGACGGTGCCCTTGCTAGCTCCGTAGTTAGGCTCAAACCTGATGTGCCCGCCCATATCGCTGATGGCTCTATGGGCGAGATGTAAGCTGAGGCCGCTGGTGGGTTCGTCGTCGGCTGTGTGCCGCTGGTAAGGGGTGATGTTGTGCGGCAAGATAATATCTTGCATATTTTCGCCGATCCCGATCCCCTGGTCGGCAACAGAAAGGTTAAGCTCCATAGACCCCTCGTCGTTAGACTCCGGATCTAGATGGACAAAGATATCCTCGCCTTCGCCACCGAACTTGACGGCGTTCCTGACTAAAGCTCGAATTATTTGTGCGAACTTGACCGGGTCCCCCACAAACCTCGACGGGATGCCCTGCCCGAACCCGGCGCTGATTCTTTGCGAAGCTGCTCTGTTCTCCTCCTCGACGACCTTGCGCACAATGCCGACAGCATCCATGCTCAATTTCGTGAGCTCCGTGCCGTCGACCGAGTCCTGGTTGCTGAGTAGGCTCGCAGCCTCGCGGCGCGTGACATCGAGGCTGCGCTCCAACACCAGCTCGTCGGTGATATCGCGGATGACGAGGACCCTTTCGTATCGCTCGGGTTCGTCCGACCCGATGGGTGTCATCAATGGTTCCTGGACCTCAGCCCAGAACCCCCGCTTGGGATCACCCCACACCGATATCCAGTTGCGCGAGCCCACCTCATTCTCTCGCAAACCCGTCAGTGCGGTCCAGTGCCGGCCGACGATGTCGGTGCTCGGGCAGCCAAGCTTCGTGGGGGTGGAGGCGCTGGACCGTATGACGATGCCATCACGATTCAAGCCAAGGACCACCGTGTTTGGACACCCGCGCTTGACCAGCTCATCCGCTCCCCACTCGTGTGCCAGCCTCTCCGCTTCCGTCGTGTCGTTGTGGTCCAGCTGCCACTCCAGAACAAACGAGAGCAGCTCGTCGCCTCTGAACACGGGCACCACGCGCACGGCAAGCCACTGCAGGCGGTCGCGGGGACGGGCCAGCACCGCGCGCATGTCGCAGGGCGACCTCTTGAGCGCGGCCGATTCGAGCGTGTGTCTTAGGAGGGCCGCGTGCGGGTCGTGCCACCCGCGCTCGTTCCGGGACAGGAGGTGGAAGAGGTCGGCCCCGCCGACGTCAGGCGCGGAGGGGGGGTCGGAGCGGAACCACGAGCGCATGAGGCTCCACGAGACGCGCACGACTCGGTAGGTCGGGGACACAACGAGGGTAGGGATAGGGGAGTGGTCGAGCAAGTCGTCCATGCTTGGCGGCGGCTGCCACTGCGGAGCTGCATCTGCGTTTCCGCTGGGCGCTGGGCGGGCGGCGTCGACATCGGCGCTCAACGCCGGATCCATGGCTTGGAGCCGAGCAAGGAAACGGACGATGGGGATGTGTGATTTACGGGGCGGGCCGAGGGATCCCGCAGGGTGGATGACTGGATGGGAGAATACCACTTTGATCGCAGATTGTTCTTGCGGAACACCGTGGCTTACAGAGGAAGGCTGGTCGGTGACGCTGGACTACAGCCAGCTGGAGGTCAACGCAGTGCTTGGCGAAGCAGGCAGTGCATCGGTGGCAGCCTAAGCTAACGCTCGATTGCCATCCCGTCAGGCCCCAATGCGGTGAATGTTGCATTGCCTTACGTACAGACCCAAGGCAGGGCCTGTTATTTTTGCAGCTAGGACTCGAGAGAACAATTGGCATTACACACATTTGAGTCTGCCAACCCTGGCCAACGTGGCTCGCAACGCCCGTGGTTCTACAGCACAACAACCTCGTCGCCCGCAACACAAACATCTCGAGGCACCGGGCACAACATGAACCGGCGGGCCGTCAGGATCGCCGGATTAGAGTAGGTCAAGCTTCGTGTCGTGGGCGGCTGCTCCCAGACGCTTTGCGCACCTGACTTGGGCCACACTTTAGTGCGACGGCGCCGACGCCGCAGCGGCGCATTGAAAAAGACCAGAACCAAGCACGCTGCGGTGATTGGTCATGGCCTCACCTTGTCCCAGCTCACGTGCGTTGCGCCAGCGCGGAGTCGTGTGGGGTCAAGACTCAATTCCTCGAGCGCAGGGGCTGCTGGCTCGGACATGTCGTCATGGCATTGGTAAGAAAAACAAAAAAGAAAGGGGCCAGGCCTCGGAATCCCAGCACCAAGCTCCATCCCCACCCTCGCGATGCTACAGTGGGCCGGGACCCCCATTGCGTTTGACTTAATTTTGGCTGTCGCCCAAGGCGCGGCGGCATTGAGAGTTTGTTCTTTACTACCATCACGAGCTCTATATCCTCAAGTGCTGTTTTGTCTCGCCCTCAACCTTCCAACACGATGTTGGGTACCAGAGAGCGGGCTTCGCATCACCAAATCCCCCAACAGCCATAAACTCGTATCTGTATGAACAGCCTCTGCATCGGTACATAGAATCTTCCTAGCTGTAGTCGGGTTTCGTCGGCAAGCCTGGCCGCCGCCTTGTGCTTCGCTCTTTATCCTCGACTCCGACCTGGAACCCTGACATCCGACGAAGCCCGTGCTCGACTCGAGTCAACTCTGCGCCTCACCAACTTCCATCTGGCCTCTTCTTGGACTCGTCGCGGCCAGTGATAATTACCTAGCCCTCCCCGCCCAGTTGCTGCGTCGCAGTCCCGCCGTCTGTCGCTGGCGGTAGACCGAAACGACCCGCCATCGCTTGAGCCGAATTCTTCTTTCTGCCGACTCCCTAGCGTGGCGAATTCGCATCAGCCTTCCCTCCCACGACCGTGCCGCGCCGTAGCCTACCCCGACGCCGGCGACAATGACCTCCGGCCCTGGCCCTGGCTCTGGCCCTCGACCTCCTCTCCAGGCACGCAATAGCGCGGGCGGAGCCAGCAGCGGCGTCAACGCCCACGCCCCTGCGAACCCGAGCGGTCTGCGGCAGAGCTACACCCGGCCGCTGTCAAGCAGTAGCAGCAACGCGAGCGGCGCCGCGCTGAACGCCGCCGTCGCCGGCGATGGCGATGACGATGACAAGGCGGACGATCCCGTGCCGGCGAAGCGGCAGGATGCCGGACCTGGCGAGCATAGGCCGGTGGGCAAGCGCGCCCCGGCTGAGAACACAGGCCTCCTGCGAGGAGAGCAGGTACACGAGGGCCCCTGCAACCATGGCACCTTCTCTCCGCGCCCCTCCAGCCCGACGACAAGCATCTTGAGCTCCGTCCCGTCCATCACCCCTTCCGAGTCTTCTGCGCTTCTCCAGGACGGGGTCACCGTACCGGCAGCGGGCGCTGTCGGCGACCCCAACTGGAGGAGGAATTGGGCAAAGCGCATCAGGAGCAGGAAGATGGCTAACTCGACAGCCCTCGCCGAGCAGCACGGAATCAAGGACTCGACATTGATGTAAGCCGTGGCTTTGGTGAAATGGCACTTGACCGAGGCCATCGAGAGCTAACATTTAAACTCTTGCCACTTCTAGGTACCTCTCGTATTACATCCCCTGCGTCACATGGATGAGCCAGTACAAGCGGTCCTATCTCAAAGGAGACTTCATCGCCGCCGTGACCATCGCAGGCATGTACTTGCCAATGGCGCTCTCGCTGGCCGACAACCTCGCACATGTCCCGCCAATCAATGGGCTGTACGCCTTCGTCTTCAACCCGCTCGTGTATGCACTTCTGGGCAGCTGCCCCCAGATGATCGTCGGGCCCGAGGCCGCGGGGTCTCTCCTGGTCGGCAGCATTGTTAAATCCAGTATCGATCACAACGCACCTGGCTCTGGGGACAGTGACGCCATTTTGCAGGCCAAGATTTGCGGTATCGCTGCCGGTCTGGCCGCTGCCACCGTCTTCATCGCCGGCCTTGCCCGACTCGGTTTCCTGGACAGCGTCCTGTCCCGCCCGTTCCTCCGCGGATTCATCTCCGCCATTGGCGTAGTCATTGGCATCGACCAGCTCATTCCCGAGCTAGGCCTCAACAGGCTCGCTGCGAAGACGCCCAGCGTTGGCCATGGCAGCCCTATAGCCAAGATCAGGTTCATGCTGAACAACCTAGACAAGGTGCACAAACTGACGTGTATAGTGGCTGGCGTCAGCTTCACGGTGATCATGTTGGCAAGGTAAGCGAAGCTTGGCAGGCAAACACCGGTTTTGGTTAGACGCAAGGATCAGTCCTAGATGAAAGGATGAACCCCGTGCTAACAATACTGTTAACTCTAGGGAAATGAAGCGTCGCTTGCAACCCAGGTACCCTGGTGTCGCCTACGTCCCGGATCGGTTCCTCGTGGTTGTTATCTCGGCCTGGCTGGCCTACTACTTCGACTGGGAAAGCCGAGGTGTACACATCCTGGGTGAGGTCAAAGGAGCCAATGGCCTGTTTACCTTTCGCTGGCCGTTCCAGCCCTCACACATCACCCACATTCGTGAGGCGATGGGCACCTCGTTTCTCATTGCGCTCCTAGGCTTCTTCGAGTCCTCGGTCGCCGCCAAGAGTCTGGGGGGCCAAGACACCTTCCCGGGAATCCAGCTCAGTCCCAACAGGGAGCTCATCGCGCTGGGCGCCGCGAACCTCGTCGGTGCCTGCTTCATGAGCCTGCCGGCGTTTGGTGGATACGGCAGGAGCAAGGTCAACCGGTTGACCGGAGGAAAGACGCCGATGAGCTCGCTCTTCATCAGCCTCATCTCGCTCATGGTCATTCTGTTTGGCTTGCAGTGGTTCTACTATCTTCCCGTAAGCTTCCCCACGGCTGCTGTTGCCATTCCTCTTGCTGACATGATGTTTAGAAACCCGTCTTGTCCTCACTCATTAGTGTTGTTGCATGGTCGCTCATCGAGGAGGCGCCTCATGATATTTTCTTCTTCTTGCGCATCCGAGCCTGGCAGGAGCTTGGTCTCATGCTCGTCATTGTCCTGGCCACGCTGTTCTTCTCACTCAACATGGGTATCGCGATTGGAATTGGCCTGTCGCTGCTCCTCGTCATCCGTCACTCGACCCGCCCTCGCATCCAGATTCTTGGTCGGATCCCCGGGACCAACCGGTTCGAGAACGCGGAGGAGCACCCCGAGAGGCTGGAGTTCTTCGACAACTGCCTGATTGTCAAGATTCCCGAACCTCTGACCTTTGCCAACACGGGCGAACTGAAGACGCGACTGCGCCGCCTCGAGCTGTACGGCACCAGCAAGGCGCACCCGGCGCTCCCGCGGCTGCGGCGCGAGGACTCGAACCAAAACGTCATCTTCGACATGCACGGCGTCACAAGCCTGGACGGCTCGGGAACCCAAGTGCTCGAGGAGATCGTCAGGGGATACAGCGACAAGGGCGTGCGTGTCTTCTTCAGCCGAGGCCCCTGGAGACGAGAAGACCACGAGGTTTGGCGCCTCATGGTTTCGTCTGGCATTGTCGACCTCGTTGGCGGCGAAGACCACTTTGTGTATGACGTGCATGAGGCTCTGCGCATGACCGAGGTCGCCGATATCTCGGAGCTCGGGGGTCCCGGGCCTGCTGCGTGAGACTAGTTGTGAAGCGAGAAAATGAAAGCCTCGCTATCTTGGTGCCTAGATGAGGTGAGCGGGGGTGAAATGTTCAAAAGCGCATGTTTGGTGTCTGAAGGGGCGTATGGAAGGAATACCCTAGCGCCACGGCTCGTGGCCATTATCTTGTACTTGATTGGCAGTTGTTTTGAAAATGTTTTTGCCTTTGTTTAGACGAGTTACCGTAGCATAGAACTTTTTGCGGTCAAAGCTAGAAACGATTTGGTTTTTTTTTTGTGGTTGTCAATCTCGTCACTGTCCCGACCTCTCTTTCAGCACGACCACCCAGACATCCATCGTCTCGACCTTCTTCACGCCCCCCACCGCCTGCATCGCGGCGATGGTCGCATCCCGAGCGGATCGCAGAACAGCCTTGACGCGCTCGTTCCGGATGCCGGCGGCGTCCACGTCGGCTAGGAAGCCGTCGCCCACCACGGCGCCCGTCTCCCACCTCCCGTCCAGCAGGCCCTCGTCGGGCACCAGCACGGCCTCGCCCGCCACGCCCCACCCGGCCGCGGCCGCCGCGTCCCTGATCTGCGGGGGGCTCAGCGGCGTCTGTATGTTCTCGCCGCTCTCGCGGTGCGCCTCGAGCGACCCGCGCGCCAGCGCCGCCAGCACGTGCGGCCAGGCGGCCGGCCGCCGTCGGGCGCTCAGCGCGTACTCGGCCAGCCAGACCGCGCCCACCCGCCCGCGCAGCGCCGCCAGCGTGTCCCGCAGCGTGTGCGGGGAGGAAAAGTACCATGCGCTGTGGGCCAGCACGGCCACGTCCCAACAACGGGTGGTGGTTGCCGGCCCGGCGGCGGTGTCGGTGTCGGTGTCGGCGAGCAGCAGGGCGTCGAGGGTCGTGGCGTTGTGCCAGGTGATGCGCGGGCCGACCTCGGACGCGGACACGACGGCCTGCGCGCCCGCCAGGGTGAAGGGCGCGCCGTAGGTGGGCGGGGCCGGGTCCAGGGCCGTCACGGAGCCGGAAGGGCCGGCGGCGGCGGCGAGGACGGTGGTGCAGTTGCCCTGGCCGCAGCCTACCTCGAGGAAGCGGACGCCGCTGGTGGTGGTCTGTGGCAGGGGCGAGATGGAGGCGAATGTGTTGACGAGGTTGATGCGGTGCCTCGCTTGGGCCACCTCTATGACCGGGTCCGAGAGCAGGGGCGAGTAGCTGGCGATCTGCGCGGCACGCGAGGTCGGGATCAGGGCGGCTGGTGTTTCGTCTGCCATTTTTAACTGGGCTGTTTTTATGATGTTGCGTTGCAATGGCTTCACACAATCGCGGTTTGGCGTCTATCTACGTGCTGATCAATGGGGACTGAAGCTACAGCCCTTCTCTTTTGAGGGTGAAGACATGTGACCTTTTGAGATGCGTCTCTGCTAAATTGTATCCTTCATCCCAACTCAAGATGAACGAGAGCAGAGTTCATGGATTGGCCACATGTAACTCAGCCCAATAACCCAGGACCAAGCTCACAAGTCAACCAGGCTGGCGACGTTGCACGCAAACGAAAGCCTCAAGCCTCAATCTCGCCCTTGGCAAGGCTACATTTTCCCGGCAGTTGAGACCTCGTCAAAAAGTCAAAACATGATCGCGGAGCCTCATCTGGAGACATTTCTGGAAGTCGCAGGGTTGGCTCGGCAGGGGAGCACAAAAAGCTACAGCTCGGATCGTGTTGTTTTTAGTCGCAATTGGGACGGGACGTCTTGACATAGACGGTCCCGCCGCGAACGGAGTCCAAGTCAATGCGGTGGCGATTCCGGGACCGATTTGGAAGGGTTTGGATGTGACAGAAGCCGCCAACTCCCGCAGCCCAGCTTCTGGTTATTGAGCGATATTTGATATTTCTACAAGGCTAGGGGCTGGGGAAACAGCTGCGACCTTCCCCTTCCATTGCAGCTCGACGCATCTCGACCGGACTTGTTGCCCCAACTCGGCAGCCTGTGCGGGGAAATACCGAAGCCCCCAAGAAGTCGGCCAAAGGCCGCGTCAATGACTGGCACGTGCCCCACACCTTGCCTTGCTGGGAGTGCTGAGATCCGCTTGGGATCCGCTTGGGATCCGCTTGGGATCCGCTGGGTGACTGGGGGGCCCGGAAGCCAATGCTTCCCGACCTAGGCCCCAGTGCTGTTCCATTTTGGGGCTCTATTTTTGGTGGCTGGGTCGCTTCGCTGCGCGAGCTGCGGGCGATTGTCCACAATGGGAAGTGCAGCGTGGGTCCAGCATCGACGGGTCTGGGGAGGGGATTCTGCTGCCCGTTCCGCCCGCGTCATCAGGATGGATAATGGATAATGGATACTCCGCCTTGAGGAGTCGGTGATGCCTGGCTCCCACCCGTCGCCCCCTCCCCAGCTTCAAATAAGGGCATGTTGCCCGGCGCCTAGGTGACTATGTCTTGCCTCCCCTCCTCATCCCTTCTGCTATCCCTCATCCCCTTTCCACCCCCTTAGTCCCGGGCTGCTTCTCCCTTGCACCACATATCAGTTCCACACAGACCGGAGCAAATCTGACAACATGGTCCGCTCCTCGCTTCTCTCCCTGGGCGTGGGCCTGCTGCTGGCCGCTACCCCGATCGCCGCGCAGACCACGACGACATCTTCGAGCTCGACAACCACCACTTCGTCGTCCTCGACCTCGATGACAACCACTGCCACCACCATCACCTCCTCGACGAGCTCAACCGGAGTGACCGGATCGGTTCCCACCGCCGCGCCCACCAACTGCGTCGACGGCCTGCAGATCTTCGTTGCCCGCGGCTCGGGCGAGCAGCCGGGCCTGGGCAGGATCGGCGTCGTGGCGGGCAACATCACCCAGAAGATCAAGGACAGCAGGGTGACCGCCGTCGACTACCCCGCGACCTTCACCGAGTATAATGCGAGCGTGGGCAACGGGACCTCGAGGCTCAAGTCCCTGATCGAAGACTACGCAAAGAATTGCCCCAACAACAAGATGGCACTGTTGGGCTACTCGCAGGTACGTCATTCCTGACCTTGGCCCCTGAAAGACATCCCTGCACCGTCGCTGTCGCCCCAACTCAATTGCTGACTCCACCGCTTTTTGCTGGTTTTCAGGGCGCACAGGCTGTTGGCGACCTAATCTGCGGCACGTCTAGCGAGGGATTCCCATCGACTCCCAAGGTCGACTCGCGCTACGAGAAGAACAGTACGTGGTCACCGCCTCAGCCAAGATCGTCCTTTGGGAAGCAACCTGCTAACCTTTTGCCAATTCCTCCAGTCGTCGCCATTGTATTGTACGGCGACCCGGCCAGGGCCGCAGGTCAGTCATGGAACGCGGGCACGGCCACCAACCAGAGCAGCTTCTTCCCCCGCAAGAACAACGAGGCCTGCTCGCCCTACTCGGCCAACATGCGGTCCTGGTGCGACACGGGCGACCGGTATTGCGCCACGGGCAACCAGTCCGAGGTCCACGGCTCCTACTTCAACAAGTACGAGGGCGAGACGACCAAGTGGGTGGTCGACAAGTTCGAAAAGGCAAAGTCCTCCCCTGCCGCTACTACCACCAATGGCAACGGCAACGGCGGCAGCAGCAGCAGCACGAGTGGCAGCAGCACGAGTGGCAGCAGCACCAACGCCGCAACCACAACCTCTGCGCCTCCCAACAGCGGCGCCACGGGCACCTACAGCAGTGGCTGCCCGTCCGCCTGCTTCGCCCTGGCCCTGGGCGTGGCTTATCTCCTCGCCATCTAAACTCGAATGACACATCCAAGTCCACAGCAAAAAAGTACAAAACAAAAGAATAAAAAAACGACGGCGGCTATACTTGAATACCCTTGGAGCATTGGTTGGCGTTGTGCACATTGTAGCATAGCAGCGGGTGTTTTTGTACCAGGTAGTTCTACCTTTGTTAATCATGCTTTGTTTTATTCCAAATGCTTTCTGCAGCTTGTCTGCCCCTTTGCTAGCGTTACGATCAAGCGGCCCTTTTCAGTACACTCTGCTCCGTGTCATCCTTGCCATCCTTCTTGCACTCGTCGCCGTGTGGGTTCAGGGGCGGGAGACCTTCTGGGTTCACGGACTCGAGGAACTTTTCCGCCTTCATGTCGACCACGCTTTTTTGCATCCTGTACTGAACTCCCTGTCCCGGCTGGCCGAACCCCTCGGCGATCGGGCCGGCTTCGACCGTGAAAGCCCTGATGACGCGGTATACGTGATATTGGTATGGGAACCTGAAGGGGTTTGTACCGTGTGGTTAGCTTGATTCACTCCCGTCTTCACAATCCAGGGTATGAATCTGTACTCACGTTGCATCACCGGCCGTCCCCAGGTTCTCGGGCGGCAGCGAGCGCTGCATGTAGGGCGCGGCGGCGGGGGACACGAACCTGCCGCCCTCGTGGCCGAAGCGGTCGAGCAGCGTCCCTTCCTTGATGGTCATGTTGCCCTTGATGGCGTGGCCGCCGTCGTCGAGCGAGAAGCCGTCCTGCGGCGGGTACCGCCAGCTCTTGGCCTCGGAGTCGTACCAAGTCTCCAGGAACCTGCCGGGGCACATGCCGCCGAGCCGGTCGTACGTCGCCGTGATGGTGCCGAGCCGGATGCCCGTCGGCAGCTCGAGGGGGCCGAGCCGCCGGTCGCCGCACAGGTATATCTCGGCCATGCTGGCGTTGTTGGCCGTGCCCTCGCAGTACCCGGACGACGTTGGGTTCAGTGCACAGCGCGCCGGTTCGACGTAGTCCGTCGTCGTCGTCGTCGTCGCCGGGGCGCGCCTGCCGATGGGGGTCGCCAGGGCGCCGGCAGCGCAGAGGAGGAGGATGGGCGCGGTGTGCATGTTGGGGATGTTGGAGGATCACTGGCGTGTGGCCGATGGGCTGGAGCCTCGGGGCTGGCTTGCTTTCACAGAAACAAATGGGACAAAAACAAAAAAGAGAGAGAAAAAGAAAGAGTGCAAGTGTCTGCTCGCCACCGACCGGATGACTTCCAACACCCAATAGTCGACAGCGGACGAAGACGACCACGCCTTTATATCGCGTTCACCCTTGCATATCCAGGCACCCGGGGTTACCGCCAGAAAGCTGCTTGGCGTCCAGGCAAAGAAGGCTAGATCTTTGTGTTCACCACAGGGGTCATGGACGTTGACCCCCTTCTTTTCGCCGTGCTCCCCCCTGAGAGGTCAAGGCCGCCACCATGTCGTCTCCTCACCGGCTCCCCAGCTGCGGAGGTGTCTGCACAGACTCCGCGCAAACCAAATCACGTCGTGCCCGTTAGTCTCCTCTGGGCAGCCGCGAGAGGCTGGCTGAGATGGCCTTTGTAGGTGTAGGTCGTGCATCGTCACCTCGCCGAGGTCGAGATCGTCGTCCGGCATGTCCTCAAAAGGGAGCCCCCCCTGGGAGACAGTGCGGGCCGAGAGGGGGCTAGTGGAGTGCGGGTCGGGGCGATCATCTCTGGCCTGTCCAATGTTGTACAGGGGGGAAAAGCGTCGCACCAATCCGGCGAAATTAGTTGACTGTGTTTATTGTGGGAGTTCTCGCTTGGGTGTCATGGAGGGTTCGCGTCTTTCAGCTTGGCTGGCACCACGTTGGTGGCTCGGGACAGGTCCGGATGTGACAAACCTGCGTGCCTGCCTGCCTTTGGGTTGTGCTTCAGCTCCCCGCTCCTGGACATGTTTTGTGTGGCGTCTGATGGAGCGGCCGTGATGTTCAGCGTTCAGCACAGCCAGAAGAGACAGTCAGGGATCAATCAACAGGGGTTCATATTGGCAAGGGAGCTCTCGGAGTTGGAAAAATGGTAGCTTCAATGTTCCACCCGCCGTTGTTCCCTAAGCCGTTGTCTGTCTCTCCTATCTGGTGATATTGCCAGGTCGTGCAAATGCGCTGTAAGCAAACACATACAGTGTACAACCTGGCCCTCGGGTTGTGGCAGGCCGGCATTGGAGAGGTCATGATGCTAGCTACCATTTGGTCTGGTGCAATGGAATCTGAGAGTTGTCCGTGTTCAGGACGCGGGGGAAAACACGGTTATGCTAGTGTAAAATCTAGCATCCTATCAAAATCAGAAAACGAAGCAGCCGAAGTTAGTGGAGTCAGATGAACACGTGCTAATCATCTTGAGGCTTACGAGCTGGGAGCTGGGTGAGGTAAAGGTGGTTGCGACTCGCACCTGCAGACTCGGGCTTCCCGCGTATAAACATGTATTCTGTGGGCCCGAATCATCGATTGATTACTCAGTACATGTCCTGTTGCTTTCCGTCGTGTCCGCCGCCATCCAACTATTCCATTAGTAAACTCGGGTGTAACAACTTTCCAAACAGACATCACCACCGCTAGTTTCCAAACATATCAACAGGGCGTGTAGCACAAAGCTCACCGACTTGGCTGAGTTTTCGTTCAACCCTGGAGACGCCTATCAACTGCATGCAGTGGCCCTTGAGCCCACTTGCAGGGCGGGCACCCTAGACGAACCCGCTCTCGATCGGCCCACGTTGGGCAAATCGTGCCCTTTTTCCACAGAAGCCCCATCCTCCCTGTTCGCTCTCCTCATGCCTAACTGGCCGCGGATTTTTTACACGATGATGGTGGTGTTGGGAGCCATCGGGCTGCCAGCTCCTTTTTGCGGATGCGTTCCCGCTGTTCCATACAGCAGCGGGCAGTTCGGAAGGCGGTATTGGGAACATGCAGCTGGGGTAACATGCGGTCAGTCTTGGTAACTTTGTATACGCAGGTATAAATCGTGTCAGATCATCCTGCGTTGTTGACTCCAGAGGTTTCTCCTCCTTCTCTTTTTTATCTCTTCATCAATCCTGTGGGCACCCCATCTTGGCTCCTGAACCGGCGTGGCGCAGCCGAGAAACCCCCGCCTTCCCCTCGCCAGCCAACCCAGCATTAGCACAATGACGGCGACGTTGCAGCAACCTCCGAGAAAGACGGCCATAATCCAGGCGCGGTATATGGATCAGATGGAGCTTGAGCTTTTTCTGCTGGGCCTCTTCGGCCCTGGAAAATGCGACGTCACGGTACGTCTCCCGTTCCAAGCATGGTCACCCCAATAGTGATGCTGAAATGTATTTTCTTCTCTATGTAGTGGACGCGGGGCTTTTATCAGTGTGTCCTCCCAAGAGGATTAAGACGCGTGAGTATTATGTTGCCCATCACCCACGTTTTCTAGGACTGCATTCTGATCAGTTCCTCGCAGCCTGAGCTGGAGCGCCTAGCAGCAAAAATCGGAATGGAAAGATATAAAATCGTTCGGTGACCGCAATTCTAGCATTTGGGAGCTGGCGGGGCAGAAATGTTTTACACTGCATTACTAGCGGGGTTTCTTCCCGTTTATGTTCATATAGACCGAACTCCTTACTCTGGCACCCATAAATGTCTTCCACCACCCACCAAAACTCCGAAAATACAACAAGAAATACAACGCTAACCCGAAGTTGGGCCGTCAGGCTCTCCCTTGAGCATACCATGAGGTGGGCTCAGCCTCATCGCTACTATCTCCGGTGCTCCCATTCTTGTCCCCCATTGGATGGGATGCACCCGACGCCAGCGGCTTCTTGGACTCATCAACCATGGCTTGAAGCTCTTCATAAAGCGCGTCGAGTACTGGCGGTCTCTCCTGGACACAGGGGTTGACCCAGGGCCTGTGTTCCGTCAGGTACGCAACTCCGCCTGGCCCCTGGGCTTTTCTGTGCATACTCTGAACCTTCGTCAAGAGAGCCTTGGACCTGATCCGGTCGAATTTTGGTGGTGATCGCACGACTAGCATGTGGTTGTATACTAGATCCAGAAGTTCGTGCAGGTACTGCGTGCAGCATGGGTTTTTGTGCATGTCCTCAATGCACTATTCCGCCGTGTCAGTGGTTGAGAAGTAGAGGCGAGGCGACGTTCAAAAGGGAAAGGGTATTGTTCACTGACCTGTACAACACCATCCTTGACCCCGAAGCCGTACTCTCCTTCTTTACCTGTCGGTTTGATGTAATAGAACTGCTGGGTCCCGACTTGGAAGAGGTCGAGCTGGCGCCTCGCGCGGGCAAATTCTTTTCGACGCTCCTGGCCAGTTTTCCTGTCATCGCCTAGCATCCAGCATGCCATCTCAAGAAATATGCAGCCCAGGCTCCATATGTCCCATAGCGCGTTGATATTTCCCTTCATGTCGCACTCGGGAGGGGCCCAGCTCATCGTGTAGCCCAGCCCTTTTTTGCGCACGGCGGACTTGCTGAGCTCGCGGTGCACATCTGCAAGGCCGAAGTCGGTGATGATGAGCTTGCCCGGGGCTTTGCCGCCGTTGGCCGAGGGGTAGTAGAGGATATTCTCGGGCTTGAGATCCCCGTGGCGCCCGAACTTTCGTTCAGGGTCGCCCAGGAAATCGTTTGGAGGCTCATGGATGGTATGGACGGCCCCTGTCAACCCCAGGATTTGGGCCGAAATCCAAAGCGTGAACTCCGGAGTCTTGGCCGGAGACCTGAGACGCCTCCAGTAATGCTCAAGGTCGCCGTCTGCGCATGGGAAGATCAAATTGAACTTGTCCCTGTGTGTGAAGGTCGCCAAGAGTGTAACGAGGTTCTCATGATTGCGGCCGCTAAATCGCTTGAGGTTGTCGATCTCCTTTTTGTATTTTACTACGTCGGCTTTCAGGAGGGACTTGATGGCAAACCACTTGTTCGGAAGTGAAAGCTGTCCGAATAGCGCCCAGGGTTAGTCAGATCTAATCAACCCTGGATAGCATCACGCCAATAAGAAACCATACCTGTTTTAGTAGGTGGTGGAAGCCGTGGGAGTCTGGGTCGATGATGACGAGCTCAACTGTTCCGAACCCGCCGGCGAGGGCTTCGGCGCCGGGGTCCCCTTGGCGGCCCCATGAACCCTGACAGTGTCCCACATCGCTCGTTGGCCATTTCTTCCTATCGTCCTTCCCTGTCTGTCTCCAAGGTAGCTGGGCTTCGGTGGGCAGATCGTAGTGCTTCGGAGTGCCGTCCTGCTCACACTCAAAGAATGGAGTGAAGAAGGACCACTGCTCCTCGCGGAGGGACTTTACGTCGGTGTGGCGAAGCCAACAGCTCTTAGCAACAGCGTCCGGCTTCCTGATTTCCGCGAGCTGCACAGAGCGATTGGGCCCCAACTTGGTGCCCAGGGGCAACTGGTGGTCGGAGAACCCTTGGTCGATGAAGTGGCCGATAAGATCACCTCGCTCAATCTCGAGAAGCAGAGCGAACACTGTCAAGTATCCGGCGGGGGTCCCCAAGTGGCTTCCTCCAGATTCGGGAGCACCAACGCACCAACGCTTCGGGCTATTCGCCAAACCAGCAGGCACAATCTGGGCACAAAACTGCTCGACTTGTTCCTTTTCGGCGATTTCACATTCCTCTCGCAGCGCTTTCCGAATCCTGTCATTCGTCATATGGCGTCGAAGGACCGCGAAGGGGAGGTACCCATCGGCCCTTGGCTTATACGAGGATGGGATGCGGCTTCTTCTGATAATCATGGTCAGGCTGTCGCTAGAACCATTGTTGGAACTGTAGCTGCTTTCGCTAGAATCATCCCCAGGATTGTCACTGAGATAGTCGCTTTGCTTGTCGCTTGGGTCGTCGCTCTCGTCACCAGGCGGAGGTGGTGTTCTCAGTCCACCTCGATGGAGGCTGCCCACAGTACCGAATGGTCTTTGGGGTCCCTGGCCGGGTGGGTCTGGGGCTAGGTGGACAGCGATGGTTGGGTTTGGGGGTTGTTGCGATCGGTGAGGCATTTTGATACGAAGTTCGTTGGTGTTCTCTGTAGTTGTGCTCAAATCTCGTGGGTACGTCCCCAGGTTTTGTGGAAGACAAGGCGGCCTATTATAGACGGGCGGTGCTAGACGGGGAGGAGATGGCCCTGCAGTTTGACCAGAAGTTACGCTGCCCGCGACCAGGCCTGGCTAGGTGGTATATCACAGCGAGCGGTGACTCAAACTGTGACGGTAGCCTCACCGCGCGGAAGAAGGAGGCAGCCAGTCCACGAAGCACTTGACGCAACCGATGTGCACGAATTCTGCCTGCAGGTTCTCCCGGAAGCTGCACCCTTAAAATTGCACAATGGCGGCCTCCGTCGCGCGGTGCGGATAGAAAGGGGAGGGGGGGATCTCCGTCTGTATGGCTACAGATGCCTTGTTGAGCTGTATTGACCAAGGAGGGAATATCAAAACTGCATCGATGAAGACTGTTATTGTCTTGCGGGCGGTGCAGAAATAAGGGTGTGCATGATCGGCTAGGCCTCAAAAAAGGAGGCGTCAAGACGCCTCGGTAGCCTGCCTGCCCGACTGCCTGCCCGACTGGCGGCGGTGCGAGCCATGCAAAATCAGGGAAAGGCTGCGATGAGGGGTTCCCATCGCGGTGCACCAGTGCCAAAAATCATCAATGTGCAAGGCTCGATGCGCCGTGATGGTGGGATGGAGGTGTTGGTGCCATCGAGCCCTACAGACGTCAGATTGGCAGCCCGCACACGGACATAGGTCACAGGCAGGCTTGGAGCCCTCGCACTCCCAGTTCAACCCCGAGGCATTCTGAAAATTGATGAAATCGAATAATACCAAGGAGGACTACTTTGAGAAACGAAGGGGATGACTTGTGGTGCTGTCGAAAGAAACCTAACCCACAAAAAAGACAGTGGGCAGGGGGTTTTGAAGTGCATGCATTCTCCATGGCAATCCAGCTCCTGTGCCGTAGGCCAAGACGGTGAGGGGAATCTCGCAACAGTGAACCAGCTTACTATTTCCGTCAAAACCCTTTGCTTTATTTAATCCCACAGAACAGAACGGCAAGAAAAACAGAAAAAAATCCATGCCTATCAACACCGCGTTATTACCTCGTCTGGGGTAGCCTCCCGGGGAACACATCATCTTCAGTAGCCTGCAATTTCTTGAAGCACTTTGTCCTGTTAACATGGTAAGTGAAGTTAGCTTGCTCGTCCCTTCATATGGTAAGCTCCCATCAGACTGAAAGAGACTCACCATGTCGACCTGGGAATCGTACGGCTTGATGCTATACGCATTGTGTTGCACCATGATTTGGAACTGATTCCTGCCCAGTCTGGCCTCGAGGTTCTTGATGAGGTGCTGTGCATTGTGGACGTTCTTTGTCGGCACCCGGCCGACCTTGCAATGGGGATGTGCAGTCGCTGAAGAAAGGCTCTGGGTGGAGGAGGATCGTTTTGTGGTGGGTATGCGGTTCATGGCTGGCATGGGCAGGCTGTGACACTGGCTGCTTGTGTGTGTTGTGTGTGTTGTGTGTGCTATGGGTTCCCTCCTTTTTGTTTGTCTGCTTTCCGCCCCTGATCGCAATCACTGATGCTATATTTATCACCTCCTCTTTTTATTCTGTCGCTCTCCCGTATTTATTTTGTTGCCTGATGTTGATTTCGCGAGCGCGGGATCTTCCGATTGAGGCTGATAGATATTTTTATCGCGAAAAGGACATTGGATTGGAGTGGAAGCGCGACCTGACGAGGAAAAGGGTTTGGCATAATGGACAACGGCCTGGGGCAACGGTCTACATTTCTACCGCTGAGCTGTCCTGGTTAGCACGTAGAAAAAGGGATTGCTACCACCGAAGCGGTTGCCAATCATGCAGGATTGGGCGATGGCGAACCAGCTGGGCGAACCAGCCGGGCGAACCACGGGCACCGCCCACACTGCCACCACACCACATCATATCACACTCTTAGATATACACCCTCACCCCTCCATCAATCAATTCTGAGGCTGCATCGTGGCTGGCTTGCAGAAGAGGCCTCTTGCAAAAGTACCTGGCGGGGCGTACTTGTTGGCTCGCCCAGTCTGGTATGTGCCCCCGCCCAACCGCCCACGGCGCCTGGCTCGAGAAGGAACGCCGCATCTGGGGGAGCGAAGACACGGCGGACTGGCAGGGGCTTTGAGAATCGCAGCCGGAGGTCGCTCTGGGGCACAGCCGACAGTTTTGACATCCTTCATCATTGAAGTCACGGTGTCTGTCCACTGGACTCCCATGGCCTGCCTGCCTTCTCGTCTTGAAAAAGACCCAGACATCCCAGAACCCAATCGTTTGCTTGCATCGCCTAGACCCAAACCTGGACCTTCCAATAGCCGTCATCCGGTTCTCTAAGCGGCCTGCCTGCGTCGTACCTGTAGACAGACCTACTTTAGTTCCCACTCTACACCAATATACATGCACAACACTCCACCGCCTCGGAACCCAGGCTCCTCGGGGACGCCAGATGTAATTACCCCTTTCGATTAGTTCCTCGTACTACCCAAATGCCGCCCCTGGTCCAGTATCTGATCGCGTCTAACTCGGACTCCCATGCCTGATAGCAGGCTACTCCCCATATCATGATGGGGCCGATCTACGAAGAGCCTCCATTAATCATAGGCAGCCATTCCGCCACCGTTGAAGCACCAGACTTCGCCTCTCGCAAACCTCCCCCCTCCGAAGTCATAACTGTCCTTGGTGATACCAGGCAGCTATCACAAACAAATCCTCCTCGGTGTAAAGGCGTAGCCATCGGCTCTGCGGACGATCCGCTCGGAAGCCCTGCTGCCTCCAACTCTGCTGCAAACTCTTTGTTTGCTCATACTGGGGGTGGGCTCAAGGATGAGACACTAAAGGAGTTGATGGACACGTTCGACAGCGTATGCTCCGAAAATTTGCAGACGTCCAAATGGAACGCGCACGCGGACGACCCGACACATTTTATTTCCTTCAGCACTCTGGACACCGTCGTCAACAGGAGTCTCGTCGAGCGTGTCATCCAGCGCCTTCCAGGATGCAAAGACCACGCGCAAGCGACCAGCGATATCTGGAGCCCAGTCAGCCTCAACCCATTGCCGACCGACCGCAGGCAACACCGAGTCGGGCTCACTACCCGACGAAGACTTTTTCTCCTCGTCTTGCTCGCCCAAAAGCCGGAGAAGATACTAGACCTTATCGAAGAGGGCGTCACCGACAACGACCTGCCATTCGTGTGGACGCTCGGGAGCTATGCCCAACGGAGGCGGGGCTCTCAAGAATCTGCCGGGCGCAGGGTGAGCTGCCTGTCCACGGAGAAAAACACGGTGCGATCGGTCTTCACTGATTGGCAATGGAAGACGCTGTCGCCTTTCCTCTGGCTGAGCACCAGGGAGGAGCCCAAGGTACAGCATTACCGTCTCGATGGGAGGACTCCGCTTCCATTCATCGAGGCTTCCTCACCCGACCTCCGGCTTGCACCCGGCAGCTGCGGGGTCATAGGCGGGTTCTCGGTGGTGCAAAAAGTGGCGATAGAGCCATCGCACTTCAATCATGACAGCTTCGCGGTAAGCCCTTTTCTGCAAACGACGCGCACGCCCTGTCTTGAGAAGATGGAATAGAGAACCTAACGCCAGTGACTCGCGATACAGCCATGCCCTGGCGCCGAGCATCCGTTTTTTGCTGTCAAGACTCTTCACCGCCACACCAAGCGCGGCTTGTTCGAGGGCGAAGTTGAGGCTCTCAAAAGGATGATGACCGAAGGCGAGCTGCACAGGAGCTTGGTTCGCCTACTAGCGACGATCGACAGAGGCGATCAGTACCACATGATCTTTCCGTGGGCAGATGGAAATCTCCAAGAATACTGGGAGAAGCTGTACCCCGAGCCCAACAGTCTCCCCCGGGGCCGTGGCCTGGCAAAGTGGATGGCGTGGGAGCTTCTTGGACTCGCCCAGGCAATCAAGCGCGTGCACGACTCGCCGGTGCGTGCCGGGAACCTTCAGGAGGTCGAGCAGACGGGCAAAGTGTACGGCTGCCACGGCGATATCAAGCCTCACAACATCCTCTTCTTCCAAGGAAACGACCCGAGCGGGGACCGCGGGAAACTCCAACTGGCCGACTTTGGCCTTGCGCGGTTCCATAGCAAAGAGTCCATAAGAGTGTCCGCAAACTCGGCCGGCCACACGGATACCTACCGGTCGCCCGAGTTTGACATGGACTCGCCGCCCGGGTGTCGTGTGACGGTGGGACCTAAGACGGATATTTGGTCCTTTGGGGCTGTTGCATTGGAGTTTGTTGTTTGGTATTGCGCAGGGTGGAAAGATTTGGAATCCTTCGCGGAAGAAAGAGCCCGCGAGGATATTGTGACGTGGCAACCCAGGATTCAACAAGACAAATTCTTCAACCGATATCACGAAGGTCTCGGGGTGAAGCGAGGAGTCTTGCAGGTGAGATCAAACATACCATTCTGGACTTGGTTGTCTGGGCCGCCTCTGTGTGTGCCAGCGTTGGGCTAACAAAGGACCACCCGGATTTAGAAGATTGAATCTTTGAGAGGCCATCCTCTCTGCAGCCGATACTTGCGAGACCTACTGGACTACATCGAAAGCCATCTCCTTGTTGTCAATGAGGATCGCCGGGCATGCTGCCGCAAGGCTTGCGCCAAGTTTGCCGATATGTTTAGCAAGTGCGAAGGCGACCTTGGTTACTGCACAGAACGAGGTCCCGTCGCTGCGCCGCCCTCCCCATGGGATAATACGTCTTTGGCGCGGCCGCACGTGAGGGCCGATGACACTGACGGCGTAGCTCTGGCACAAACTTCCGCCGAGGCGTCGCCGCGAAAGTTCAAAGCTTTGCAGAAGAGAAAGCTTACGGACGATTTGGAACATGATACGGCGCTCAAGATTGCGCGGCAGAGGACAACAGAGATTTGAAGGGATGAAAAAGAGGTTACAAATACATTGCGATAAGCCAAGAAAGAGACCCATGCTAATAACGACGTGTATACGTTTCCCACGGTGTGCCCGCCCTTGTGGGAAATGCAAGTTGAAACATTATTATTTTACACCACGATTGTCAAAGCCCGGTCTTGTCCGTGGATCGATTGCCAGGTTCCGTGAAGGCCGCCTACAGCCTTTATTTTGGATAGCCCTTTGCCCCCCATTGCTGCTATCCATGATGGCCAGAATTCGGTGTTGGCGAGTTGTTTTGAGCGTTCTGCAATTGAACCAAACGGTCGGAGAACGAAGTTGTATCGTAAATATACCTCGCTAGTATGCTTGTGTCTGCTGGTGCGCGCTTCAAGAACTGGCGAAAACCGTTGTGACTGCGAGTATGTCGGTTAGATAGATGACTCTAGTGGCTAACACGAGCGAAATGGTTGGTCCGGTAGGTACCTTGGAGGTCGACTCCTTTTTACCGGTCTTTCTAAATGCTCGGAGCTGCTTATGGAACCTTATTGCGCGACGGTGCTCGATGTCGAGGACATGGCTGAAGTGGCTTGGGCACGAGGCAGCGATGTGAAAAATCCAATTAAATGCTTATTTAAGATGGTATGGGAGTCTCGTAATGCAATATGGTTCCACCGAATTATCCAGCTCAAAGCTGGTCGCCTGAGGTGCGAGGTACTGATACGTGGTGATTGCATTTTTTTTGCTTCTCAGTTGACAAAGAATCGGATCTTGACATGATGGAATACTCCAGCTTGTAACGGCCGACTTCCTCTGCTCTCCAGAAATCCAAACGCGGCCCAGATGATGAGCCCTGGCCGACACCTGAAACGGGCCTCACCCGTTTCCCCATGTCTCCACAAGCTATCGGGGTAGTGCGATGGCCTTGTTCATGAGTTTCGGGAGAGCGACTTTATCTAAAGCTAGACGTAGACTGTCGATATTCGCTGTCTGTCGAGGCAAGGCTGGGGAAGATGGGAAAGCCCACAGGCGTTGGTGACATGTCTTCCTCGTCCCTTGATGGGAAATCCCATGAACAGGGCTCCCCCTGTACGAACTCGGGGCTGTGTTGCAGCGATGATGTGCTTACAGCCCCTGCTGGCCAATGGGGGAGTGCGATTGTTTATTGGGATGCCCGGCCGATGCACTTAGGGCTGAATGGACACGAGGACCCTGGTCTAACGATCAGAACCCCTGTCGGCTGCCTCGAAGGAGCAGTGGGAAGGTGGGAGGCCTGGCGCTACTGGCTAGTGCCCTGCGTAGGCAAGACATGCGGCTCCGTGGTGGTGGTGGTGGTGCTGCTGCTGCGCGTGGGACAGGATCCTGCGTCTTTCCGACGCACGTCAGGTAACCAAAAGTACGAGGCTTCCCCGCCCAGCTTCCCGGTCCAACGTCAAATCCTGGCGAGCGCATACACCCAACACAGGCTAGGAATTGCCCGAGCCGTCACTCGAGGGGGATTGTCGACGTCCCTTCATTCTTTCAACCCATTTCTTTTCTGTCTTTCCTTTGTTTGACAGACCCGACAGCATTGGTGCATTACCCAGGCACTCGGACGCTGGTGGTGCCCACATCGCTCCCTACCTCTAGCCAGTCGCACGCCGAAGCACACCCGCATTGTGCTCGCGGCCTGCCTTACGCCATCATTTTGACTCAGACCCGGCATAAACGGCGCCGAGAATAAAGCCGGCCGCCTGTACCCGGCCCAGAGGGTATACTTGAGCCATAATCCGGCGTGGCTGAAAGCGCAATCGCCAATGTCATTTGCCCAGCTCGCCGTCAGCGCTGGCGCTGAGGCGTGGGCGGCTCCAAAAGTCAGCGCGCACATGTCTCCGATATCCGAGGTGCGGGACACCACTACCAAAACAAGTGCCGCGGCCGCCGATGACCGCGAGAGGAGCGCTTCTCGCTCCGTTTCACCGCCCTTCTTGCCTTCTTTATCTTGGAGGCGTCACCGCATGTCCACCTCCGACTCGAGCAGCATCTCGTCGCGCCTCTCGCTGGCGACCGGCTCCATCACAAGCACCAGCCCCCCACCATCATCAAGCCTGAGCCCGACGTACACAGACTCCTCGTACGACCAGCATGTCTTTATGCATGCGAACCCCTGGGTAACCTCTAAGCCCGGCGGCACGCTCGGCCGCAACTCGACGACATCGCCCCTCGCGAGCCCCATCACGCTCAGCTCTGTTGGGGACGAGCATACGGTCCCCAGCCCAGATATGATGGAGTCTGAAGGTGCTATGGAATCATGCCCCAGCTCGCGTACGCCACGCTCAAGCTTCTGCCTCCCCGCTGAGGCTTGCGGTCCGAACCCGCAGCTTTATTCTCGCGAGCCTCTCACGTTTCCGTACCGGCCCAAGCGCAGGAACAGAGAGTCGTGGGACTCGGCGCTGGGCTCGGACATGAACGGGCGACGTACCCGCGGCAGCTCCTTGGCCGGCCCGGACTTCCAGCCCTTGCCGGCGGTCTTCGCTTCGCGCAACAACATGCTGCCGCCACCGCCGCGCGAGGCCAATCGGCTGTCCATCTCGTCCATCCCAGGGAGCGTCATCCACATCGACCCACACTCCCCGGCCCCTCGGCTGTCGGGAGGGGCTGATGACGGACACGACCTGCAGGCGTGTTCCCCACAGGAGCAGTGCGACGAGACATCGTCGGAAACAACCCTGCCGGCAGAGGACGCCGCCGGCCGGATCCTCAACTACGCCCTCGACGTCGCCTTCGGTACCAACGCCTACAACATCGAGACCTCATCGGTGTGCCGGTCCGTGGTGCACAACTTCATCAGCGACCTGGGCTGGGCCGTCGACCAGGGGCAGCACCAGCAGCGGGAGGACGTGGTCGACGACTTGCAGCTGGACCTCGAGTCCCCTCACGATGCCGATGGCCGCGGCGAGCAGCAGCAGCACACGCGCAACAGTCCGAACGCATCTAACAATGCTCAGCAGGCGGGCAAGAGGCGCAGCGCCGGCGGGAGGGGGAAGAGGAAATCGCAGGAGCTGAGCGACGACGAGCAGGATGGAGAGGACAGCAACGACGAGGGCGACGCGAGGCAGTCGTCGGAGCCGGGGCCGTCCAAGAGGGTAAAGCCCAACCCCGCCGTGCGCATGAGCTGCCCGTACCGCGTCAAGAACCCTCTCCGGTTCAACGTGCGCGACCACCGTCTATGCGCCCTGACCGTGTTTACCGACACCGCCGAACTGAGGTATGCTCTGATTCACACACTCCCAGGGGTGAGCTTTTGGACATTGCCAGCTGACAGGAAGCCAAAATTGCCAGACGCCACATACAGGACTGCCACAAGAGGCTGGCCAACTCGCCGTACCGTTGCCTTCGGTGCGAGGTCCAGTTCGACTCGATGGAGAGCCTCCGCGAGCACCAGAAGAGCACCACCCCCTGCCCCGTGAACCCCGCCGCCGACGCGGGCGGCCTACACAACCCCGAGGACGGCATCGACAGCGCCACCGCCAACCAGCTCAAGTGCAAAAGGGGGCGCGTGGCGGACTCGATCGAAGTGCAATGGTACAAGATCTGGTGTCTGCTTTTCCCCGACTGCGAGGTGCAGCCATATGGTGAATATTCCCCTTCACGGGTTGCTAGACAAAGCAGAAAAAGATTTTGAGGATGGTATCCCGGGCTAACAGTAACGCCTTAAGACTACTGCGCGGTCATGGAACACCACGAGCTCAAGGAAAAGTACCTGGGCAGCATGTGTTCCCTCAATAAATCCCTCTCCGTCATCGGCCTGGGTGAGCGCGGGCTCGAGACGCTCGACCGGATCCTCACCAACCACTTCATCGGCCTGTTCGAGCAATGCAACGAGGAGGGCCGCAGCAAGGACTACCGCAACAGGCAGCCAAAGGCGGCGCCGGCCCAGCAGCAGCAGCAGCAGCCGACACCCGACGACAACGGCCAGCTCCGCAAGCAGTCGTCTTTGCGCAAGCGTCTCGCCGCCGCCCAGCGCGACTCCCAGCGCGACTCGGGCTTCGTCGAGGACTATCAGAGCATCGTGGGCGGCCTGCAGGAGGCGGGCGTTGTGGCCGTTGTGGGCGGCAGCGGCGCGTCGTCGGAAGAGGGCGGTGGCGGTGGAGGTGGCGTGGGCAAGTTCACGCCGCCTGCGACCTTTATTTCCGACAACGGGTCCTCGTCCTCGCCCGGCGCGTCGTTCCGCAAGGCGCAGCAGATGCAGTTTGCGCTGCCGCCGGCGGGCCCCTTCGGCCTGGCGCCGCCGCCGGCGCGCGACGACAACAACGACAGCGTCCCCGCCGGGTTCCCTCCCGCGGGCCCGTTCGCCGGCTCCCTCGCCGGGCTAGACGCCTCCCTGCTAGAGCACTCGGACGACGCGAGCTGGGCCATGCACGGGTCGTTTGCCGACTACGACGCTATGGCTGCTGCTGCGGCCGGGTACGGACACGCCGCGCAGCTCGACCATGGCGGGTTCGGCTTCCCCGTTCACCCGAGCGCATCGCGGCACATCGTCCCCAACATGGTGCCCATGCAGTTCGCGGGCGGTGGTGAGATGCCGGACGCCCTGCAAGACAGCACCAGCGCGTGGGTGTATAGCCAACACCCGTGAGATGGGTGTTGGGAGTTCTCAATGAGGTTATGAAGTGTTTTGTGTAGGATAGTAGCTGGATGACGGATTGTACAAAGGATTGCATGTCGGTGCCATCATATAGGCGGGCGGTAATGTCTCATTTTATATTGTCTGTTTCAATCCTGGTCTTCCAGGCGTCACCACTGAGTATCACAGGTCTCGCATAATGTTCCATCTCAAGCTGGAACCGCTATTTTTTCAACGGGGCACTTCAATCCATACCCATGGTAAATCATAACACGTCATTTCGAGATACTATTGATAAATCATTGTGTTCCAGGGTGCTTTCGTCTGGTACAGCGACTGCAGCTTCAAGGAGCCAAACAAATACTCATTGCTTCCAAACCCACAAAAACCCATTCGTGGGGGTGGCATCACTCGACAAGCGCCTTACACGCTGTTACCATTTCCATTGGTCACTCCATCGACCTGCCCGTCGTGGGGACGAGTGATGGGATTCTCGACAACGACCTGGCCAACATGCAGGCGCTTCCTCGGAACCCACAGGAGCTGCACGATGCCAAAAAGGGCGACGCCGATAACACTGAACCACGCAACGCCGGAACCGCCAACGCTATAGACGAGGCCGACGATGGGAGGGGCAATGGTCCTGGCGAGACAGGCACCCGACATGGCCAGGCCGTTGATCTTGCCGAGATCCGCCATGGAAGGAGCAGCCTCCTTGAGCAGGATGAGGGTGACGGGGAAGATGATGATGCCGCAAAAGGACTGCAGCGTCAGGGAGAGATATATCGCGGACGAAAATGCAGGCTCGAAGAGGAGCGAGAGGAAGGGAGGGATCAGGTAGCCGAGAGGGTACAGCAGGACCATCCACACGAGTGAGTGCCAAACGCCGACGCGCTCGACGAAGATGGGAAAGATGACTGCCTGAATGAACAGACCCAAAAAGCCGTTGACGGCTAGGTAGACCCCGACGTCGGGCGCCGTGTAGCCCAGGCCGCCCTTGAGGTCGAGCTGGCCTCGCGGTAAAAGGGGCTCGTCGAGTAGATGCGTGGGCAGCAGCGACTGCGAACCCATCTGGTGGTAAGAGAAGATCAGGAGTAGGAAACAGAGCATAAGAACGGTGAAGTTGAACGGGTTCTCCTTCTTCTTAGAGAGGTCAGTCACCACATCTCCAGGTCCGATTTCACCATCCGAGACGGGCTTGATCGAATGCATGGTGCCGAATGAGGAGCGTCTCAGGTCGACATTGTGCTCGTCGATGGGCAGCGGCAGGCTGGACTCGACAAACATGGGCGTGGACTCGAGCGACGTGCGGGTCTGGCCACCGTGCCTGAGAGGAGTGGTCTCGTCGGCGTCAACGTCGGTATCGTCCACAGCCGGGTCTCGGTCGGGAACTGCGACATCTTCGTCCCACTCCCGGGTCTCGTCAAGGAAGAATACGCCGAGAATGACGGCCGATACCACGCAGACAAAGGCGACAAGGTTGGGGAGCAGGTAAGGGTAGCGACCCCACAGTCCGTCCTCGTCAAAGCGCCCGGGGTACGACTTGACGGGGTGGGCGAGGAAACCGCCCATGGCGGACCCGATAATGGTACCCAGCGACCAGACGAAGGGCTGGACGGCATAGGCGATGGGCTCGTGCTCGGGGCGTTTAACCATCTCGGCAACCATGGTCTGCATGACCGACACGTTGCCGTTGAGGGCACCGCCGAGAAGGCGTGCGGCAAAAGCAACCCAGTACGACTTGGACAGACCAAAGATGAGGCTCGACAGGGCAACACCGACTAGGCCAGATAGAACGATGGGCTTGCGACCGACCCGGTCCGAGAGGGTGCCCCAAGCCATCGATGTGATGGCCTCGGCGACGGCATAGGCCGAGACCAGGAGGCCGGCATAAAAGGAAGCTTCCTTCCTATCGATGCCGAGGTCCTGCACCATGTCGAAGGTGTACGTCATGATAGACGTGAAGGCGATGGGCTCGGAGAATCGACATATTGCTGTGCAGACGAGCGGGACGGAAGCGCATTGGCTGTTAACGAGCTGTTTTTTTTTTATCTCGCGTTGCGATGCTGTTGCATTCGCCATCTCGACCAAGTGGTGCGTGCGTGTGGAACCATACCAAGAATGAAGAGCTGCCGTGTGGGGAACGCGTTCGGGTCTTTCTCTTTTCTCCGCGGCATGATGGACTTGGGACGAGGCATGACGGCTTGGGGCTCTCTCTGGCAGAACAAGAGCCAAGGAAAACTGAAGACGAGAAAGAAAGGGGGAGAATGGGCGTCCGAGGAGGAGGGGACGATGAAAATAAGAAGGTCGACGCGGGCAGCCGCGCCAGGCGCAACCCAGGATCAGTCTTGTCCCTTTCCCACCGTTTGCGGGGCCGTACTATTGGGGCCGTGGTTCTGCTAATGCTGCAGTTACACTTGGACGTAGGTGTGGAGGGGGGTTCCTGCGGGACTGTCGGCCCGCTGACCGCGGCTACAGGCACCAACCACTAGAATTGGAGAGGCCAGGCAGGTTGAGGCGGGCCGAGGACAGCACAGTTGACCTCTGTCGAACACGGTCGCCTGCAGGAGCTTCCTTGGGCAAGGAATCCAGGCGACCCAACATGCATATGCCAGAAGCCGCACGGATACGGCACCCCGAGGTGAGTCGCTCTGGGCTCGACACAGCACAGGACGTCAACTGACTTTCGTCTGTTCTGGCGCCTCGTTGCCCGGAGCCCAGAGATCAATGTCACAGCCCGCGAGGTTCGTGTCAATCTGACTTTGGTTGGCATCAATTGTGGAGTTGGCGCTTCCCCACCATCCCGCCATCGTTAATCAAATCTTGTCCCGAACATGACCCGAGGACCCTGGAAGAGCACAGGCGGTCAGCAGCATTGATGTTTCTCCAGGGATCAGAGCTGCCCGTGCGTGGGGCAACCGCTTTTCGGGAGAGGAATGAGAACAACAGGAACAGCAACGGGAATAGTAGGGAGAATAGCAATAAAGATGAAGACGAGAATAAAAACAAGAATAAAAATGAATAAAAACAGGAATGAAGACAGGGATAAGACCAAGGATAAAACCAAGAAATAAAACCAAAAATACAAACAGTAGTGCGGCTTTAGCACAATCCCAGAGTGGGAAGAAAAATCTACGGCACGAACAATTCTAATCCCAGCAGCCCAGGACCTGCTTCGGCGGAGCGAACTGCTCCGCAATCGGGCGCCTCGATTCATTCAAAATACCCGTCACACGCACCCTCAATATCTCGGTATCCAATGGAAAAAGAAATACAGAGCTGAGTTATCAATGCACGCTGGCCGTGACCGTCGACAATTCATTTCATTCCTTTAGCAAACGCGCAGGTACTACCTACGCTGACGCCGCGTCCTGCGATTGATTGTGCTTGCAGGAGTTTCCTGTTCTGGCCCCTCCGCCAGTCCCGAGTGGGGTCAAGCCAAGTAGGTACCTAGCTTATCGAAGCGGAGTTGGACCATTCAGGTTCGCGACTGCCATCCATCAATCACCCAACATGAACTCGCAACGAGGACCAACGCGTCACGGGCCCCGAGGAAGGAAAGAGCCTTGCTATGGACTGAGCTCGACAACGACAATGGAGCTGGGCTGTTCATGAATGCCTCACCGTCCACACGGATCTCCCTACTCACAGATATAGCGTCAATATTGCATAACATCAAGATACTATCTACCTAAATACCTACACTACAGTCTTTGATCGCTTTCTTGTACGGCCCTCGTCCTAGAAATCGCCTCGACGCGGCGTGCCGCCGCCGCTCAGAACCACCGCGCACCCGCAGTACCCTCACCATGGCCACTACGCTCGATGACCTGATCAACAAGTCCGAACCTCATCGGCACTTCAGCAATCGTCCCAGGGCCGGTTCAGACCCAATCGACACTCTCCATCCCAACTCTGCTGGGGGCTGGTTCGAAAAAGCGGTACGTTCTTCTCGGATCCCTAGTTGAGATTTTACACCATATTCCCGCTGAAGGCTATTGAGACTAACTTCTCGTGAGATTCGAAGCCTCTCCGATGTCCAGAAGCGCCCGAGGAGGCTCCGCAGCGGTTGGGAAGCCTGCTGTCTTCCGCGGTCGAACCTGAGCTCTTGACATCACAAGAATCGTCCCACCAGGGGTCAGGAGTCGGGGCTTCGATAGACCGGTGGTTGACTGGTGTCGAGGTACAGCCACTCTGTCCGATCGGAGTCGGATCCATGGTCCAGCATACACCTGCGACGGTCCTTGAGGACCAGTCGATGCGCGAAATATCCGAACAGCGGGCCACCTCAGAATCAGCGTTCGGCATGAAATCGAGTCAGGAGAGGAACGTCGCCCCCAGGCGGCCCTCCACTGCCACCGCGGCCAGTAGAATACCAGAGCCCAGACGTCATCGCCATGTGCAGGGCCATCAACATGCGCAAGACCATCACCGTCTCCCGTATCTCGACCATCACTCACATCAGGCTACCGAGGACGAGCATTCGCGAAGCCCTCGACAGGAGTCCGGATTCTACCAGCACTCTAGATTCTACCAGGACGCTAGCTTCCATATGCCGCAGGCGACCCAGCGTCCCTTACAAACGGCATAGTGGCCACTGCCGCCTGGGGTCCATCAATCGGAGCTATTCAGAGAGGGACCATGGCAGGAGATTCGCCAGGGTGCGCCACACCCCCTCCAGTTATCACAGCCACAGCCTTGTGGCCAGCAGCTCCCGCAGCAGGCCTATCAGCAAACACCAGAACTATTCCGGCGCTATGCATCGCCGCCGCCCTACTACCAGGCGTCAGAACCAGCCAGCGGCCATGTATCCAATCATGAACTCAACCAGGCCCACCAGCCGATTCACCACGATGTGCCGCCCCCGTTCCGCCAAGTTCCGCCGCAGATCCATCAGCCATCACCGGAACTATCCCGCAACTGGCGACAACACCTGTCCCGAACACTAGAACCGCCAGCTTACCAGTCACCGCAAGCTGGTTGCGATCCGGTTTCATCAACAGGCGGGCACTCCGTGACCCATCCAACGCCATCGTTGCTTCAAGAGCAGATTCCATCAGGGCACGAGCTTCTGAGGCTGGAACCATCAGCTCAAGCGTGTACGACCAGCGTTGCGATGCTGGTGAAGCAGAACCCGGAGCAAACAGCTAGCTCAGACATCGAGGTTCTGGTGTCGAATTTGCGGGCTGCGCTATTGAATTTCGATCGAGCGCGCTCCGAGACGTCAGCTTTACCCATTCCAGGTTGTACCGGGAGCCGTTCCGACTCAGCAACCCCCGTGGCTCAAGCAGAGACTCCAAGTCACTCTAGGCCTGAGCTGACTGAAAGGCCGCTGCCAAATCCACCTTCTCCTATAGCACCCTCGCCAACAGGCATCAAAAAGTCCCATGACCGACCAAAGTCAAAACAAGCGGATGTGCCATCTCAGCTACAGGGCCACGCTTCCCCTGAAGCGCAACCACCGGCGCTGCCAAGCCAGCGACGCTCCTTTGCAAGTGTCGCAAAGGCCGGAGGGATTCCGAGCAATACCCCCAGTTCCCACCCAGCCTCTCGAAAACCAGGCGAAGCAACTCCAGATGACTTCTCCCAAGCACTAGCACCCCCTGAGGAACCCGATGCCCCTCGCCCGCTTTCCCCGACCGATGCACCTGTGGCTTTGGAAGCATCCGTTCCGAGGCCCAAATCTAAGCCCACTGTCCAGGAAATTATACATGGGATAAGTGATTGGGCGCGAAGGCTGCGGCTTCACCAAGTCAGAAACAGAAGCGCCCCAGGCGCTATAGTTCACTTCGTTCCAGCTTGGCGTTCAAATCCGCAGCTTTCATCATTCCGCCGACTATCCAGTACCTACATGACACTGAGATCTGACATGACCCTGAGAGCGTTGAGGGAACTGGATTTCAAGCGCCGCTGTTTCTTGCAAAAAGTAGAAGTTATTCAGCAGATACAGGCAGCGCAGTTTTCCTTGGCTCTTGAGCGGGAAGAGAATGAAGACAACCGGCAGACATTTCTCTGGTACAAGAAACTCTTGGATGAAGAAGACGCGAGATTGCAGGAAAGCTGGGACAATTTCTGGTTTAACGTGGAGCGTCAACGCGAGATGGAGGAACGCAAGAGGGCCAGGGACAAGAAGAAGAGAGAGGAGGCAGCGCAGCGGAGGGTCGCAGAGAAAAAAAGAATCAGACGACTGGCGGTGGAAAGGGTTCTCACTGAGGCGAAACGGAGGATACATGAAGAGCGACAACGCCGAGAAAACGATGGAGAAAACGATGGGAAAAGGGATGGAGAAAGAGAATCGGAAGAAGAACAGGAAACGGAAGATGACCTGGCCAACCCTACACCTAGCTCGACAACCCTCGAAGACGACAGGGGAGCGCTTGACGAAGAATACCGGATTGCCACCGACGAGGAGATTGTGGAAGCCCAGACCGCTGTTCGCAGTCAGAATTTACTGGCCACCCGATCAGATATCAAGGCCCACCTAGACAAGATGGGGCTCAGGGCGTCTGAGAAACGGCTGAAGAGGCTGACGTACTCGGGGGAGGTGGCCCTCAGGACGGACAGGTTGCTTCGGGAAAACATCGCACGCCAAAAGGGCGAGATGAACGGCGTGGTTCGGCGCGTGACCGACCTGGCGAACGAGAACGCTTGGTTCAAGATAAAGATCCTGCGTTTGCACCTGGGCTTTCAGGAGGAAGAAATTGAGGCGGCGAGGCAAAGGGGCGACGGCAAGACGGTGGAAGATCTCGAGGTGCTCAAGGTATTCACCGCTGCAGAAGTCGAACACGCAGAGATGATGTCGTCTGGAACCGCTCCCCTCGGACGTGGAATCATCCAGCTGGTACCGATGTTCGACAAGGATGCAGAGAAGGGGGCCGTCGGCTGGGCGCTGGGGGCGCAGGACCGGCCGGACCTGGAACTCCTGATCAAAAAGAGACTCCGTTGGATAAAGACGACAACCGAATCATGTTATATCGACTGATGACCAGGCGTAACTACAAGCATTCTTCATTACAGCGACTCTCTCCCAGCAGATAGAATCTAAACATCTAGCCCCTTCATGGCCATGACGGCAAGAGCGTACGCAGCCGCCTTTGTGTGGGCGGTCAAGGTTGTGATGTTGACGTTGGCCGCAGTGTCGCAGGCTCTATGGTAGCACGGATCCTGGCTGACGCCCGAGTGTGTGCCGCCAACGGGCTTGTTGAGGATCCTCCAGAAGTCCCTGTAGTCGGTCCGCTCGGTCAGCTCGACGGGCGTGACGGCCAGGCCCTGGCCCTCGAAGCCCTGGGTGAGCAGCTTCTGGATGGCGCCCGAGCCGGCCGGACCGGGCTTGGAGAAGGCGGAGCCGTCGCCGTCGAAGACGCCCGAAAGGCCGCGGCCGACCATGTCGAAGTTGACGTAGGCGAGCACGTCGGCGGCCTCGGACGCCGATAGCTGCTTCGTGTAGTGCTCGCTGCCCCACGCGCCGCGCTCCTCGGCGCCCCACCACGCGAACCGGATCTTGTAGCGCGGGCTGGTGGCGAGCTTGGAGAGGGCCGTGACCAGCTCGAGCACGAGGCTGGACCCGGAGGCGTTGTCGTTTATGCCGGGCCCTTCGGCCACGCTGTCGAGGTGGGCGCCGAACTGGGGGGTTGCTGGGGTGTTAGCTGAATTGGGGGTGGAAGGAGAGAGAAGGACGAGAAGAGAAAGGCTCGAGGGGGAAAAGGATGAGGAAAAGAGGAAACACACTTACGATAATGGTCTTGCTCGAGTCCCCGCCGACCGTCTCGGCGATGACGTTCTGCGTGACCCTGCGGTCGAGAACATTGCCCGTCTTCATCTTGATGGTGACGCCCTCGCCGCGCTGCAGGCGGGCGCGCAGGGCCAAGCCGTCGGCCTGGCTCATGAACCCGGTGGGGATGTCTCCCCTGCGGGGGGCGCGGCTGAAGCCGCCGGCCGAGCTGGTGCTGCGGAGGTTGCTGAAGATGACGACGCCGGCAGCGCCCGCGGCGGCGGCCGGCAGCATGCGGCCCTCGAGGTAGGAGTCGCCGTAGCTGGGGCAGGGCCCGCGCTCGACCAGGACGACCTTGCCGCGCACGTCGCGGCCGGCGTACCCGGCGGCGTCGCAGGCGGCGGCGCCCGCGGGCCCGTCGACCAGCTGGGCCGTCAGGCCGCCCTCGGGCGTCGAGGGGCTGTACCAGACGCCAAAGGCGGCGGCGGCGGCGCCGTTGAGCGCGATCTCGCCGACCCAGTCGCTCGAGTAGGTGGCGGTGAAGTCCTGCGTCCGCACCGTCACGCCGGCGCCGAGCTTGGACAGGCGGTCCGTCACGTACTTGACCGAGGCGTCGTAGCCGGGGCGGCCGAAGGCGCGGTTGCCGCCGTTGGCTGTGGCGACCTGCTGGAAGCTGTCGATGCTGGCCTTGAGTCTGCGGATGGGGGGATGGGTTGGTGGTGTTAGCTGGGGTGTTCTTATCTTTTGGAATTTGAGCTGCCAGTCAAGAAGGGAATTTACCCGGCCTCGGTGATCAAGGCCTGCAGCGCTGCCGGCTCAATGGTCGACTGGCGCTTGCTGGGGACGGCGTGCACCGTATCAAGGCAGGCCGCCAGGGCCAGGAGGGCCGGGAAAAACTTCATATTGGCGGCGGCGGCGGCGGCGGCGGGATCTGGTATCCTGGACTTGGGGCACGGGGGACGTTGCGGAAGGCCGGGGGCGGGCAGTCTCTGTCGCTTGGACTCGGCCTGCCTCCCCTCTCCTGACGAGGGGATTCGGCGCGCCATTTTAAGCAGCCACCGGCGCCAGGCATTGCGTGATCTGATGGCATGAACTTGGTATGAGGTTGCATTCACCGGCGACGGCGAGGCAGGTGGCAGGCGCTTATAAAATACGGGCTTGGCCCCCCGCCCAAATCTCCATGCTTCTATCGCGAGTCCCACCTGCCCCATACGGCATTAGGAAAGTGGACAAGATCCATGCCTGCCGGATCGGGAAGGTGATGGCATAATAGGGGCTCGGCCCATCCCGCAATAGCCGCGATCGCCTGCCCTATATAATGTGGAAACGAAGAACAGAGCGGACGTACACATACCCTCGGTTGGTAGCCCACCGACAACAGCACCCGTCGCCGGCACTTCTGCAGAGACCGTTTCTCGTCTCGTCACGCTCGCTCCTACACAATGAAGTCCAGCCTCCTCCTGTCCCTCCTGGGCGCCGCCGCCCCGCTGTTCGCGGCGCCCACGGCGGCAGGCCAGCGGCAGCAGGAGCAGCCGTCCACGCTGGTGCGCCGCGCCTCGGACCCATCGCAGCTCGTGCCCAACCGCTTCATCGTGCTGCTCAAGCCCGACACGGCGGCCGCCGAAGTCGCGGCCCACCACGCGCACGTGCGGCGCATGGTGCTGACCAGGCGCGACGGCGGCAGCACCAGCAGCGGTGGCATCGACCGCGTCTTCCACATCGGGTCCGACTTCAGCGCCTACGTGGGCGACTTTGACGACGCCACCGCCGAGGCGATCGCGCGCCTGCCGGGCGTCGCCAGCGTCGAGCAGGACGCCATCGTTACGGTGGAGCAGACCAAGCCCCCCAGCGCGGCGGCCGCCGTGGCGCGGCGGGCCGTCCAGACGCAGAGCGAGGCGCCGTGGCAGCTCGGGGACATCTCGCACCGCGACCGGGGCGCCAAGGACTACGTCTACGACGGCGCGGCGGGCGCGGGCTCGTACGTGTACGTGCTCGACACGGGCGTCCGGTCCAGCCACGCCGAGTTCGGCGGCCGCGTGCGCTTCGGCATCAACGGCCTCACCGGCTCCACGGCCGCGCCGGCGCCCGAGAACCGCGACCGGGAGGGCCACGGCACCCACTGCGCCGGCCTCGCCGCCGGCGCCACGTACGGCGTGGCCAAGAAGGTTGAAATTGTCGACGTCAAGGTCATGGGTGACAATGGCGCGGTAAGGCTGCCTTTCCCTGCCTCCTGTTCGCAAGAAGGTCCTGGTTCATGGCTCTGATGCTAACAACTGATTGGTTATAGGGAACTATGTCTTCGGTCATCACCGGCATCAACTGGGCCGTCAACGACATCCTGTCCCGCAACATCCAGAAGAAGGCAGTGATCAACTTGTCTCTCGGTGAGTGATGCTTTTTCCGCTCGCGTGCGATATGGCGCTATACATCAGTGGTCACTAACCGCCTACGTCGTCTTGTAACCACAGGATCCCAAGCTATCGGCAGCGAACTCACCGCGACCGAGTCTGCTGTTATTGCAGCGTACAACCAGGGCATCGCGTCACTTTGCGCAGCCGGGAACGAGGATGTGAGTTGATTACCCTACCTACCTCCCTACTTTGACTCCTGCCCTTTCTTAAAAGCACCCAGGACTGAATGGCCGAACCCCCCCTTCCAACCAAACAGTCCCCAGCCTCTACAAGGTCACCGGGTAGGATCCCGCAGTGCATCACTGTCGGCATGACCAACGCGGCCCGCAGCCGCGCCTCGCCCCGGCCGCGCATCTTTGGCAGCAACTACGGCCCCGAGCTGGACATCTTCGCGCCGGGCGACGACGTGCGCGCCGCGGGCATCGCGTCCGACTCGGCCATCGTGGCCAAGAGCGGCACCAGCATGGCGACCCCGATCGTGGCCGGCGCCGTCTCGTACCTGCGCTCCATCGAGGGCGGCCTCGACACGCCCGAGCAGGTGCGCGCCCGCCTCGTCGCGCTGTCCCTCAAGGACGTGGTCGGGGACGTCAGGGACTCGCCGAACCGGCTGCTCAACAACAACAGTGGGCTATAAGGGGCCTGTTGGGGGTGTTTGTTTGGTCGAATGGATAACGACAGTCTTTTTGTATGCATTTAGGTCTTGTCTTTGATGAAATACATTGTCGTCATATGATCCCCCATATATGCTTTCGCTATATGCACCCTGCTCCCAATCCAATCGTAGCCAGCAGTATAACGCGGTTCTTGTGTGCATAAAGGCCACGCCATATATGTCCTCACCACCCGCTCACCCTAGCAACAGTACCCGAGTCCTGCTATGCAACATGGGCGACATCGGGCTTCTTCTTCTCAATCGAGTCGGCCACGGACCTCGCGTCGTTGGCCTCGGCCTCCTCGACCACGGGACGGCCGCGGATCTGGTTCCAAACGGTGACGTGCATCGGCTTCGAGAAGAGGGCGTCCATGCCTTCCAGCATGATACCTGCGCGAGAGTGGAAGAGAAGGGAAAATTGTCAGCAAGGACCGAACTCGACAAACACAAAACCCCTAGGGACTCTCAACATACCTCTTGTCTCGGGCACAAAGAAGAAGGCCCAGATGCCCATGACGACGACAAAGCTGCCAAACATAAAGTAGGTGCCGTAGCCCAAATCCGTGATCATATAGGGGGTGGCGCGGCCGACGACGAAGGAGCCCAGCCACGTGGTGGCCGTGGTCAGGGCGACGCAGAGCATGCGGATGTCGAGCGGGAAGATCTCGGCGGCGTAGGTCCACGTGATGCCCTGCCAGGTGGCGCAGATGATGAAGGCGTTGACGTAGATGGCCACCATGGCCAGGTAGCCCCAGCCGTCCTGCTGGATGTCGCCCGAGCCGGCGCGGGCGAGCGGGTCGGCCTTCATGACGTAGCCGCCGACGTAGAAGAGCGGGATGCAGCCGAGGGCCGAGCCCCAGATTAGCCCCTTGCGGCGGCCGACGCCCTCGACAACGAAGACGGTGAAGGCGACCATGCCCAGCATCTTGGCGACGCCGTAGATGCCGGTGCTGAAGAGCTTGGTGGTGGTCCCCGTGATGCCGAGCGTCTCAAAGATGCGCGGGCTGTAGTAGGTCATGATGTTGACGCCAGTGAAGGACTGCAGGAACATGAGGGCGGCGCCGATGGCGACGCGGTTGCGGGTCCCCGGGGCCACGAGCTTGCGGAACTGGTCCTTGCGGCTCAGGTGCGTCGTGCTGCGCTCCTCGACCTGGGCGCGGATCTCGGCCATCTCGTTGCGGATGTACTCGTGGTCGGCCGGCAGGTGGCGCAGGTACACGAGCACCTGCTCGGCCTCGTCGAAGCGGTCGCCCCGGGCCAGCCAGCGGGGGGACTCGGGGCAGAAGAAGATGCCGGCGGCCAGGACCACGACGGGCAGCAGCTGCAGGGCCAGCGGCACGACCCACTGGGCCTTGTTGCGCACGTCGATGGTACGGTCGGTCGCGTAGTTGATCCAGAAGCCCAGCATGGAGCCGCTCTGGCTGGCCACCTCGAAGATGCCGACGAGCCGCCCGCGCACGCTGGGCGGCGACGTCTCGGCGATGTAGACGGGCACCACGAGCGACGCCGAGCCGATGCCGAGCCCGCCGATGGCCCGCCCCGCGATGATGACGGCCGTGCTGCCCTGCGCGGCCGCCATCATGGACCCGCCAACCATGAAGACGATGGCCGCCATCAGGATGGCCTTGCGGCGCCCGATGGCCTCGGCGATGGGGAAGGTTAGCAGGGCGCCGAAGAAGCAGCCGACGTGGAAGGTGGATATTATGTCGGCCTGCGTGGCATCGCGGACGTGCGGAAGGGCCGACTCGAGTCCAAAGTCCCGTTTGAACGAGTCCAGGGCCATGGTGCCGCCGATGACGGCCGTGTCGTATCCCACTGCGGTTGGAGGCCGAGTGTTAGTGACGGTATAGCCGGACCGGGAACCCGGGAGGGATCCAAAAGAAAAAGACTTACTGGCCAGGGCAGCACAAGAGGCGACCAGAGCAACCCAATGGATAGTCCAGTTACGGACTTCCGGAGGATCGGTAGTCCCCTTGGCGTGGAGAAAGCCCATGCCGAAAGCTGTGAAACGAAAGCAATCTGTGTCCGGGGAAAAAGACCGTTCAAACGGCAACTGGCAGTCTGCAGAAGAACCGAAGACCTGCGCCGGGCTGGGGACGAGCGAGGAGGAAGGGAGGTGGTCTCAGAGGAATACCCTCCATATCACCGCCACAGCGCCTCCAAGCCAGGGTATATATGTCACCCACCAGCTCGCAACCCATGCTATCAGACGTGAGGAGCAACTATCGCCAAGCATCACCCACTCCTCTTCCCCCACCTGGGGTAGCGCGAAGCCTGATAGACATTGGCCTGACCCCGCGCCAAGGTCAGCGCAAAGCACCCAGCACAAGATCACATGGCGGGGAGACGGGGATAACGCTGCGGTTTGCGGGGGTGGAGACGGCCTTGCCCAGGACGTTGTGCGGTGCAAGAACCAGACCCGGCGGGAGGGGAGGGAAAACAAACACCCATGATATGCTTTGTGGTAAGGAGATTTGCAAGGTCACGAACGCATGCCAAGCCACGGGGAGGCGAGGATCCCGCCTCAGTGCCGGAGATGTGCCGAGCACGGGGAGGCGGCGGCAAGGGCAAGTGAGAGAAGCACCGCTAAGGCGCCTTGGAGGTGTGGGAGGGAAGTCATGAGGGGTTGGCTCGGGCTTGGCCGGGGCTTGGGCCGCGCCAAGGTGACAGCTTCACATTTTAAATGCAACGTCTGCTTCCTGCCAGTGGTCGAGCCAAGATCAATTGGCGGCCTCAATTGGCCGAATCGATATTCTGTTCCCTGCTGGAGCTCCTGATTCTTCCGAACAAACATATACATTTCCGCGGGCCTTTCGCTCGCTTGATTCCGACATGCGCAATTGAGAGTATGGCGTCGATCCTACCATCTCTACCATTTTCGTTTCGCCTTCTGCTGTGAAGATGACTGGAAGGTGTGGTTTTTTGCGCGTGGTGGGGGCGCCTTGGCCCTGAGGTGGGGACGAGACCGCCCAAAGTCGGCGCTTTCACCCTGATCTTCTCATTCGCGCAGACAGAGCTTACAGCCCGCCACAAACCCAACTGACCAGCATCAATACGGGTCTGTTTAATTGCAAATCAGTTATAATTGGCCCTTAATTGCATATTCCCTTGTCAATGTCGAAACGAAGGTTGGATGCTGGTTATTGTAGAGCTCTGGGCATCAAAACTCGATCGGACTGGACGATGCATGGGTGGCATGGAGCTGCGGTGTGGGTCACCATGTCTGTACACCCCAATAGCGTCATAAAGTCGAGCATGTCCGAGAGTCTGCGTGATGGCGTAGTGTTCATCAGTCAGACTTTGCGACGGTCTGGCACAGCGTGAATGAATACTCAACACCTCATCTCTTTCGTGCAACACATCCCTTGTCACTGGTTCTCAGCACTCCTGCTGACCCAGCCTGCAACTGTCCGAAATGCAACACTCACTTGCTAGAAAAACATGGTATTGAACACGGCAACCCACAACACTGCTGAGCGTTTTGCGTCACTTGCTCGTATATGCGTATAAAATTGAAGCATTTCGGCAGGGGAATTCGACCCGCGTTCGTCAGTTGTTTTCGGCAGGTTCCCTTAAATTGTAGTGGTCTATCTGCTTCATATCTGCTGCATCCTGCAGACTTCCGCGACCACCCGCCCTCGATAGTAGACATAGACACCACCATGGACGGCCGCTATCTACGCGAGCTCACCCAGCGAGTCGGCTTGGGATTCACGGTCCCGATCACAACGTTTGTGGCGCCGGCTAGTACACGCTTCGCCGCGGGCCAGCGTGTCAAGGTGCTACCACGGGGAAATCTGAGCCCAGGGTCGTACATGGAGGGCGTGGTGGAGGGTGTTGCGCCATCAGGATGCGGTCAGGCCGGCACGTCCTACTACGTGACGATCGATTCGGTTGTGCTGCCCTGTGGCGCGCAGCCTTACCGAGACGTGCAGCCCAGACTGTGCGCCGAGGGTGAGCTCCAGGCTGACTGGATGTAAGATCGGGATCGCCGCCCAAGTGGTTTAGTGGGTAGTGTGGGGTGCAGAGGTACGTACAGGTGTAGCTGAGCGAATCGGGATGGCCAAAAATGCGAGCACAGGTCTTGTCTGGCAGAATTCAATAAATTGTGATTGTGGCTGCTGCTTGTCTTGCTGGTGCTGATGCGGTTTTGGGGCCGCCGTCACCGTCACCGTCACACTCTCACCCTCCATCCCAGACCTGGCGGCCGCCTGCCTGCACATTCGCCCGACTGCTTTGTGCTCTTGTCCTCATTCGCCGTCCGCTGCGATGCCCCGATGGCTTGCCGTAGCCTTTCGACCGGGGGCGCATGTGCTCAATGGGAACCCTCAAGGGCTGCTCCGGCTGGCTGTGCGAGCAGGCGCTGTCCCTAATTGATCAATGGGCTGCGTGGCTGCGCAGAAGGGTGTCTGCGAAGTGGCCATCAGCGTCAGCGAGGCCCGTCGGTGGGGCATCTGCCTTTCAGCGCTGATCGGTCACGGTGCGGCGGAGGTGGCTGTCCAACTGCGGCCTTTCAGGCTCAGCTGGACGACCGCCCAACAGCCGATGCGCCAATAAAAGAAACTGCTTCGCAGGCGCTACACAAGCCGCAACGCAGCTAGGGATGAGCCTAGCGCAAGGTGATCTTGCTACCCCTGCTGGGTCGGGCTTGGCCTCAGGGTCCTCCTCGTGTGCTTCCAGAAAATGGCGAACCAGGCAGACGCCAGATGCCCTCGCACGCCGCCATACAAAAGAAGGTGCATTCTCCGGTAGTTGTGATGTCCGCCTTCTTCCCCTGACCGCAACCACCCCCAGTACACAGTTCTCCTCGCTCCTGTTTGTTTGCTTGCTCGTCGTGTGTTACAGTTCCTTTGAACCTGCTTGTCAGAGATATTAGTCGAATTCTGCCTTGGAACGCCAAACTCGAAGCTGCCACGATGGCGGAGGCCCACACGACGTGCGCAATGAGCAAGCGGATCATCGTGTGCTGCGATGGATCCTGGATGGATTCCCTGGGATCAAAAGGGTATGACTTGTTCCCTTGCACCCAGCTCGTTCCGAGAGGAGAGGCCAAGCGCTGACGAGCACTTGTGACAGAGGCCTGCCACAGTCAAACGTCTCCCGCATCTCGCGGGTCATTAAAAGGACAGGTCATGACAACACCCACCAGCTCATACTCTATGATCCTGGCGTCGGCACCGGCGTGCTCAAGATTGACCAGTTGACCGGCGGCGGTTTCGGGATGGGCCTGGCCGAAAACGTTCGGGAATGCTACAACTTTATCTGCTCAAACTACGTCGATGGCGACGACATCATCCTCATCGGATTTTCGCGAGGCGCTTTCACGGCAAGGTCCATCGCCGACATGATCGCCACTATCGGCCTCCTCACCCCGGCCGGGCTGGACTACTTCTACAAAATATTCGAGGACTACCAGAATCTCGGCAACGCGTCCAGGAGCCCGAGCGAGTACATGTGGGCGGGCCCTGCCTACGACAGCAAGAAGTACAAGGCCAAGGGTGACTGGGTTGCGGAGAGGAAGGATGGTTACAGGACCTTTTTGAAGGAACGCGAGATGACGCGCGACACCTTCGCCGACTCGTCGGGCCGCGCCATCACCATCAAGGCGCTAGCCGTGTGGGACACGGTAGGCGCGCTCGGCATCCCGCCCGTGTCGGCGCTTGGCCTGCGGGGGTCCGCGAAGCAGTGGAAGTTTAGCGGCACCGCCATCTCCCCCAGGGTCGAGTACGCCTTCCAGGCCCTAGCCCTCGACGAGCCCAGAGATGCGTTCAAGCCAGCCCTTTGGGAGCGCCGCTCGGATAACAACAAGACCAAGCTGAAGCAGGTGGTAAGTCATGTTTGCAAATTGCCTTCCACATTTATCTTCTTGAATTTTTACTGACATGTGGTTTGTAGTGGTTCCCTGGAAACCATGGCGGTGTTGGCGGCGGCTGGTGGGATCAACAGATAGCCGACATCACCCTCACTTGTACGTCTGAACCCCCTTGGCAACACTGATGGCGACTCGACTAACTCGTCAACTCTCCTGATGCAGGGATGTGCGACCAGCTGTCCACTATCGGCGTCGAGTTCAACCTTACCCGCATGACGCAGGTCTTGGAGGGCAGTATGTACTACTCGGCAGCCCACCCCTTTCCCTTTGTTCCCAACTGGGCCGACACCGTGAAACTGCCGACTAGTGTTGCGTCATGGTGGGCAGGCGCTCCCAAGCCTTGGGCAAAAGACCCCGTCTTCGCCAGCCAGAAGCCCCTCCCCAAGAGGGACACGGGCGACTGCAACGACGAGTGCAAGACGCGCAAGCACGTCAAGCCCGACGACCCCGAGGTGAAGAGACAGGCCGCCCTCGCGGTCGCGCGGCCGTGGGCCCTCGGCCAGACGCGGTACCCGAGCCGCGTCCAGAGCGCCTTCGGCCACAGCAACCGGCACCCGGGCCTCTTCACCCGCACCGACCCGGACAGCAACAAGCCGCTCAACGAGCCGCTCGTCAACACTTCGGAGCGCATCCACAGCTCCGTCCGGGTCCGGCTCGCGTGTCAGGGTCTGGCCATGGACGACGCCGAGGTCTGGAAGTGCGAAGCGCTCGTCGGCGCCGACGGCGAGAAGATACAGGGCAACAGGATCGCCCAGCCCCTCTGGCGGCTCGAGCGGGGCGACGCCCTGGACCAGACCGAGCGGCAGGAGCTCGAGTCCTTCAGACCCAGCGAGCTGGGCCTTGACGAGTACACGCCGGCCCAGCTGTACGACGTCGAGGAGAAGGACAGCCTCTTCCGCTGGGCTTACGCCAACGACGGGAACATCAAGAACCCGGGAGAGGCTAATCAGCTGCCGCAGTTCAAGGTCCTTCCGGAGGAGCCCCTGGTGGGTTTCTGGGAGAGGTACCTGCTCAAGATGACGACTGGCAAGCAAGATGTTTGGCGTTATGCCGAGCAGAATTCCGGCTGCTGATTTGTTGTCTTGAGAGATGTTGGCTCGTAGTAATCTCTAATTTTGTAGCGTCTAATATCGACACAGCCAAAACTTGGCTTAATCTAGGCCTTCCGAACGCCGAGACATGGTGACTGTGATGCCAATGTTCCTCTCTTGACTTGGCAATGTCGCCACTGGTCCTTTAGAGTGGTCCTCCAGAGAGCGGGTCGCTCCGCCGGTGGCACCTGAATTAGCTAACAAGATGACCAGAAATGACGCCTTCTAGAGCTACTTGAGCACCCGAGGTAAGGTAGGTAGCTTTAATAATACCCACGCGGCATTTGCTCCTTGTAGGACCATCTCCTCGCCTCTCGTCGGGTCTTTCTCGGGATCCACTGCCCATGACGCCCTCTCACCAAGCTGAGAGCGCGAGTAAATGTGGCGTGCTACGAGAAACCATCCGATTGACGACTCCGGCAGCTGAGTGGCCTGATTTGATGAACGGCATCCTGCGCGGCGGGCGATGCCTTGCAGGGCCGCGGGCGCGGGATTTGAAACTTCGGCGACTGGTATCAACGATTTGATCCGAACCGGACGCCAACCATCCCCCTCCCTCTCTCGCCTAAGCCTGGGCCAGCTGAATTTGGCAATTCTTGGGTATGTGCTTTTCTGTGCAATCGGCCTTGCTAAACCTCGTCCTAACAGCAGCAGGGCTTGGGTCGCGGGCGGCCTTGTGCCGAGGTGGTAACATGGTGCACGCCGAGACGCCTTGGCCCGGGCTTTGAACGCTCGTCCCGCGAGATGGTTGACAGCAGCGCCTGTCAGGACGACATCAGGGCGTGTCTGTCAAATGCCGATGGCTAGCTGGGAGAACACATTCGCGTTTGCATGGTGGCCGCGGTATTGACTGGAGATGATGTTGCTTAGACGTTGTGATCTCATTCGTGTATATAAATGAGGTGAGACCCGGAATCGAACCTACCATTTCCTCAGCATCCAGAGCACCCTGAGAAAACACCAGCCATCTCATCCAGAAAATCCCATTCCAGATAGTAATCTACTTTGCATCCCCAAAATGCCCATCACCAAGTACAAGGCCGCGGCTGTAAGTACACCCTTACATATCGACCGCCGGCACCGAATGCACCCACTAACACCAGTTTATCAAAGGTCACCTCCGAGCCAGGGGTAAGCTGGAGCAAATCACCAGTAACACACACTATTATCTAACCAAGAGTTTTTTCAGTGGTTCGATCGTGAAGCCGGCGTCCAAAAGACCATAAACTTCATCGTGGAAGCGGCCGAGGCAGGATGCAAACTCGTCGCGTTCCCTGAAGTCTGTAAGCGCTTGTCCAAAGCGAGGCGAACCTCGTGCTTCGACGCGCCCCGAGACTGACATATGCCATGCCCCCAGGGATCCCCGGCTACCCCTACTGGATGTGGAAGGTCACGTACCTCCAGAGCCTGCCGATGCTCAAAAAGTACCGCGAGAACTCGCTCGGGGTCGACTCGGACGAGATGCGGCGGATCCGGCGGGCGGCGCGCGACAACAAGATCTTCGTGTCCATGGGCTTCTCCGAGATCGACCACGCGACGCTGTACCTGGCGCAGGTGCTGATCGGGCCCGACGGCGAGGTGCTCAACCACCGGCGCAAGATCAAGCCGACGCACGTCGAGAAGCTCGTCTACGGCGACGGGTCCGGCGACACGTTCCAGTCGGTGACGCAGACGGACATCGGGCGCGTCGGGCAGCTCAACTGCTGGGAGAACATGAACCCGTTCCTCAAGGCGCTCAGCATCGCGGCCGGCGAGCAGGTGCACGTGGCCGCCTGGCCCGTGTACCCGGGCGTAGAGCGCCGCGTCGAACCGGACCCGGCCACAAACTACGCCGACACGGCCTCGGACCTGGTCACGCCCACGTACGCGCTCGAGGCCGGCGCCTGGACGCTCGCGCCCTTCCAGCGCCTGTCCGTCGAGGGCCTGGCCAAGAACACGCCCGAGGGCGTCGAGCCCGAGACGGACCCGACCCCCTACAACGGCCACGCGCGCATCTACCGGCCCGACGGCAGTCTGGTCGTCAAGCCGGCCAAGGACTTTGACGGCCTGCTCTTTGTCGACATCGACCTCGACGAGACCCACCTCACAAAGGTCCTGGCCGACTTTGCCGGCCACTACATGAGGCCGGACCTGATCAGGCTCCTCATCGACACCCGCCGCAAGGAGCTCATCACCGAGGCCGACCCTGAGGGCGGCATCAAGACCTACAGCACCGCCCACCGCCTTGGCCTCGACCGGCCCCTGGACGCCCCCGCGGGCGGGAGGGCGAACGGCAGGGTGAACGGCAAGGAGGCCAGCAATGGCACTTCTGACGCCTTGTGAATTGGCAACGACATTTTACGGGCGGGTAATCAGTAGAGTCTAGATAGCCCGGTTCTGGTCGATATAGGTGTTGTCGTGTTAATAAACCCCGCTCATCCCTTATATCTCATTGCTTTCCACACAGTCAAGGTAGAAATTCCATGCCATTCGGAGTGGGGTGAAAGGCCCCTTTTTTTTCTCCGCGTCGATCCCCGAACTTTCCTCGGCCGACGGCGGTACTTTGGTAGCCGATTGGTTTCAAGACGCTGTGCACCAAGGGGCCGTCTCGTCGGGGTCGGGGTGGTCTCTGGCTGCCGGTTTATGCGAGTCGCCTCGGCCAGTGGGAACATTATGCTCCAGGGCCGTCCTGGGTCGGCTGCGATTCGTTCTAGGCCGCTAGCATGCTGACGGTGGGGCCGCTGCCCCGTTGACTGGCGTCGGCTGGGATGCACGGCCGAGGTCTTCTCTCCCGAGCTAATGCACCGAGGCTTATATAACCACGGCTCATCAGGTTTCTGGGCTTCAGCACTTCTCGTCGTCATTACTCGCAATCGACTGTATTTTCAAGGTCACAGGAGGACCCAAACAATAACCCCAAAAAAGAAAAAAAAAAAAGAAAGAAAAACATTCAACGACCACCGCCTATCCGCAGCCATGGCCCCCATCGTCATCCACCACATGCACGTCTCGCAGTCGGAGCGCATCCCCTGGCTCTGCGAGGAGCTCGGCGTCCCGTACGAGCTCAAGGAGTACCGGCGGTCCCCGGTCCTGGCCCCGCCCGAGATCGTGTCCCTGCACCCGTCGGGCACGGTGCCCGTCATCGAGGACGGCGACCTCATGCTGGCCGAGAGCTGCGCCATCCTCGAGTACATTGCGCACCGGCACGGCGGCGGGCGGCTCTTCGTCGGGCCCTCGGACCCGGCCTACGCCGACTTCCTGTTCTGGTGGCACTGGGCCGACGGCACGCTACAGCCGGCCATGCTGCGCGTGCTCTACATGGGCATGGCCCGCCTCGAGCAGGACCACAGCTCCATGCTAGCGGCCAAGGACCGCCGCGCCCGCGCCCTGCGCCAGCTCGAGGACCGCCTGGCCGCAAACAGGTGGCTCGCCGGCGGCGACCGCTTCACCGCCGCCGACGTCATGGTCGTCTTCTCGCTCACCACGGCCCGCCGCTTCGCGCCCGTCGACCTGGGCGAGTACCCAAACATCCTGAGGTTCCTGGCTGACGTCGGCGAGCGGGAGGCGTACAAGACCGCCATGGCCAAGTGCGAGCCCGACCTGGAGCTGGCCCTGGGGGCCGCGCCGCCCAAGTCCTTTTTCGCCTGAGCTGCCCCTGGGCTGTCACGACACGAAACCATCATGTTGAGGTGGGAGCCTTGCTCTTATTGATGCGCAATGCTGGGTGGTGTTGGTGGGCTTCGTGCTGTGCGGTGAAATCATCACCATGTTTAGAAACATAAATACGAGCACAAATTTCCATGCGACAAGCTATGATATACCTTGAATGGTCGGTGATGGACTGGGATGGTAAATTCTGACGATAGGATCCGGGAGAGAAACTCCAAGACCACTTTCGTATCTGCCCGCCTCCTACCTATTTGCCCGCTGAACCGTTCCTACTACATCTAACCACTTGCGTCTCGCAGAAAGCATGTCCGGTGTTTCTTTGAGCGTCATTTGAACGATAATTTTAGATGCAACTATCGCATGTGTTAGAAAGGATTAGCCCTCAGGCAGTGACGCTCAAGAATGATGGAAGAAGGTAGAGGTAGAGATACTTAGAGCCCTGTAGGTTCCAACCTATTCCCACAACCAGTCATGCGTTTTGGCTCCTCTCGTCGCTTCGCTTGTTTTTTCTTTGTTCTTGTTAATGAGCTGGCTCAACAGTTGACGCCGTTGTCCTGAATGCCTTGCTGGGCTGCCTACATGCCTGAGAACTAGTCGCCACTGAGAACAAAGAGACCACCCATCTTCGAGAAACAACCGCTTTTGTCTAACAAACCCCTTTAAGTGTCAAAGGGCTGCCTGCAGATTGTCATCTATATATCTGAGCCGGACTTCTTTATCTCCCACCCCTGAATTAACATTTACCAAACCACTCCTCAACACCTCACCCGCTGAACCATCCGCCAGCTCCCTCCGCAAGCTCTGCACCGATCACATCCGCAAGCCCATTCATCTCTTCTCACGCAAGCAAGAGGACCTCAGACATCATGGGCGGCAACAAGGTCGAGAAAGGTGACAGCCATCGCAAGAAGGCCCGATCCATCGGTATACTTCAGTGGTTCGCCGGCAAAAAGGTCGACCCCGAGGAGTTTCTGGAGCGCAGGCGTCTCCGCAAGCAGGCCGCGAAGAAGCCGGGAGGTCGCAGCAGCCACCATGTCTCGGACCGACCGGCGACCGCGGACAAGAGCGAGGCGGGCTGTAGAGTCCGCAGCGACTGGTCGTCCGAGTCCACCCTGATAGGCGCCCGGCGGTCGACGGCGTCCACGCTGCGCAAGCCCGCCCCATCGGCGGCGTCCACGCTGCGCGAATCCGCTCGATCGGCATCCACGCTGCGCAACTCGGCCCCATCGGCATCCACCCGCCGGCGCAGCAGCAGGCCCGCGCCCGCCCGGGACGTCGGGGAGAAGGAGTACGACGACGCCGAGGAGAACTCGGACGACGACTACATGTGCGGGCCGCCGCCCTCGGACTACGGCCGCAGGCAGGCGCGGGTCACGGGCTGGGCCGCGGGCGTGAGCCCCGGCACCGCGGCCCCTCCCTCGCCCCCTCCCTCGCACGCCGGGCGGTCCTCCCGCGCGTCTGCCGCCTCTCGCGCTCAGGCAGCCTCGCTGCGCCCATCTGACTCTTTGACCTACTATCCAGGTCCCAGTTTGAGCAGCAGCTGTCCGGGCCCCAGCTCGGGACATGGCTCCGGCGCGCCGCTGCGTACTCCCGTGCCGCAGCGGTGCGGGGCCGCCGGCCACCCTGACCCTAACGGTGGCTTCCCATCTGGCTTTCCCCCTGGCTACTACGCTCCTGGCCAGAGCGGCGCCGGCCACCACCGCTACTGACCAGCGATTCGGTAAGTAAGACCCTGGAAATCTCTCCCCTCTAAACATCGGGCTCACAGCTCAGAGAGCATGAACAATCTGGCGCCTTGCTCGAGCCTTACTCGCGATGAGCTTACGACTACAGTCCTGGAGGATACGAAAGGGTGGCTTCTGGGAAGTCACTTTGAGGAGGCCGAAGAAGGCCAAAAGAAATAGCGGCGATGATCCATCTTTAATCAGTAGTAGTAGGTAAACATCAGTACTTTTTATAGCCTTTTAGTAGCATAAATACCGGTTTATTATCAATCGGAAATCTTGCACAATGTGATACTGAAACCCCTGTGACACAGGTAGCACCTTCAGGTCGAATCTCGTGCCACTTTCTGCCCGGCTAGTATCGTCTCCCGATATGTCATATTCGGACGTAATAATCCTTTAGCTGTTTTCGGCTGTTTTCGGCGCTATATACCTACCTTGGCGCGTATTGGTATCGCCGCTCATCAATTTCATCCTGAAAGCGGAAGGAGCAAATTTGCCCACTATAGAGGGGGCCACAACGTACAACCCCCGAGTACATATCTCTGCCATGCCCCCACGTAAGCCCTGATCCTACGTCTCTTCCTGTTTTTCTTTCACTCCTTTTTTTTTTAGCTCTCTCCCCGCGAGCACCCAGCCCATATACGCCGGCGTCACGATGGCCTCACTCGATACAATCCCTTCCATCTATTGGATCCAGCTTGCGTGGCTAGACCCACTCATCTCCTTCGGCACCGTATGTGATCGCCCTTTGGCTGGTGCAGCCGTTTTTTTCCCCTTTGGCGTGTGACCTGTCCCCTATTGCGCGACAAGGCCATGTAGCTCACACGCCACAATCACACCAATGCAGATGCTTCAGGCCCTCTTCGCCCCCGACATGCTCTTCGCGATCTACCTCCCCAGGCACCTCGTGGCGGCGGTGCCTTTCCCGCCCCTGTACCGCCCGCTACTGCACCAAGTGGGCGCGTGGTACCTGTTCCACACGATCGTGAGCGGCGCCACCCCGCGTGTTACGCGTGACAGGAACGTGTGGAAGATGTTGCAGGTGGCAATGCTCGCCATAGACTCGTGCCTCCTATGGGACTTTTATGGCATCGTTGCGGAGCAGGGCCGAGCCGACCCGCGAGCGTGGAAGATGGGGGAATTGGCCGGCGTGGCTTACGTTGCTTGCGTTTGGGTGCTCCGGCTATCGTTTGTGGTCGGCGTTGGGCTGTCAAGGAGGACGGTTACCAGTGATGGTGGTGTAAAGAAGCAAGCCTGATAATTCAGACTGTTATACGAGGTAAATTCAGTGGAATGACAATAAAAATGGCTACCTCTGTGTTCGCTAGATACAAATAGAGCGCTACATACCCAGCAATACTGGAGGTTCTCATACATGAGTGGATAAGCAGACCACGTACTCGTCCTCAGATGCATCGCCGAGTGGCTCGTCCTCCCAGGAAACAGACGGGCACTGGAGGCTAGAGTTTTGTAAGGGTATCTAGTGCCCACGGAGTGGCATACCTTGTAAAGTATGGTATATCGCGCTTCCAGATTCTCCGTGCCGTTTCCACCAAGCTCGTAGCTCTTTCCGCTAGTTTTCAATCAGGCAATCACATCCTGAAGGGGACAAGCGGCTGCCCGTCGAGCAGCCGGCCAGGTGGACGCCGGCGAGCCTGGCCGCGGCGCGCGTTCGCCGCCGTCGTCTTCCGAGGGCAGTGCCGTCGGTCTCGGCGGACGCTCGCCGTCGTCCTTAAGGGCAGTACCGTCGGTTTCGGCCGGCTCGACCGTCTCGAAAAGGGCGGCCGGCGTTGTTGGCGGTAAAGATGCGCATGCTGACCGCCCTCTGCCTGTCGCGGGCCCCCCCTCTGGTGAGTATTGGCTTTCCGAATCATATACAACCAGAGGGTCTGCTGCCTTCACTCTGTTGACAAAGTGGGGAGCAGGATGGAAGAATCTGGCATGATCCAGAGATTTTAGATACAGTTCCATTCGAAACCTCACCACGGTCTCGATTGGCTTCGTAGATAGATCGTGCCGAGTTCGCAAGGCTGCCATTGTCATCCAAGCCTCTCTCACCTTGTCCTGGGAAGGTACGGGCAACTACGTATGGGATAATTTGGCAGCCCCCATTTGACTTTACGCACCGCCATAAAGTACACATACTGTACCATGATGCTGATCAAGCAAATTTCCAATGGCATAATGCCCGGCTCATCGTGAAACAATTCGTTTTATTTGTTTCTGTCTGTCAGTGCCCTGGAAGAGAACAAGGCGAGGGCATGCCAAATGCAACGCATGGGATCCTTATGCTTTTGTGTCCTTCCCTGCACCATGCCTAAAGGAGGAGAAAGAAAAAAAGAGCCGCTGCCAGAGTCCTTTTTGGTTGCTCGCAAAACCATGCGCTACTCGGTGAGCTCAAACGTGGCCCTCTCCCAGCCAAGGTTCCACAACAGCCTCCGGCCAATGACCCTGGCCGCGACGGGCAGGATCTTGTTGGAGGCCGTGTAGGGCTCCTGTACGAGCATGGTCGTGGCCTTCTTGGCCGCCTCGTCGTCGTCGTCGGAATCTGCGTCGGCGGGGCGAACGAACAGCCAGGCGGAGCCGTAGAGCTTCGTCACAGTGAAGCCCACGGCATGCATGGCGTGGACGAACTCCGCCCACGGGATCTCGGCGGGCTTGCCGCCTGACTGGCCCTTGAAGGGCTCGTGGAAGAGGGCGTTGAACACCTTGAGCTCCCGCTTGCCGACCTTGATCTTCTTGATGCTGTCGGCCTTGGCGTTGCTGTTGGCGTCTCCGTCTCCCTCCGACTCCTCGCTGGCCTCCTCGGCCTCGCCGTTAACCTTAACTGAAGCGCCGTTCGTCTTGGCGCTCTTTGCCTTGGCCTGCCCCTTAGCATTGGCAGCCGTGGCCGCCGCCGCCGCCGTGCTGGCAAAACGGCGCAGCGGGCTGGAAAAAGCGTCCTTGATGGCGCCCGACATAGCGCCAGCTCTCTCAAGCTCGACCTTGACTCTGCCCCAAAAGCCGTCGAGCGCAACTTCAGCGCGCCGGACCTGCTCAGCTGCGGCCTCGACCGCGGCCTTGTGCGAAAGATCAACTACAAGCGGGTAGTCGAATCGGCCCTGCTCCGGGATGCCCATGGCTACGACACGGTCGCTAACCTCATATTGGGTCAGGCGCGGGATGCCGGCGGCCGCGACGCTTCGGTGAAAGTGCTGCTCGAGGGCCTCGCGGGTCTCCTTCTCCTGCACGTCGGCGCCGAATCGCGCGGCCCATGGCTGGAACAGCTCGACCTGCCTCAGCACGCGCGCAAAGACGGCCAGGGAAGACAGCTGGTTCGCCACCCAAGGGGTGATCTTGAGGCGAGCTTCGGGGTGCACCGCGATGTGGTACTCAAGCTCGTCGAGCGCTCCGGGCAGGCCGACTACCTGGCGCTGCTTCTCGTCCTGCACGACGCCCAGACGACGAATGAGGACGCGCGTCGACTCCTCCGCAGGTGCCTCCTCGACCGCAGTGATGGCCAAGGTCCTATCCTCGGCGCCGCTCGGGGTCACAAGTTGGAAGTAAGGCCGCATGGGAGGGCTCGCGACGAGACCCATGGTGATGTTGGTAAACGGTCCGGCCTTGAGCTGCTCAACGTGGTGATCGAGTGTATAGAAGGCGAAAGCCAGGTCGGCAGGGAGGTCGGCGTCCTCGTCAAGCTTGCCGTCGTACTGGTCCAACAGGCGGGTCAGGGCCAGGACCTTATCGTGGACGAGGTCCCACTCGGCCACGTCGAGGAGAGCGGTGCCGACGACGCGGTTGACAACTCGCGACCAGAATGTGGCAGGGCTCTTGGCAAGGATGGGGTGCGGGTTTCCGTTCGCATCGACCAGCTGCTCACGCCTATGAGTGGCCCAGTCCTGGAGGCAGGCGGCCAAGTACGCGGGGTCCTCGCGCAGGGCGAGCAGGTGATCTCTAGCCTCCTGCAGGCGTGCCTCGACTGGTTGCTCCAGCAGATTGCGATCGAGCCTCGCGGGGGAACGGTACGGCTCCTCGGTGATGCGGGTAATGAGGGAGGTGTACTCGCCGCCATGCTGTGGCGTTGCCTCGCTGATGGCACCCTCGGCCGGGGTCTCGCCCGAGGCGGCGATGACGGGGTAGTCCAGCAGCTTGTCCTCGGGGATGTCGTGCAGGATCTTCTTGCACGCGTTGACGAGGAGGCGGTAGGTGATGTCCTGGATCTCGAGCAGCCACAGGCCCTCGCCCGGGTGGATGCCGCGCCTCTCGAACAGCCACTTCTGCGGGGAGTCCTCAGGCAGGTCCCGCCAGGGAACAAGCTCGCCGTACTTTGCGGGATCGGTGCGGTCCGTAAACATCATGGTGTAGCGGTTGAGGTAGTGCGGCATCAGCGCGAGTGAGTCCATGGCGAAGCGGGCGCGCTCCAGGTCGGCGGCCGCGAAGGCGTGAGGCGGATTCTTGCCGCGGGCCGAGAACATGAGCAGCAGCGGGCGGTCATTGCGGCTGAGGTCGTCCAGGTTGAGGTGAGGCCACAGGAAGGCGCAGCGGCGCGCCGGGTCCGACGAGGCAAACAGGTTGTCCTCAGAGCCCGCCTCGCGGACATCCCGCCAGATGTCAATGTCGGGGCGGTGCGTATCGGGCATGGTCCACTTGACTGCCTCCGCCTTGGCATCCTCGTCGGCAGCGGCAGCGGCGGCGGCGGCGGCGTTCTCGAGGCCGCGGGCGGCGGCCTGCAGCAGCTCCTTGCGCTTCTTCTTCTGCTTGATGCCGGCCCAGCGGCGCTGCAGGGTCGGCTCGTGGCGCTCGATCAGGCTCTTCAGCATGTTCCACTGCTCAAAGATGCCCTCGGCTAGTGAGGCGGTCCTGGTGCGCACGTCGCTGGGCTTGATGAAGGTCGGCATGGGCATACCGCCCTCCTGGCCAATCTTCAGCTTCTCAAACAGGGCGCGCTCCTCCTCGGAGAAGCCCTCGGGCTCCTGTGGCTCTTGGGGCTCTTGGGGCTTTTGGGGCTCTTGGGGCTCTTGGGGCTCGGCCGAGCCCTCCTCGGGCTTGTCGGCGGGCTTGTCGTCCGCCATTATGCTGTTCGGGGCGGGGTAGATGAATACGGGTGTGGGAAGGCTAGTGAAAAAAAAGAGACTATGCTTGAAGAGAAGGGTAGTACGTGGCCACCAAATTGGTCCTGTTGAACGTTAGGATGGTGATGTGGGAGGTGGGCAGGAAAGGGACGGATGGGAGTGAGGCGGTGGTGAGGACTCGCCTGAACAGGACAGGTCTCCAGTCAGGTCTCAAGTCAGTGGAGGTTGAACGAATTCCAGTCGCCCTCCAGCCCATGGAGCTCGACAAAGCTCCGTGTTAGGAGTTGACCTGAAGCAGCCTAGTGGAGACACCAACCAGCCCGCCCATTCGCCCCCGCCTGTGTGGTCCGTTCACATTGGGCCATCCTTCCTCAAGGAATCCCCATTGGATTCAGGGACGTCCCCCGCTTGGACGTCACTGGCTAGCAGCATGAACTCTGTGAGCTCCCAGTGCTCCTTACCCCATGCCCCAGATTCCAATTGATTGCTCTGATGGGCAGTGGGAGAGGCGGCCGGGTTCCTGCATCAAACCACACCGGCCTTGAAGCCACATCTCACAAACGGGCAAGCTTTGTGGGCTCGAGTCAAGGCTCGAGGGGTTCCGAGGAGGCCACATGATGGAGCTGGGGCAACTTTGAACCTCTCGACTCCGACTCTCCTCCAATTTCAAACCCATACATTACTGGCGGACATTGATCTTTCTTGGCTGCAGGGGGGGAAGGGATTAGTAGCAGCAGGAGGTTTGCCCGTCCCGTGTTGCCAATAAGGGAGTCTCCCTCCGATGCACCGAATCGGGGCTTTGTTTGCTGTTCGTTCCATTCCAGCCACACTTGGCTACACTGCATTACTTTTGTGAGACCCCCAAAGTCTGGCTATGGCTATGGGGGCCTGGAGCGACCAAAGGGATGGCGAGGTGGCTCATTGAATACTAGGTAACTATTGGGGCTGGCTTTCCTGGCAGCGAACGGAGATTTGGAACGCAAGGTCGCACAACTAAGTGTTTGGAGGGCTTCCCGCTGTCGCATCGAGTCAAGGGCTGGCGACAGGAGGCGGCTCGACATGGATCCAAGGGGTAGTCAGCATGTCAAGGTGAAATCACAGCACTGGCTGGAACAGACATCACAATCATTTTTGAAGCGACAGGGTACCCAAGCCAGGGAATACTTTTTTTTTTATCCAATGATGTAGAACATAGACAAGGCTACGCAAAGGCGCCAACAATAGCCATCAGTGTGGCGCCCCCGAACACCGAGAGGAAAGCGTGCAGTCTCCTCTTGCCGTGCAGCGTCTTGTAGCTCTTCTCGCTCAAAAAGTCCTCGGCCAGCAGCTGCACGAGCCCCGCGAAGAGCAGCAGGCCGGCGCTGATGGCGTTCATGAAGCCGACCATGAGCAGGCCCGTCTGGCTCATGGGGTCGTACATGTTGTGCACGAGCAGGCCGATGGCCTGCCCGATCGGGGTCGTGGTGCCGTAGGCCAGCACCATCAGCCAGGGCCGCGGCGACGAGCGCGGGAAGTGCAGCGCCGCGATGCGCGAGCCCAGCGCCAGGCCCTCGAAGGACTGGTGGAACGAGATGGCCACCAGGAACACCACGAACGGCGGGCCCGTGGCGACCGAGAGGGCCATGCCGATGAAGATGCTGTGGAACAGGATCCCCGCCTCGAGGAGCAGGCACTGGAGGAGCAGCCGCCGCTGCTCCTCGGGCGACGGCATCTGCCCCAGCGACGAGCCGCCTCCGCCGGGCGACCCCGGCTGCTGATCGCCGCGCTGCGTCAGGGGTCGCCGCTGGGGTGCTGTCTTGGGGCTCCGCTCGGCCGAGGGGTCGAGCTCGTTCAGGTTCAGTTCGAGGTCTAGGGACTCCTCCGAGTCCAGGGAGTCTCTGCCGCCGTCGAGTGGCGCTTGATTGCCGTTTTGCGGGCGAGACGTGTTCCCGTTCGGGGTCTGCGGCAGCGGCGTCGACCCCGGGAGCGGCGACGCGCCAGCCATCAGGCCCTCGGTGTCGCCAAAGTCGTCGAGTGCGATGTTGGACGGCCGCCGCTCGCGCCGGCCCGAGAGCCCGTGGGATCCGCCCCTGTCACTCCCATTCAGCCGCGTGTCGTGTGCTGTATCCTCCACCCCTGCCCCCTCATCCTCCTCCCACATCTCGTGCGTATGGCTGTGGGTCGCACCACCGTGCGTGGTGAGGTACGATTCGAGCGAGACGACTATCAAAGCCGACACCATGGCGATGAGGCCGGGGAAGGCCGTGTAGCCTTTGCTGAATATGTACGGAAGGCATGGGTCGGTCAGGGATATGAAGGCGGTTGGTAGGAGATGGACAAAGGCCGTCGCGATGAGGACGCCGGTGCCGAAGTGCTGGCAGATGAACACTACCCTGCTCTGGCGACGGCCCTTGGAGCGGCTGGAGGATATAAGCGGAAAGGCACATGCTAGTGGAGTGACAGACGTCACACTTCGTTAGCTCACAGCACTACCTTCTGGGGCGCGACAGGACTTGGGATCCGTCTGAAGGAGTATCTTGCATACAAAGAGTGCTGAGGAATAGAATGAGGCCCAGAGCGAGGACGTGGAGGGTTGTGTCGTAATGGCCGCGCTCCTTGCTACCACATTGGGGCTTCGAGTCTCCGCCATTATCTCGTCTCGCCAGCTCCGCGGTGAGCAATTCGGTGGGTATCGACGACCAAGAGAAGCCTACACAATGATACATGGTACACAAGGTCAGTAACTGCCACGGCCGGGCTGTGCCAGGGGACACAACGGACCTTGGGTAGCCACCAGGCTGGACGCATTCATCCTGGTAGAAAATATGGAGGAAAATGGGGGGGAGAAGCGTCAGGTCTTGTGGCGGCGGATCGCGGAAACCATGGCGGATGGGATCCGACTTTCTCGATGCGTGTTCATTAAGGAGAGACAGAGGCTCTGGTAATCTGGCAGGGAGCTGCGGCTTCCCGTGGAAGCGCGAAAAGGCCACTCCAACAGACGGAAACGGGAAGGGATCAGATCTGATGCGGCGAAACTTGCTCAGTCCCGCCAGGCTGGCATGGGTGGCTGACATGAGGTGCGCGCACCCGTTGGACCCGCCAAGCCACCTCTATCCATGTGTCAGCACCAGGCCCATTCCATTGTCGTGGGCCATGTGGGTCTTTGTCTTGACGAATTCGGACAACTCGAGACAGGCCTGCAGCCCCTTTGAAAGACGAGCGCGAAACGGCCAGAGCAGCAGACGCCTGACAGCGGGAGCATTCCCGACCCCAGACTTGGCAGCGCCATCATAGCAGAAGGGCGTTGGTGAGGCCGGGAAGTCCCGCATGGACTACTCTAGTAAAGGATCTACCCATATTGGCGCCCATTTTGCATTAACCGGCGGGCCGTTGGCGGTCTAGAATCTCGGCTTGTGGTCAATGACGGCACGTCTCGACGTACTCTGATGGCTCACACTTCAAAATTCACAAAGCACCGTCAGGTTTACAGTTTAGCCGTTTTAGTTCCAATTCCCCTTGAGCTATTTAGGTTATCGTCATGTGGTATCAAGCGTATAAATAGTAGCATCTTGCCTCCGTTGTCTCCGTTACTCGAACCCCGAGTCGAACATGGAACATGCGGATAGCGCATCGACAATCCGTAAAGCCAAGGTCCTCGATCTTCCACATGGTATTTATACTCGCGCTTTGCACGTCCCTCCATCTCCGTTTCCGATTCTTTCAGGCAACCTCCAAGTCGAATCGTCTTGCTCGCAATCCGGCTTGCCGTCTGCCCATCCAGGGCGCTGCTCTCGTTTGCAGGAGCAGGAGCTGGGGTTCCCTACTCTCTCGAGTATCATCATTTGGCGCCTTGCCAAGTCTCCTAATTCTTCTCCTGCGACATGGCTTTCTCGCCAGTGTTGGATCTGCTGTTGAGCCTGGGGCTCTCCTCGCCGGAGCTAAGGGCAACACCGCTGAGATTGAAGTAGGCGGCAAAGACGCGGGACTCGAGGTCGTGCTTTCCGTAGGGCTGAGCCTTCCTGGCCTGTCGCCTGAAGTAGACGCGTTTGGCCCACTTCCAGGACTCGCAGCCGAGGAAGAAGAGGAGAGAGTCGACAAAAACGACACCCCACTCCCAGGTGATGGGGGCATGCTTGAACACGACCGTGTTGATGACGGGAATGTACATGAGGGGGAAGATGGTGATGAAGCCGGCGACAACAGCCCAGAAGAGAACCTTGTTACACCAGACGTCGAAGAACCACTGGGTGAAGTACTTCTTGGACTTGGGCTGCATGCGGAAGAACGAACGGCGCATGTTCAACATCTCCCAGGCGAGGAAGAGGGCAAACCACGTCAGAGCCGCAAAAGTCGTGGCGCGAGCGCGGAAGACGGTGTCGCATCGGTCGCTGTAGGTGGTGTTGCAGTTCTCGCCAAAGTCGCCATCACCCCACTGGAACATGATGAGCACGAAGGTGCCCAGGCAGAGCGCGGCAGTCCATACGCCGTAAACGACCATGTCGAGCATCAGCTCCCATGTGAAAATTCCGGCTTTCATCTATAGTTCATTGCGTATCGTTAGTTTTCGGTACCGTCGGCGGTCCTCAGAGCATCGTAAAACTCACGTCCTGGGGCGGCCTGTCCAAGATATCGGGCGCCGCGACTTCAAATCCGAGGGCCATGTCCGGAAGACCAGAGGTAATCCTGCAAATTACACGTCGGTCCAGGAGCGTGGGAATGCGCGGAAGGGGAAGCGTGTGCTCACATAATGATCCACATCACCTCAACGGGAGACAGCGGGAACACGGATAGCCCGCTCTCGTCTTTGAAGACAAGGCCGATGAGGAGGGTAGCCGCCTGGGCCACATTGCAAGCAAGCACGTGCAGGACGAACTTTTGAATATTGTCGAACATGCGGCGGCCCTCCTCGACGGCGTTGAGGATTGAGGCGAAGTTGTCATCTGAATGCACGCGTCAGTTGCCTGCCAGATACGAGGATATCGTGCCAGGAAGCAGCTGCCTACCAGTGAGGATAATGTCCGAGGCCTCCTTGGCCACATCAGATCCAGCCTCGCCCATGGCAATACCCACGTCGGCGCGCTTGAGAGATGGCGAATCGTTCACGCCGTCGCCGGTCATGGCCACGAAGCGCTTACGTCGGTGCAGTGCCTCGATCATGCGGACCTTTGTGTTGGGAGCGCAACGGGCGACGACTAGGGGAAGTCGTTTGAGGCGGTCGATCTCGTCATCTGTGAGCTTGTCAAAATCGCTAGCGGCCATAACCATGGTCTTGGCTACATCGGCCGAGATCTCGCCCATACGAGAAGGCAGAATGCCGACCTAGCGTGACACGCGATTCTCCGATTAGCACTATAATTACAAAACTAACCGACCAAAGCGTCCAAAAGCGCGCAGCAAGGCTCTGGCTTACCTCAATAGCAATAGCGCGTGCAGTCTCCGGGTGGTCGCCAGTCAACATGTGGACGCTGACACCGGCCTGGTGGAACATGCGGACTGACGGTGCCGACTCCTGGCGAGGCGGGTCGTACAGGCCGACGAGGCCGTGGAAGACGAGATCGTGCTCAAAGTCCTTGCGCTCCAGTTCGCCGTGGCTGTCGACCTTGCCGAGGTTGCGCTTGCTAGCCAGCGACAGCACGCGAAGTCCAAGGCGGGCGAGCGCCTCGAGGTTGGCCAGAATTTCCTTCTCAATCTCCTTGGTTAGGGGCACAATCTTGTCACCCATCTGGATGTCGGGGCACGATGGAATGACGCGCTCAGTGGCCCCCTTGGTGAAAAGAAAAGTCTCGTCGGTCTCGGTGTCCTCAAAGATGACCGACATCTTCTTGACGTCGGAATCGAAGGGGAACTCGGCAAGTTGACGCCAGCGGTTGCCTTCACCCGAAAGCAACAAGCGGTTCCAATTGAAGCGGGTTGCGAAGACCTGGATGGCAATCTCGGTTGGGTCACCACGGGCGTGCCACTCCCCTTCCTTGGTCTGGTGGACGGTGGCGAGGTTGGCGAGGGAGGCGATGGTAAGGTAGTTTCGCAGAAGCTCGCTCTCTTGGACCTTTTTGACAGCCTCGCCCTCGGCGAAAGGAGTCCCCTCGGCGTCCGGGGCGCGGAAGTTGATGTCTCGGGGCTGCTCAGGCCGCAGACCAATGCTGCCGACGGTTGGGTTGAACGGCTCACCTGTCTTGTGTACCGAGTATGTGCCCTGTCCGGGAATCCAGGCCTTGCGGACGACCATGTTGCCCTGGGTCAATGTGCCAGTCTTGTCGGAGCAAATGTTGGTCACGCCGCCGAGGGCCTCGAGAGACTTGAGGTTACGGACGATAACGTTCCTTTGAACCATGCGCTTGGTGCCGGCCGCCATGGTAATGGTGAGAACCACCACGAGCGAGGCGGGCAGCATAGAAACACCAGTGGTGACGGCGTAGATTACAACCTCCTGAACGGTATTGAATTGGTTGGCACCCAGGACGATGATGGCGCAAATCAGGGCCGTTCCAAAGAGCACGACGGCCAATTTGGCCAACTTTCTTTGCAGAGGGGTACCGACATTGACGCCGAGGAACCGGCCAATAGCGTCAGTAAGAGTCAGAGTCCAGGCCTGCATGTAACGATGAGGGCCGGCAGTGCCGTCCTCCTTGCGCTTGACAGGCCTCCGCTTCGAGTCTTTACCACGAAGAGCAGCAGCGATCTGACCGATTTCGGTAAACATGCCGGTGGCAAACACGATGCCTCTGGCGCGGCCCTTGGTGACGGTGGAGGAGCTGTAAGCGACGTTGAGCCGGTCTCCCGGGCCGGTATCGTCCTCGTAGGTCTTGGCGGTTTCCTTTCGGACGGGGAGCGACTCGCCCGTCAGAAGGGCCTCGTTGGTCTCAAAGTTGACAGCCTCGATGATACGCACGTCGGCGGGAATGGTGTCGCCGGTCTTGAGCTCAACCATGTCTCCAGGGACGATCTCGACGGTAGGGACGGTGGTGTTCCTGCCTTCGCGCACTGCTTGTGCGGTCGGCGAGCTGAGGGAGCGTAGCGAATCCATAGTCTTGGCGGCCTTCAGTTCCTGCTGGAAACCGACGCTGATGTTGAGTGTGATGACAGCGGCGACGACGGCACCTTCGATCCAGGACTCTATACCAAAGGAGGCGGCCATGGCCAAAATGAGCACAAGCGTCATGGCGTTGGCGACCTGGGCGATGAAGATCTGAAGAGGCTGAACGCCCTTCTGTTCGCCAAACTCATTGCGACCATATTGCTCAAGACGCTTCTTGGCCTCATCGACGGACAGTCCCTCCTCCGCGTTCGCCTTGAGCTCCTCGATGGCCTCCTCAGACGTCAGCGCGTGCGCCGGGCGCGACAGCGGCTTGTTCGACTGGCCCGACACATGGTTCGCCACCGCTTCCTCCGCGGCCTTCTTGTCGGACATGGCGGCTCTTGTCACAGAAGCCTAGTGTCCGAGTGTGTGAGGCGACGAAGGCGTAGACCTCTTGGTCTTTTCGGCACAGGCTACTTATGGTTCCGCGGCCAGGGCTGGTGGCTCGAAGCGCGACGGAAGGATACGAAGTGTACTGAGAGGCCGGCTCCCTCGACCCCCGGAAGCTGTCGACTAACGGGGGAAACGTATGAATATTGGGGAGGGACAAAAAAGTGTGCGTTGATTCAAGGAGTTTGCATCGAGTGAGCGCGGGTCGAGGGCTGAGAAAATCTGGGCTGGCTGTTGTTCATCTGGTCTTCTCTTCGCATCGGAGCCTTGGGCGTCGAATAGCAATAGATTCAATAAGAGAGCAGATGGCTAGGCCCTAGATACGAGTGAGCCTTGGACAGCCCTTGGAATCCGATGACTGAAGAGATGAGAGGAGCCAGAGAGAAAGGGACAGACAAATGCAGCAGTGATCCCGGGGGGTGGGAGTGGGATATGATGTATATGTAGGTAGGTACCTTTGGCAATCCTGCCCAGATGGACAATCTCTCTCGGTCCCCAAATCGCCAAGATATTGCAGCGGCACCAGCAGGCTGAACGGCGGCGACGATGGGGCTTGTGGTGGTGGATCGGTGAGGACGTGGGTAGAGACCAGATACGGGCCAGGCCCAGCCTAGCTGGGCGTCCTGCCGGGTATGACTTCATACTGGCAGCAACGGCCCCTCCCCACCCTCCTCGCCCTTGGCCCCCATCCCACGGCTTGGATTCCATCACCGTAGGCCCGGAAGGGGGTGAAGCAGCCAAACAGTCTCGCAAGCCATGGCACCAAGACCTTGGGTGTGACGCTTTGGCCGTAGGCCCGTCGCTGTCCGGCTTGGCAGCACTTGATGCAAAGTGCACGGGAGGGCGCCTTCTGAGGGCGGGCTTCCCATCGAGCCCGCACCTCCGCGGTTGAGGGTGTGGCATGTATCTAGCACTGGCAGCCCAGCGCATCTGCATTAGCGCTGCGGCGCTTGCTCGCGCGGGATAGGTAGGCCGCGGGCTTGGGAGCGTGGGCACGCGATCACGCAATCGAGAGGGCGAGACAGAAGACTTCTGGAAAAGAGCGGTGGTTGGCTGGCTCGAGGCCGGCACGGCCGTCGCCGGGCTGGGAGAAGAGGGGTGGGATGGAGGAAGATGGTCCTCCCACCTGCCAACTCTGGAGCGCCCAGTGTCTGGGCATGTGGGCCATTATCTAGGCGCCAAGGTGGTTGAAGATAGAACCGGACAGAACGGCGTGGATGGCAGGGTTGGGCGACATTTTGATTCCTCCCGCCCGGTTGGGGTTGGCTCAGTGGGCGAGTGGGCGAGTGGTCAGAAACAGGCGGCATCGAGGCGGAAAAAGATGGAGGGCAGCGTGGTGGTGGGCGTTGGTGGAGGCGATGAGTGACGGAACCAAGCATGAAGGCTGTCCAAAGGACCAATCGATTAGAGAGTTATGATATGGTGAGCCCCGCCGGCAGTAGCAGGCAGTGACGTGCTGTTACCAACCGATCGGTGCGGTGCCGAGAGCCGAGCATGTTGTGCTGGAAGGCTGGGGCCAGCAGCCTGCCTGAGCCTGAGATCGATTCAATGTTTCAATTGACCTTGTCTGCCACAACCGGGCTGGCGCGCACCTTGTGGGAACATTGGTGCTGGAGCTCACGGACAGCCACTACTTGACCCCATAACACCCCGCTCCCCCAGCGTAACGCCCAGCGGTCTTGGCTCTTGGCGACAATTGGGAGGCGCTTTTTTTCTTCCTTTTTTCCCAACTTTCACTCCATGGCTTGATCCACCCAACACCAGCCAGCACTCAGTAACGGAAGGCACGCCGTATCTCAAGCATCAAATAGACGCCAGGCTGCAGGTACACCCTAACGCAGATACAGGGGGCGCCCAGCCATCTAGACGCCTTACGGCCGAATCCACGCAACTGATACGTGAGTA